CCAGGTACGGTGACGCTTTTACACCAAAGACGATGCGGTTGAACTGGTACACCTTCGGCTCGTGCTGCGGGTCGTGCCGCCACAAGAAGCGGTGGTACTTGCGGTCTTGTTGACGTAGCTGGATCTGCAGAAACATCTCTGATATATCGCCGACCAGGGCCACCGGCTCCAGGCAGAAGCGAAGCAGGACGTGAACAATATTGTTCTGTGTCTTTCTGCCAGCATACATCTCCTCGTTCATAGACGTACCTCCCCAGTTGACGGACGCATCGAAGACGACTCTCACCTTGGTGGTCACGCGATCATTTCTCACGACTGGGAAGTGGGGAAGATACCATTGATCACTTCCGTCCTCTGCCGCTGTGGTGGGCTCAACTTCTTCGATGTAGTGCTTCGTCATGTAGGTTGACAGCACGTTCCGGTATGCCTCGTACACAGCCGGTCGTTTGGCGAGCGAGCGCTCCAACGACTGAAGCCGCTGCTCAGCCTGCTTTGCGTTGGACTCGAGGCTCGGAATCCCGCTCGTCGCACTCCACGGGATGCCCATCTCAAAACGCGATCCATCGTGTTGAATCGACTCGGTCACTAGCTGTTCTGCCCGTTGCTCATCAGGTGTTGAGTATGTCTCACCCATGCCGACCTTCTCCAACTCCCAGAAGCTGTTGACAAGTTCATCTAGTCTCAGGTCCTGCGTAGACCCGACGAGAGATGCACCAACACATGTCATCTCGGGCTGGTCATAGGAGTTGTCAGTTGCGCCGTAACACACCCACCCGAGTGGTGTCAACCGAGCTAGCGGGTCACCAGGCTTGCCATGCCGTTCCTCCAGGGACGTGTGAAGCTGTGCCGCATTGAGTCCAATGAGGATGTCCACCTGAGCATGCTGCTGGTGCCTTGGGAACCTGATGTCGCTCAGGTGCGTCCAGTTCTGTTTCTGCGCGTTCCAGTCGACAGGCTTGATGGCACCAGTCACTGTTGGAAGGACGAAGGCAGAGAATGCAGACTCTTCGTCGCCTCCCTGTCGGGTGATAGTAACCGCTACTCTCTCACGGTCACCTCGGATGGTCTTGCCACCTAGTACGGTAGTCGTCAGTGTTTCGACATCTCCGCTGTAACTCAGCTGCTTGGCCAGGTCTTCTCTGATGAAGCTGACGGATGATGCCGAATCTAGCAGTGCGGTAGCCTCGACGACGTGAGGACCATTCTTCACTGTCACCGGCACTGTCATGAACGATACGTGCTGAGACTGGGAGAGACTGTCACTCGCGAAGCAGCTGGCTCCGACATTGACGGCAGCAGACGAATGTGCACCCGCTTTGTCACCTTCGGCGGTTTGTGCCTTAACTACCGGCGCCTGTTCGCTGGGCTTTCTCTCCGAGTGTAACATTCTGTGGTGCTTCCGCCCACACATGTCGCAGGGCTTGTTGCGACACTCTGCCGATCGATGCTTAGCCGGTCTCAGGCAACAGATGCAGATGTTGAGGGGCTTCACGAAGCTCCAGCGTTCAGCAACTGACATCTTCGCAAACTCATGGCAGTCTGCAAGTTGATGCTGCTTACCGCACTTGATGCAGCTCTTCGGAGTACCGGCTGACTTCCGCTCGCTGCTCTCGGCGGCTGTTGTCAGGGTGTAGTGTTGACGGCGCTCTGACAATTTGGTCCTCTGACTGCCACAAGCGGATTGTCTTTCTGCAGCAGCCTGGCGCTTGTCCGAACTGCTGCTGGATGACACTGCTTGGCTCTTGTAGCTGTTGCGCTGGCGCTCGTCCACCTTCCGCATCATGTGCACGACGTGAAGCAGCCAGTCCGCGAATGATTGTACATCGCATTTCTGGTCATCATACTTCTCAAAGTACTTGAGCAGCATTGACGACGGGACTTTCTCCGTTGCAGCGAGATAGAGCTCTCGGCCAGGGGTTATACCACATGACCTCATGTTCACCAGGACACTCCGCAGCTTCAATGCGAACTTCTTTATCTTCTCAGTGTCCTTCATGGTAGTGATCTTCGGCCACGTAATGATTTCCTGCTCGTGCCGCTCGATCTGACGATCCTCACCACCATACCAGGCCTCGATCTCCTGCATGGCTGCCTGATAGGCCCCCGGCCCGTCCATGACGTCTTCTATCAGCTCCTCAGCACAGCCACCCGCGAGAGCCTCCCTCAGGCGTGCCATCTTGTAGTATTCTGTGACATTCGGATCTGCGCCGACCAGTCCCATGAATTTCTGCCGCCATCTCACGTAATTGTCTTCATTGCCATCAAACATGGGCAGCTTCAGTGCCTTGAGGTGGCCACTCGGGCGGTAGGCCGGCGTCACTGTCGGGGCACCCTGATGCTGTCCGATTTGGTGGGCTGGCACTGCTTGTGCTTGGCTACTCGGGTACTGGGGTGCTGCTGTTGAAACCATGTACTGTGGTACAGGCATAGGCTGATATGGATACACCGGTGTGCTGGTGTATGTCAGGCCGGGTCTGACCTCACGCGAGATTGTCGGCTGACTACTGGTAGCTGCTCCGTGCACCGTCACGCTGGGCTTCGGCACAAACGGAGGGGCGGCTGCTGTAAGTGCTGTCATTGGTGCGAACGCCTGGCTCACGAAGCCAGAGCGTTGAGTTGGCGCTGCACTGGATGCGGCTACGGCGCGCTGTGCGCTGAGACCGTCCACACCATGCGGCCTAGTTGCTGATGCTCCACTGGTGGTGCTACTGCCTACTGCACTGATAGTAGCAGGTGGTGACGGAACAGCAGCATCCACTGCTGGCACTGGTCTGCTGCTCACTGGGTGTGCTGGTGTCCTTACTGCCCTTGACAGGGTAGTTGTTGGCTGTAGTCTGCCTGGATTCCTGACAACAAACTGCTGTGTGGATCTGCTGACATGTTGTTGCTGCTGCTGCTGCTGGTCCCCTGCCAGTTCTGAGTTCGACTTTCTGTTCCTTAGTTCTCTAACATACCACAGAGGCAGCCTTCTGCTGTAGTCGGAGCTGCAACTATCCACCTCTGTTTCGTCGTCATCAGCATCTGAACTTGCTGAACCAGTAACACTGGGTGGCACTATTGGCGATTGCCCAAGCACCATCTCCACCGGGTTTGCCTCAACATCACCCGACGCATACGCTGCGTCTGTAACTGTGGCTGTCGGTTCGACCAGTCCATCAGCTGACTGTGGTGTAGACCCACGTCCTGTGCCGACCACTGGTCGGTCCAAATCGGAAGGTGAGTAGACACTTCTATCTTCGCTGCTGTTCTCACTGTAAGCAGATGCGGAAGAGCGGCGACGAAACTCAGACTTCGCCCTCTCCACCGTGCTTGCCTTCTTCATTAGATCGAGTTGGATGGCGATCGACTCTTGTCGCAACTTCGCCACTTCTGCTTCCTTGTCCAACTCCGCCTGTAGTCTCTCGACTTCCTTGGCTATTCTTCTTTCGGATGCACTAGTCCTTACACCTCTCTCATCATGTCTTCGCTGTGTTAGGTTTCCGACGTCTGCGTCGGAGGAAATAAATCGCTTGGGCAGCTTGCCCTTCGTTGATCTTGAACTGACTCGCTGTCCAGGTATGGCACTCTGCTCGTCCATCCTGAAGATCCGGCTCGAAGGACCAGTATGTTTGTTTTCTTTCTCTGGAAGACTGTATGCACTAAGAATATCAAACATAAGACACTGCTAAAACTGAGAAGAAACTTAGAATTGGATTCAACCACTGTTCACCATGAACTCTTTTCAAGACAAGGAGAAAGCAAAACAACAAAACCAAAGCTGCTAGAGCACTGCACGCGGAAAAACTCTGCACGTGAGATGCCGTGCAGCGGGAAAAAGGCCATACATCTGAAGCATACGTCTCGTGCACAGGAGCACAAGCCCGGGAAAAACAGGGTTGATGATCACATGATTTCACGCATGAGTGATACCATACATGACCTACAGAACTAGAGAATGATTGTGGTGAAAACAGACACATAAATCATACAGAACCACAGACCTATTCCGAAGTTTGCTTGGCTTGGGCAAACCAAACGATGAAACATATCGGAGGAAAAAGGCAATGTCAAGACAGCATCTATCGCTTCCAAATGCACCACATACTAAACACGGTGATCCCTTTGTTTACTTTGAGCACAGCATGATGTCAGTAGATAAAATATAGAGCCATGACAATGCTGTCATCTGACGCAGCCCCATGAAACACTGTGGAGTCATCATTAGAGTGCACAAACCCAAATAGCAGCCACATTCCTTGCCAGTTGTCAACAAGCTTGACGGAATAATGTAAAAGTTTGCGTGAGACATCGAGTTTCCGCAGGAACGCCACCACCCTCAAGGGTCAGGAACGCCACCACCCTCAAAGGTCAGGAACGCCACCACCCTCAAGGGTCACAAGGTGCAGATATAGCTCCTTAAAAGCGGTGGGAGGTGACTCGATCAGACCGACCACAACGTGGTCAAAGACCGAACATTCCATTCGCTGCTTCAGCACGAGGGAATTCAAAAAGGAATGTGTCAGACTGATGGTCCATGGACCATGGGAAAGTACACGTGATCTCAGCTTCGTAATCGTGTCCATTGGACGGGTCCATTCTACTTTTTCTCTGCCCAGGCTCTAGCCCGTAGGACTACGTTTTCAACCGTGTACATGCATATGCACACGTGGTTCTGGTAACGCACACATACATACGTTTACTCTCAACAAACATCCCGAATAAGTAGAATGAGAACACCAGGCCACGTGACATGAGTTTTCGTCGTCGAAGCCACAGTAACACAGCAAATCAGACGGAGCTACTAATCTACACGCACTGTCAAGTTTCAACTACATGTACTGTAACAACAGCTAACGTGTACAAAAGCAACTTTTTTTAACCTTGTGGCCCCATCCATTGGAGACAAAAGTGTCGATTTCTGTCTAATGGTTTTTTAGCAGAATTTTCTCCCCCGTTAACTCGTTAGACTTAGTACTTCATAACATTATAATTATTATAATTACAACTTCTACAGTGCTCACCACGGCGGAGGAATGGTATGTGGTCGTCTTCGACGAGCATTCTCTCATTGGGCTTTTGCTCCTTGAAGTATGTCGGACCTTTTGGATTAATCAGGAGGTCTTTCTTTCTTAGACGCTTTTCTGAAGAAAAAAAGTGAGACAGAAGGGGAATCCACGAACGTCAAATGCTGCAGGATAATACCCCCCCCCCCCCCCCCCAAAGAGGATTTTATCCCAGGTGAGACCCTTTCGACACTACATGTACTGTCAGGTGATACTAGTAGTCTGCCATGATGTGAAAGAGAGGTTTCTTCTGGTGGCTCCATTCCCACAATTTCCCAGTGGCCAGATACCGTATTTTTTCTAATACGCGCCCGGGGGGGGGGGCCGGGGTTCTTATTTTTTCAGTGACAGCTCCACCCGCGCTACTATTAGAGACTGGGCTATTATTGGAGACTGGGCTTTTATTTTTTCAATTGTCAACTATCAAGCCAACTCCAGTCTATACAGGCATAAACTGACCATATCAAAACTGATTTTTCAACCCTAAACTCAGGAATATTGTCAAAACAGATGTTTCACAATAGCATTGGCGCCAGGAATGAAGCAGTAGACCGAAAACCTCCTTAAAAATATGTTCTTGGCATGTTGTACTGCTGTTTTATACGCAGTCAATATACTTGTTGCATACTCCAATTGTGGCCCGCGCTACTATTAGAGACTGTGCTCTTATTATTTCAAACCACTCTCACCTCGGGTCATTATTGGAGACTGGGCTATTATTGGAGACCTGGGCTTTTATTAGAGAAAATACGGTAATCATAATGCATCGAAGTGTACCTGCCGATGACATGCACTGTCTTACAAGTTCCTTAGTACTTCAAACAAATACAAAAGTCATTGAGACAGTGGATGTTCCAGAAGCTGTATTACACGCGGAGCAACTAACCAATGCTGATAAGCTGCTTGAAGAGGTGAGTGGTGTTGTCGAAATGGTCATAAAACGCCAGTGGCGGCTGCCGCGAGCCAATCAAATCGAGCAAAACAAGAGCATCCTACAATCATTCGCACACAGGAGCACGGACAGAAAACATATTATTTGGCATCAACAAGCACGTACCATGCATACACGAAACCTGACCATATCTGGAGGAATCCCCCCCTCTCCAGTCACGGTACCCTAGAAGTGATATGAGTGGAGTTCCACTCTCCGCCAGAGAAGACAGGTAGATGTAGCACAGGTGATACCATGCAGCTGATCCTCACCATCATATCAAGCTCCGTCTTGTCCGGATCAGACACATGCGAGTTGTTATCCATGCGAGCTGCCAGGTGACGCGATCCGTAAATGGAGTCGGTGGCAGTCCAGTCCACAAACGCCTCCTCGCCATCAAAGAATATCAATTGCAGTGTGACGTCCATCATCTACAGCAGTACACAAGATAGGAAGTAAAGCAAACAGGTACAAATTTCAATCCTTCGATCATTGCTCCCTAACTGTCTGGAGATAATCGCTTAAGTACCTGAACAGTCCCAGCCCCCCCCCCCCCCCCAATCATTTAAAACCCACACAACATAGCAGACCAAACAAAAAACGGCAGCATGCACCACCACATTCCCGGCGCACTGACCTTCTTCCTGTTCATGAGCTTGTCGTCGAGTCGCCGTGCCAACTCCATTAGCATGGCGCAGGGCACGGCCGAATCCGTTGCTCCCAGAAACTCGCGGCCGTCCCCGCGAGGAGCAAACAGCTTACTGTCGTAGTGGCATGCCAGTGTCAGGCGTCTCGGCGCTTGTGGATTCAGTGTTGCTATGACGTTGTGGAAGGTGATGTTTCCAACCGGAGTGTCGTCCGTGAACGAATCCACCTCCACGTGCCACGGTGCTTTGATGTTATTCGCAAACTCTGACGTTATGTACTGGCGAGAACAGTGGAGAATAGGAGACAAAACAGTGAATGAGCAACATTCTGCAGGTGGGCATGTGTGCATGTACGTGTGTATGCAGCTATGCATATCTCACAAACAAAAGGAGCAGTTGGTCATTATCTCAGCTCAAAAGGTTGGTTACAGTGTACACAGTATATGATGCCAAGAGTACATGAGCTGGTCAAAGCATGTAGCAATGCCACTTGTATTGGAGTTTGTAAATTATGTTGGGGGAGGGTAGTAGATGGCTCCCGAAAAAAATTCTCAGAACTCAGAATGAAAATCATAGCCTTTTCGGCCCTCTTGTTACTTCTCCACTGTTTGCTCTCCGAGCACTCTTCCTCCCGGAGAAGAACACTGCAATGAGCTACATGCAATTGAGATAACGGATTTCAGTCGTTGCTTCAACAGCCGCTGAATCCATATACGTTCTTTTCTATAACATCGCTTTTCATTCCGCTTTCGACTTAAACGCCATCACAGGTTCAACATTCCCTGGCTTCACTCACGTGGCCACTGAAACATGACCCCTAGCTAGAACTATGGGGTATAAAGCCCTATTGTTGAGGATCCAGCACTATCATAATCCACATAATTATTAGTATCCAATGTCAAATTTTGACAATGGATGCACAGTATTGGCTATGCCGTACAGAATTGTACAGCTCTTGGAGGTGTGTTATAAAAATCTGGAATGTAACTGTACGTCATCCAATGTGTGCACTGGGACATTCTGCACGGCTCAGAGCACTCAGGGCTGATCGACTTGAGGGGCGCAGAAAACGTGCTAGACGTGTCCAATGTTGCTGGCCAGCATCGTAGTAAGGTAGGTGCTTGCACAGCCAGCTTACATTACGCACGGCCACAAGGCCTTCCGACCCGGGCACGCGCACTCGCATGAACGGTGCGAGCTCAGTCTTGAAGAAGTGGTCCATGTTGGAGAGGCCGCTCGTCAAGCTTTTCAGCTTCTGCGTCTTCGACACCGACATCACATTGTGCTTAGGCTGTGCAGGAACACAAAGACATACCAGTCACTTCTGTCAGTGTAGACCTCACGCTAGCCTAGAAATAGTAGGCGAGGGCGAGGGGTGCTTGCTGCAGTACCAAGTATTATGTGATGAATAATAATTATGCACATTGTATACTGTGAAACAGTTTCATTAGTTTCAGGCACTCACTATATCACTCACTATTATATATTTTATATACTTCAAGTAATTATACAGTCAACCGCGTGAGCAACAACTTCGAGTATAACATCAACAACACCTCACGAACAACAACACTTTTCTCTCGCCCGATCGAGGGTCGCTAGTAGCAAGGCTGGCTGTATGTACTATGATAAAATAATTATAGAATATACCTTTCCAGCTGTGACTACACCCATCACTGTATTCTGGAATGTCAACGCACTGATAATGGTGAGCCAATTCGCCAGGCATCGCACTGGGTGACACTGTCCCAGATACATTGCGGCGACACCTCTGTACCTTCTCAGAGCCGTGTGTCTCACAATTACGATGATCATACAGCAACCTTTAGCTACAAAAGGTACACTCTCTGTTCCTATTGAAAATTTGGGATAGATATTGGGGCCGAGAAAAGTGGTTTACTAGTACTCCTCCACTGCACTCTCAGCCTGTGTTTCGTGTGCAGGCTCCAGCGTTACTGGCACATAGTTGCTGTGAAATGCACAATAGTAGGCTATAGGTCATTATACCAAACAATTATATCAGTTGGATTATGAAAAAGTCACTTTTTGAAAATTTAATGTGGAAACTGGTCCTGGAAAGAAATGTTGACGTCATGATTACGAAGCTCGATCTTGGTGTACGTGTGCACATGTGCGACGTGCACGCGTGATAATCGCGTGCTGCGTGAGCTGTCCAGCTGAGACTAGACTGCACTCGAACTGTAATTATGTAGAGCTCTGCAGAGTGCAATTACGACGAGCACAGGTATGTGGAAGATTTCTTTCCCCTTCCACCACAATATCTGCAGTTCATTGGAAGGAGAAGTTCAATAGTTAGTTTGTTCGTGACTCGCGATTTGTCCACAGGTTTTCGCTGTCCGTGGATGTTCCCTTTCCTTGTGGCCGTCATTGGGAGTGGAAACTTTCGCTCGAGGTTAGTCATTCAAAATTCTGCGCTCAGAGCATTGGACTTGAGTACACACATCAACATGCTTTACAGGTGTGGCAAATCAAAATGAATAATTCAAAAACGTTGATCACATGGTTCACTAGGTGACTTTGATGCAATAGCTAACATGGGTTCATATACGTGAGAATTAGAATGGCCCGGATTTTTGCGTTGTTGCAATAAGGCAAACTGCTTACGATACCGTACTTGCACAGTAGATTACCAGGCCTACAATAAAGTCATGTAGAATACGAATACCAGTACTGAAATTATCGCAAGTGTAGAGACCGAAGCCATTCTGCATAAGCGAAGCTGTGGACGCAGCATACTGCTGCTACACTCCAACGCGGGAATGCGTATAATAATAATAATAAGGCCACACTGAAGAAGGTCTGTGGTTCGACTCACCCGACCGACCGTACATTTTTCAGCCCGACCGTAACTTTTTTTCGGCGGGCTGTCGATCGTGTGACTGACGTACGTGGACTGAACACGTCCACGTCTACGTGCTGTGCAGCGTGAGTCTGCGGACGCAGGCGGCTCCTTTTCGACTTGACTTGTAGTTGTACTGCAGTGAGATTGCACTTTCCTCGTGTATTGGGAACCAATTTTCACCTGTACCGGTAAGTAAGTTGCTGCTCCATGTGTGCAAGCACAGGAAGCGTCGATGGAAAAAGCCCATGTATTCGTGCACGCCGACACCAAACTAGCAATACATGTACCGGTACATTGTACAATTTGTACTTCGAAGTAGTTCCCGAACTTACTTTCAACTCGCATCGTTCTTCATTTGCTTGATGATTTGGACAGTCAGAGTCACCGCTTGAAGTTATTCTCTTCTCGTTCCAGAGCTACACAATGTTTCAAAGTATTAGCCAGTGATCCCTTTATACAACATGTATGGCATAACACTGCGTAATAATGCCGATGTACTGGGTGTCTAAAGGCAGTACAGTGTATTTACATGTACTAAAAAATATATTAGAAAAAAAAATCCGCCCGCCCGCCCGCCCGTAAAAAAATGTCCATGTTAGTCGAACCACACACCTTCTTTAGTTTGGCCTAATAATAATAATAATAATAATAAGTACATGTAAAAGAGAAAAGGACATATGGATACGAGTTTCAAATAATAAGTACTGAAATACTTAGTACAATGCTGGCAAGTGAAATCCAGACCGATATACACTTTCAGCCCCGGGAACATATTTTTGATTCCCTGGTATACAGATGGTAGGCCACGTGGCCTTCGACCTGTATTTCGCGACAAAAAAATCAGGTTGCGGCTTATACTCCAGTGCGGCTTATGAATGCGAACAAGACTTATAGGCTATTGATACTACGTTACAATACGCGTCACATTTTGGAATACGACGTACTGGCAGATGTCGTTTTCATGCAGGTGCGATCACACAGGTACGTACACGCTTTTCGTACAGCTGTGCGTACAGCTTCTTTTGGACACAAACTGCCTGGAGCGACAGAACGAATCTCGGTACAGGGGTCTGGATACGTTGTCTACGTTTTCGTATCAGGCGTTCGATTTTCTCGCCACGTTCCATGTTGTCATGGCTATCCGGACAAAAACGTCATGTGCGCCACGTTTTGGGCGTAGTGTGAATAGCACATTAGCCGAACTTGCAGCAGTTCTTGGCCAGTCCCGACACAATACCCCCATGCCGGGTAGTACCTGGTACCTCTGCATGCTCTGCCGTCCGAATGCATTATACTTCGAAGTAGCTGAATATCTGGTCGTGGCTTTGCATGACGATGTACATGTTCAGGTGTACTACATTCGTGTTCACTGCTGCGGAGTGGGGAAAGTATCTACGTCACTGACTCACATATAAATGTCTTCTGGATGGTATGGTCCATCGGTATACCCATGAATAGATTTACATTGTTGTGACTGGCATCCGAGTCCTTACAATTTCACAATATGAGTTTTGAAAAGGCCAGAGAGTCCAACCAGAGATCAAATTGAGCTGTTCATATGTCACGAGCATTCTTTTCTGTATTTCCGAAGCCCCTGCTCTCAACTTGCAAGTCATTGCAGCTAGTGCTCATTGTGTACAATGTACAGTCCAGTACACAAAGTACAGAACGAGCATCATGCGGCCATGTAATTGTTTATTCCCCTCTGGGAGCCCAAGAGCAGCAGTACCTCTCAGAAAGGAGAATTTGTTAGTTGGTTGGCTCTGTAGTCTGTGGTAAAGGGAGAGTGCACCTAGTGTGCAGCAGTGACACGTAACGTGCTGCTCGATGCAGTCTGGGCGCAGTGAGTCGCCTTGCGCCATGGACCTTTGAATACTGGCCTGGGCGCTGGAGGTGCAGGGTGCGAACGTTGTTAACAGACCGGGTTTCATCGAGCTCGACTGGACAAGTCATTGTTACAGTGAAACCTGCCTCAGGCGACCACTTAAAAGTGCTCACCTTGGCCCGGTGGTCTTCTTATCCAGGTTCAGTGGGTCACGTGAACATATTCACTCCACATGTACATGTGATATTATAATATTATCATTTTGATCAGTGCATCACACTGCACACACCTATGCTACCATAGCACGACTCATGTGCCTGGAGGCCTCAGACCTGTCAAATGTCGTGCATGCACCATGAACATCTACCATGATCGACACTTCCTGCGCTAATGTGTAGATCTACCATACATGGTGCACAGTGCAATGCGTACATGCACATGTACTAGTAGAGTGCAACGCGGTCGCGGGTGGGTGGTCGTCGGTCGCGTTGAGCGAGTGGTCGCCTTATCCGAACTGTTTTGAATGTGAATGCGTCCGTGACAAGAAAAAGCGGCCCCCAAATTCGAGTGGTCACCCTTACAGGTTTTACTGTGTGTGTTCCCATGCTCTGTCTACTATGCAGCTCTCCTCCGGATCAGCATGGCAGGGAATGGCATAGAAGCTGAAGCGGCAACATCAACAACTGCGGACAGTAGCACACCCGCTATGGATCTAGACGAGATGAGCTCGGCATTCGGAACGTTAATTAGAAATGCTGTGCCTCCCGAGTTCCAGGAGAAGCAGAAACAAGGCCTTGAGAAAACTCCGATGAGAGCTGCGAAAGCCGTTGAGTTCTTCACCAAAGGTTACAGAGAAAACCTTCAGTGTGAGTGCATTGTTTGCTGTACACCAAGAGACCGATGGAATTTCTTCAAAACAACAGATCTTATCCACATTTTAAGCACATTGGATATGCAGTAATGTGGCCAATAGAGCTGTGAATTCCAGGTCTTTAGAAAATGAATGCTTGTGTTATCAGTGCTGTTTAATGACCTACCATTAGATGTGTGTACTGCAGGTTTGCGTGTGTTTTTTATTGTGTATTTTTATCGTGTGTCTGTTTCTGTCTGCTGTACAGATGAATGTTGTTTTCCTGTGTCTTGTTCCTGGTACCGTACCCATTGATCAGTTGATCATACTGCTAGACACGTGTGTTCCGGTGTGTGCGGTACTTTCTTGTACATGCAATGTACTGTGTAAGCGCATCAGCTACCATCTGTGTGTTCCTCCTGGTCCTCAATGCTTATTGTTGTATTGGTACAAAGCAGAGTTCTCTTTTGTTTTGTTTTGTTTTCGATTTATGCATGCCTGTTACAGCTCTCATCAATGAAGCGGTCTTTGACGTGGAGATGGACAACATGGTGATTGTCCGTGACATTGACATGTTCTCCATGTGCGAACATCACATGGTACCCTTCTACGGCAAAGTGCACGTTGGATATTTGCCCAACCAGAAAGTCCTCGGTCTGAGCAAGATTGCTCGGTATGTCCTATCTTGTCTGGGCCCGTAGCATGACCAGTTACCGGGATCCCCTGTTGTGCAACTGAACTGTGTGCTGCTGTTGTAGCGTTGTGCGATGAGAACTGGGCCAAGACGGTAGCAACAGCTGTCGACATAGTGCTCAGGGTGCTGGTTGCATTGCCCTCTCACGAAAAACGAAGAGAAAACCAGCGTAGGTTGCTGTTCTAAGTTTCATGTCCCAAAAATAACATCCAGACGATCAACCTCGTCTTCCCGGTGTGGGCATTGGATCATGTTCTGTTGAATGCATATACACATCACTGTAGTCTGGCTACAGTGCCCCTGTCCCCTGTCTGGGCCTGGCCCTATGATACACATATTATGTGTATGACTTCTTGCTGTTGTTGTTGCTGCGTGTATTGTTGTTGTTGCTGCAGGATTGTGGAGATGTACTCTAGACGGCTGCAAGGTAGGCGTTCGCCCTTACATTGTGCTGCCCAGTAGTGGGGCAGTGTTGCCCGCCAGTGCCCATGCAGACAACCGAACCTCTACCAATGAATGTATTACACTGCTCTTCTGTCATCTGAGAAGTTGTGAGCCGCATGCGTCAGGTGCATAAAACAATCAATTTTCGCACTCTCTTATTTCTTGACAGCTTTTGTTGCTGTCATTTCTGTCATTTCATTGTATTGTATTACTCTTCAGACATCAATCCTGAATGGCATAAGTGACAGTGGCACGCCCGCCACCTACGCGGACATGCCTTTAATAATAATAATAATAATACAAAATTTAAAAAAAAGGACCAAAAGTTTACAAGTTACCCGTTTTGTCCAACACTAACGGTTATAAGCAGAATACTGTTGAGTCAAAATGTGCAACAATTATGAGATCATGACATTCAACGACCTGATGCTTAGCTGCATCACTTCATAACTTAGAACCTTCCAAGTTGGAAGGCTGCTGGTTTGCGCATTGTAGACGTGATGCAGCTAAGCATCAGGTCGTTGAATGTCATGATCTCATCAGTCAGTTTTGTGCTAATTGTGGCACATTTTGACTCAACAGTATTCTGCTTATAACCGTTAGTGTTGCACGAAACGGGTAACTTGTAAACTTTTGGTCCTTAAAAAAAACTTTAATCCTTGGCTCTCCATCCGAGTTTAATAATAATACTCTCTAATTTAATTGCAGCAGTGAGTTGGAAGTCGAGCGCTCCTAACATTGTAAGTCGCATGTGTCAGTAGTTGACCCGGCTGGCTGCTCTTTGTCAGTAGTTGACCCGGCTTGCTGCTCTTTGTCAGTAGTTGACCCGGCTTGCTGCTCTTTGTGTCCGACTTGTGTCCACCTTAGTGCAAGAGCGACTGACCAAGGACATTGCCATGGGAATCCGAGAAGCGATCGCACCCACTGGCGTTGGCGTTGTGGTCGAGGCAACGTAAGTCTTGCAGTACATGCGGTGGCGTGCTTGTCCTGTAGTTATAGCATTGAAATATGCGTACAGTTGAGTACAGTACAGTAGCCGTATGGTGTCTAGTTCCCTCTGTTGTTAGTGAGATCCAGGGAGTAGGAAAACACCAGTATTTTACTACTCCCTGGTGAGAACAGTGACCAGCGCACGTCCAGCTTCATATCTAGCCAAGACCAGACAAGTGCCCACTGCTCTACGTTAGTTGCTTGTCTTTGTGTAGCAGTACATGCCATCTTTCAATTGCTGCGGACTGTATGAACTGATGATCCTGTGTGAATCTTTCTGTCGGTTTACCTGTAATGCTCTGTTGGAGAACACACAAGTAGCTGTGGGTCTCGCCCTGCATGCTTACACTTCAAAATTTGATAAATTTTCCATTGCAGGAAAACAAAGTAGCGCACAAAGCACAGAGGCTACTGGAAATTCCAACGAGACCTTTCCTACCCTTACACAGTAATTACAGTGGTGATATAATGAGCAGCAGCAAACTAGTACTTACATCTAGCTTTTCGGGGCGGTCGGAGCTGTGACAAAATTATCACCTGAAGCCCGAACGGCTAAAAAGCCGCCTAAAAGCTACGCGCGCTCTTTTAGGTGCTATTTTTGTCTAGCTAGGTATAAGGCCTTACTCGCTGCTGCTCATATCATCATTGTGATGACTTTGAAGAGTATTAAATCAAAATGGTACGAAAGGCCTCGTCAAAATTTGCAGTAACTTCTTTTCTTCACGTGGTATTTCATAATTTGTCCGTTCAGGTGATAATGTCATTGTTCCGTTTGATGTGTTTTGTTGTATGTTGTGCAGGCATATGTGCATGGTGATGCGAGGCGTACAGAAACCGGGCAGCAGCACTATCACCAGCTGCATGCTTGGAGACTTCAGGGACGACCCGCGGTCACGCGAGGAGTTCCTCTCGCTGATCCGACACAGTTCAACGTAGGCGCATGCCAGCGGACCGCGCAATGTAGCGCTGAGTCAATGAATAGACGACCCGCGGTGTGAAAGTTGCGACATTTATTAGGGTCAGTGAACTGTGCAACATTTCTTAGGGTCAGGTTTCAAAGTATTTTCTCTTAGGAAACCAGTTAGCCTGTGGCATATTTTCACGATGAACACATTTCAGATGAGTTTGTGGTGCATTGCTAGCACCACTCTTCCCTACTAGAGGGTCTACTAGTAGAGCAGCAACTCTGTTAGAGGGTCTGAACAGTGCACAGCTCTTGTGTGCCCCTTGAACTTGCCGCATGTGGAGCTGGAGTTCCGCCGAGGCCACGCGCGCTTTTTCCAAAACTATTTATTCTTTAATACTCTCCATCCTAACGTTAGCCGTGTGTTGCTAGTACTTATACTAAAAAGTTATAGTACAGCACCATCATGTCAAGGCGCGGTGGCACACCTCCTCTCTGTTGATACCATGGCGAGGGGTGTCATGACAAAATATCCCATGGCTCGTGTTCTTGCTAACCCTTTCACAGCTGTCCGTTCTCATTGGAACTGTAGCTTCGTAGTCTGCTCCATCTGCCATAGTGTGGCGTATTATCATTTTGATATTCATTTAGGGCAATTGCTTACCTTCTATTTTAAATTTCTGAAAGAGGCAGGAGTATTTTTTTAAACTTGATCTTCTGATGGATATCATTGGTATTATAGGCCATCATTCCCGTGGCTAGCTATGCTAAATACGTTACTTTAGTAACGCCTGGCGCTAGCCATGGTCCACGACGCTTTATAAAAATATTAATCAATCTTAGCAGGAGATCTGTACTGAGCAGTGATTACCGTAAAGTACCACGAGAGCACCCCGCCATCTCGTTCTTTCGTGGGCGTTTTGTTCAGGTGGTGTCCTGTCTGTAGGTCATACAATACGACCTTGTACACACCTTGTACGTTGTGCACTCAATCTGTACTCGGTTTACCTTCGTGCGGCTGCCAGCTCCACACAAGAACATGTCACGTGTGACCTTAGTACACTAAGGTTTGTTCGCCGTTCGCCATCCGAACGATCGAGCATATTGTGGTCAGGGAGCCATAGCCTTTAAAATAGTACTGGGATATGTGTAGGACTCCCTGATTGTGGTTCCTGAGCTATGAGTTCGTTCATATTGCTATTGCAAAAATACAATGTAGTGAATGTACATTGCAATTGAGAGTGTTTACTTCAAAGCTGAAATGATTGCCGTAGAGACGCGCATTAATGATAGCTTGCATGCCGTTCTACCGGTAGAACCCAAGAAATCACCCTGCAAAAGCGCTTTTGGTTGAGAATTTTTTGAAACAATTGTTGAGATGAGGTCTTTGTAGGGCAAAATAATGGCACAAAATGCGAGTGCATTGCATACATGCAAATTTATCAATTGTCAAAAATGGCCGCACATGTTCCTGTTGGAGCGCTAGCCACTCTGTCCAAAGCGAATTTTGACCGTGGCACATCGATCATGGTGAGGACCTAATGTCTTTCTTAGCCCTCCATGGCAGTAGCATGCAACATTCCATACTCCGTTTCCATGGAATTTCGTAATATGCCTTGTCCGATCACATATAAAATGTGCGGACTCCTTCATTAGCCCCTTACTACGGGCCTAAGCAACAGTTTAGGGTCAAGTTTTAGGTCGATGTTAGAACAGAGGTCGTGCAGCATGTCTGTGTATGATGGTTCTACCGGTAGGACCGAGGTCTATGCAAGCTATCATTAAAGCGCATGTGCCCATGTCCTGGCATAAGCGCACCCTCCCATGTAAGCGCATGGGCTTATACATGGTAGGCTGCAACCACACTAGGTACAAAATCACGTACAAACTGCATTACAGTAGAAATCGTCATGCCGACGCGTGCGAAATGCAAAATGCGCTTTGTAGGTTTTCAGCAACTGGCGCACCCCTGTAGAAAGCCACGTTTGTCGTTTTCGTCGTTTTCGCGCTCCATCTCCTGTGTACAACTTTGTTTTTGTACCTGGTCGTCGTACATAACATCACCATCAGCATTGTTTTTTAATTTCCCGGTCTTTTCCAGCGCATGGCACACGCTTTGGTACGACAACGTCACGTGCTGTTCGCGTGAAAACGTCAACTATGCAGACCGAAAAGTGTAGTGTGGTTGCGTACCGTCTTGTACTGAGATATGCATGAAAATTTGTACTGTGATTTTTACGTAGTGTGGTTGCGGCCTAAGTAAGAGTACATAACCATGGTTACATGTATGTACTCTTGATGTAAGTGAACCCAAACCCGCGTCACACTGACGCCACCATGATGCCATCTTTACAGGATTTTGTGTGCAATTTATTTCCAAATTAATTCCAGACTGGTAACTTTAGGGCGTGTTCGAATTGTCACTCTTTCACTTTTCGAGGAGATTCGTTTTTCCTTATTGGCCTCTTCAGAAAAACGAAAACTCCTCGAAACTCCACAACCTCACCCGATGGGAGAGGTGGATTAGTTCCGAAGAGTTTGGAATAGCTACGTCACGTAGCACGTGGAGATGTTCGATCTGATCGGACGTCATCATCGCCATGACAATTCCACTGAAAAACTCTAAAAATGATAGAAACCGTTCTAATGGGACACTTCAACTAATCTCTTTTAAAAATTTGTTTGAACAGTTGATGAAGACAATTCGAACGCCGCCTGATTACAAGCGCATGCGCCTATATGTGAGACCAATCAACCGTCAAAAAATTTCACATACTGTAGTGTCGTGTATACGGTAAAAGCATGACTTGAATAGAAGCCGATTTTTCGAAGTGCACCATGACACAGAAGCGCAGTTGAATAGAAGCCGATTTTTCGAAGTACACCATGACACAGAAGCGCAGTTGAATAGAAGCCGCTCTCTGCAAAATACACGTGCGAGTACTTGCACAGTACATGCGTGGCAATATGCACTGCATATTGTACACTGATGTCAGTGATGATGTTGACATAGAAGCATAACTTGAATAGAAGCATGGTTTGAACCCCGGCACATACGGCCGTAAGCACCTGCTCAGTTTATAAGTCACAATACGGTATGGCAAAATCTAACGTATTTAACGTGACAATCAGCTACATGTACCAGGTACTTTAAAAAGGGGAAGTACCCTAAAGATCAAATTTTCACCAGTTGTAGTCTTCGGGGTGCTGAGTCGAATGGTCTTGGTTCAAGGAAGCTGAGACGCTCCCTTCCTCCTTTATTCCCAATAATAGAACTCGCGCACTTCCACTGAAACTGGGGGGGGGGGGGTCGTATGCAAAATGTCACTGCAAGAGCTGCTAGCCGTTTCGTTCTTATAAAAGCACGGATGACCGCGATTAGCCCATATGTTGTAGTTTTTTGGACGCCGAGTCGACTGGTTTTGGTCCGAAAAGGCTGCGATGCAGCGTTCAGCCCTTATTCCCAATCGAACACGGGTCAGTAAGCGGTCACGTGCTCGTGTGCACACCATAACGGGCGGTGCAGTCGGGTGCAGCCTATAGGGTGCACGGGTGATCAGGTGACCAGTGGCAGTGTACGCATCAGCACATGACTGCTTACTCACCGTGTTCGATTGGGAATAAGAGCCGGACGCTGCATCGCAGCCTTTTCGGACCAAAACCAGTCGACTCAGCGTCCAGTGTTGTAGATGGTCACCCAGTTTTGCCTTTTGGTGGAAGTGCACAAACAATCATGACGACAGTCTGAGTCATGAGCCTGAGTTTTTGTCAGTGCCAGAAACCATGAAAACGTTACAACAAAGCTAAAGAGGGGTGCACTTCAGCTAGAATTCAGGTGCGCGCTATTCCGGCAAATACCGGTTGATAGAACATAGGTCGGGAAGTGCAGACAACCATCAGAAGCTATCCAGTTCTTGCAACTGGAGAAACTGATCTAAGTTTCTACTACATGTGCACTGTACTCTCACACTCATTTTCATAATTTATTATGACTTGTAGTTACCGAAGAAGAAGAAGAAGTGCAGAAAGCCTGTCATGGAGGTGCCGGAGGCTGTACGCTGGCGTCGTATATATATATTTTTAGAAGCTGTAAAACACGTTCTAGAGACTGATGGAGTGCGAAACGAAGCAGAAAGTGACATAACGCTGGACATTCACATCGCTACTGGAGAAGATGCCCATACTACCCCCCCCCCCCCCCCCATAGCTTTAGCAGCGACTACTCGGACATTTTGATCTTCCTGCGAAAGTTGGTGAGCAATGGAGACATAGCGTCTATGGAGCGGGTTTTACATGCTTTGAAAAAATTGGAGAGGACCAGCAGCAGAAGTGGCCGAATGTCAGATTCCGTATCAGCCATCTCCCCAGCCCACCCTGGCTGTGGTACAGCTGTGAAGAGAACATGCTATCGCACGCATGACTATGAACGGGTGGAGATCTGTGCTAAAGTTGGTGAGCACCGTCGCCATGAACTCGGTCCGAAATGCCTGGCCGACAGACGGACGGCATTGCTGCAAGCGTCTCGGTCACCAGTTCAGAGGCAAGCAGTAGTTTATGCTCCGCCGGATATCCGAGAACTTGTTAATATGGAGTGTAGAAGTCGAACCAATGATACTGATACTGATTACTTTGACTTGACGTTGCTGCACTGCGCCATTTTTACCGGCAATGAGAAGATGGTAAAATGCTTGTTGAAATGGGGAGCTGACGCAACATCAACTTTGGTCTTTGAGTTTGGTGGAGATTTTCCCGGTCACGCTTGGAAGCACACTCCGATTGGTGTTGCCGCTGTCCTGAAGCATGCTGGTGTAGTGAAGTGTCTTCTAGCAAGCGGTGCATCGCCATATGATGGTGGCAGTTGGGGCCCCCGGCGCTTCTACACGTACGGTTTGTGTAGATATGACGCTGCAACTTGTGAAGCACTGTGTCAAAACCCCAAGTACCCTCCGCCGGTGTCAGAGACATGGAGTTCCCAACAGCATGGTTGTGAAGAATGCTTCATGCGCATGCTGCCCTACTGCCGTTGGGACACAGCATGCTGTAGGGGAGGACTTGGTACTATCATGATAGCCCATATGAAGCGGGTGCCAGAGCTATTCCGAGAATCATTCCTGGGCATGGCCAGTTTCACCGTCACTGAACGATTATGCAAGCGGTTTTGGTGTGCACTCAACTTGAGGAAAGCTTGTTACAACAACGCGTACATCTATGAGAGGCTTCATGGAAAAGCAATAGACACTGCCGAGCTCACCAGTTTTGCCCATTCTCTTCTCCAAGAGGGTACGGATCCAGCTGGTTTGTCAATCTCCGATGCGGATGCACTGTGTAGCGCATGGCTGCAGCTCAGTATTGAGCAGGCCGAGTTGCATGGCCACAGGCCACCTGTATCATTTATGAGCAGAGAGAGACTTAGTGAGGCTAGAGACCGCTATCTTGCTTACTTTCACTCGCGAGCTGCAGTTCTGGCTACATGTGTCAAAGATGAAACAAAGCAACAAGTACTAAAGATTCTCCCTAGAGTTGACCCTCATCTATCCGTGACTACATCTGCTGCATACTTCAGTTTCGGTACGCCACCAGTTGTTCACAGACTTCTGTTGACGAGAACAGCCAAAGATCCTGTTGTGGAGCTGCTGGTGAAACATGGTGGTCTTCCTGGTATATCAAGTGTCGACGAGATACCATTTGTTGATGGATGTCTTCACGATGGTCCATCCTGCTACTGCAATGTGGAGCTATCAGCTGCTCAGCGGAAAGTGAGTTTGCTTGATGTTCTCACACCGCGTCCCAAGCCCAAGTCTCTGGCGCATTTGTGTCGCTCTGCTGTCATTGAAGCATGTCATGGGTATGGTGTAGTCAAGGCGATTCAAAGTCTTGATCTTCCACCAGTCCTACTGAGTTATCTTTTGTTCCAATGAGCAATAATACTAATAGTAAATTGAGTATCATCTGTTTCACCCCCTTGAAGCTAGTCGACAACAGTTCGCATTTTAGTACAACCAAGAGTTTATAAATTATAACCTTGGGGGTCATGTACTCTTGGTACAACGTATAAAACTCGTATATAGCTCAAACCGTTGCGAGTATATAACTAAAGAACTATTTCAATCAATCGTCCCTTGAATCTGTCCAGCTAGGCCCTGCTACTAGCTACTATCAATTGTCCATCAGATTCGAATGTTTCACCTAACGGATTCCTGCAGACAGATGTGTTAACTCCACATGTTTCATTTTGGGCTAAATGCGCTTCATTTGGGCTACATACATATGCAGCGGTCTCGGGGAACAAGATGCGGTCTCACGCAATATGATGTTACGCTCAAACGTCTCTTATCCGGACACCTCAGATACGGGCATGTCTCTATTGCAAAAAACGTTTCCATCAGTTCGAGCAACATGCATGATAACCTGGGCAAAAAAAACATAGCGAGGGCCCTGAGCTTTCAAGCTCTCTCGTTTTGGTCATTTCACCAGCTCTTGACCTTTGTGAACTTTTTTGCATCCAGTTTGTGCACCTACCATAGTGACCCACATGCATATCAAATCCTGTAAAGATAGCAATGAAGGGTCCAGTGTCGCGGGATTGGGACCATGCTTCCGCCCGGGAGAAGCTGTGTGCCTAAATTGTATTGTAAGGTGTTAGGGCAGCATCAGTTGGCTCTCTTCAGAAGTCTTGAAGAGTGCTAGTATTATCGTTTGACTTATGTAACGTTTACTTGTAGAGGCATTTTAAAGAGGATATGTCAGTGTTTTGACAGATCCCATATACAATGTAATAGGATTTGAGTGTTCTGCATTATCCAGAGTGGTGCGGAATGATGATAGAACTGGCAGGGAATGTAGTATAGAAGTGCTTGGTGTGCTGAATAAGTAAAAAGATACCATGGATAGATGTCTATGATTGGTTGAGGAGCACTGCCACAGGTTGTCACGTCTAGAACTTTTAACCGCACTACCTGGAGTATTGGCCGGTCGGCTTGAACTTCGGATTGTTCCTACGGAAGTGTGTGGAAAACAGTTCCAAACACCTCAGGAAACTCATTTCATCAATTTGCATAGGTTGTTTATCGAAATCCCGCCAGAAACCAAATTCTATTATAATAATAGGATTTGCTGGTGACAGTTTGAGACCTATCATAGGCACATGCGCTTTAATGCGCGTCACCATGGTAGGCCCTTGAGAGGCCGATTTGCATTTTCTCACGGGAATCGCAGCCTCCAAGTCGTCGCACCTGCAGACTTGTTTTGTGTTGATTTCCGAATGAAAAGAATATTTCAATGAAATTTGCTGCTTAGAGCCCTGCCAGTCCTGTCAGGCGACCTTTCCTAAGCTGGAGAGATGGTTCGGAGTTATGCAGACGCCTAGGCCCGTACCTTGTAAAAATATTTAGGAGCTTGCAGCTCGTGCGCAGCCACCAAGGACGAATGTCTCACTTTCGTAATGGCTGAAACGAGGAATGTGGTCACCGATTTCACACCAGGAAAGGCATTTACACGCCGTGGACACTAATAAAGCCGCTTTGAGGAGTGAAAGACCAAAGCTTTATTTTTTCGAATGCATGAGAAATTAGAGTGATACCTACACGTATGTGCCCCAAAACTACACCTGAAAAAACGGCGTACAGAAAATATTCTAATTTTATGAGAAGAGACAATTGAGCATGCTCTAATTCGTCATGAACAGTTGCGGCACTTTTCAAACGCCACTCCAAGTGAGCATGTGCCACTCCTTCATCAATAATACAGGAACATTTGAGCTTAGGGGATAAAGGTGGGATATTTGAACTTCACCAGCTGAAGTACAAGTTTTTTTCTGATTTTTTGGCCACTAGATTGCATAGCTACGGGAATAAGTCAATATTTGTGCACGTGGTGATATTCTGAGCATCACATCACATAATAGTATAAGCAGCACGGCACTGGTGAGTGCAGAATAAATTAGTTTTCCTGCTCTCTGACTCTTTTCTTGCATTGTTACCTGGCACAAATATCAAATTCGTCGAATGAAAAGAAGAAGCAATTCGTTGCTGCCAATCGACTGCACCAGTTCTGTTTACTTCTGCTATTCTTCCTTCAGTGTGGTGACTTCTGAACAATGAGGCAATGGCATCAAGTCAGTAGTGTGCAGTGTGTGGCTGTCTCTCTGCCAATGGATCTGTGACAGCCGAAGCCCGATGTTGCAGTTTGCTGGTTATGGCCAGCAGCAATCTAACATTGTACATTCCATCCACACACACGGGATTGCTGAATATGACAATGATAAACTGCCTATTTGAAGCAGCATCGCAAAGCTTAGAGACAGCATAGCATGTAGATCTACCATGATACTTCCCATCCAGGTCATCAGCCGTTGTTGGATGCAGACTGCGGTTGATCCAGTGATGAAAGAACAGAGCGAACCTCATCCCGCAGTAGCCTGCGGTTGAGCTTGCGCATCTCCGCAAGTTCCTGCTGCAGTTGCTTGACAAGCGCACTGGACTTGATCGCTTCGGTGTTGCCTGCCTCTTTCTTGCTCTTTTCGTTGGCCTGAACGACAACAAATACCAGGACGATACGTTGAAGTGTTATTTATAGGGATCGATATCGTAAGAATATCTCATAAATCGGAGTCAAAATCAGTCAATGCTACTACATGTACAGTATATGACTGTGCCTCCCTGGTAGCAGCAACTCTGTGCGACTTACCCTGCAGCAAGACCACCAGTACGTCTTCCAGTAGTCGCTTCTTTCTTTGCCTGTTAGCCCAAAGCATTTGGCGAGAACACATTAGTAGATACGACAGGTTTAGTGATAGATCATAATTAAAGTAAAAAATGGTCCACAGTGCCACAGTGCCTTAACATCTTATTGCAGGCCATGGACACCACAAACTGTACCAGCGGCATTCAAATCTAGCTTCCTAATTCATCATTTCATTTGGAAAAAATTCTTCGTGTCAGATGTTCGTCAGACGCAGAGATTTCACAGTACTACATGCACACATTTCCATGCACATGTGTCGCCTGCCCCATTAGCTATGCTTAGTGTTTAGACTACGTCTTTATCTTTTTGTTGACCTACCGGTGTACGGTGCACTCGACAGTCATGGAAAGAAACGCTCACCACAAAGACTGCTAGGAGCACATACTTCAGGTTTGTACTGAAATACTGAAATAAGCCCGAAGAGAAGGCACGAAAGTTTACTCAAGTGCTTGTGACAGTTTTCGGAATGCTGTTGAAGAACCTGAAGGGTGTGCTCCTACTAAGTCTTATAGTATGTTTGTCTCCGAGGAAACGTGTACACCGACTAATACTGAGGGTTTCCAGTACTGTAAAACGGCTAATTTTAGCGCCGGTGATATTTTTAGCGACTTTAGCGAAAGGAGTGTTTTCGCTAAAGTTTCGCCGCGCCGATCGAAATTTTGCATGTACAGTACAGGACTGATCTTCTTCTTTTTTCAACTCTGACTCTTGGATCGTTAAAATACTTCATCGCGAATTGGTCCTAATTCAGAATACACTAAAATGTTTACCCGCTAAAACTAGCCATTTTACAGTAGGCGAAGTCAGTTTTTAACACTGAGGTACACCCAAGTATCGATTTAACATTATCATTTATTTCGCACCAACCAAGTCTTGCAGCAGCAAATGTTTTCGATGGTGCATACTATGGCAGCACAGAACGAAATGCTGTTGACAACACACTAACACATCTGAAGGCAATTCTGAATGGCCGTACCTTGTAACGCCAGCTTCGTCCCAGCCTGGACAAATCAAACAAAACAACAGCAGATGCAGCACACAAAGCAAAGAGTTCATCACTGCCATACGTGGACACAGCACAGACAGTACACCGCACAGGTCATACATAGCATCGTCTTGTGTGGAGCTCTAATCCGCTCGAAGGTAAATTGAGTGTGGATTCACTGCACAGCGTGCAATGAGTGTACTACTTACGCGTCGTATGACCTACAGGCAGGACACCACGGCCACGAAAGGACGTTAGGGTGGGGTGTTCTCGCCGTACGTTACGGTAGATGCAGTGGTGTGACAATCCCAGTCATAAAGGATAATCTGATTCTCTGGCTCTGGTGAGCTCTTGTAGGTTATTTGGTGATTTTATCGTACAGGATGCAGTACTGCGAAATTTGAAATTCGAAAAAGGGTTAAAAAAAAAGGAACCTCAACTGGGGTTCGAAACGCAAAATGTCCTGTTGCAATTGGAATCAACGGCCTAGAATTACATGGTTTTCCCAACTCAGTGCTTTTGGCCAAGGTCCTATTCTTGTTACGGCTTGCTTTTTGGAGAAATAGACTTCAGGAACAACATTCCATAGGGGATTGCATAATGGTGTGATGTACTGTGTGTAGTGGTGTGATGTACTGTGTGTAGTGACGTGATGCATTATGTGCAATGGTGTGATGTGTTACGTGGTACGGCAAACTACTACCAGTACCGTAAAGTACCGCCAGAGCGCCCCGTCTCGCGAGAGCGCCCCACCTTGATTTGACAGCCAAGGGAAGAAAATCGTATGGCAGAATGCTACTAAGTTTGTACGATGTGAGAACCTTCGTGTACTTAGGTCACACTTGGTATGCTTTTATGTGGAGCTCGAAGGTAAACTGGGTACGGATTGACTGCACAATGTGCAATGTTTGTACAAGGTCCGTGTCGTATGACCTACAGACGTGGAATCCACCTCCACAAGGCGGCCACGAAAGGACGAGATGGTGGGGCGCTCTGGCGGTACTTTACGGTAATACCAGCACTGGTGCACGTCACCACCAACCTTTGACTGAGCTTGGCCATGGAGGCGCACTGGACAATTGTCGAGTGCTGCAATAGAAGAAGACGTGCCAGAAGTAGTTGCAAGTTGCCGCTGGAAGAGAGCTAGAGGAGGTAGGTAATCCGTATTCACGCGTGCCCCGGGCTGCCGGTTCCACAGGACACCAGGTAGCGAAGTGAAGCAGCCAAAGCTCACGGGTCCTTCAGAAAATAAACACAACAAACACGAAAGTCACTCTTAGCTAGGAACATAACATTTTCTAATTATCGCCTCCACTTTTCCATCAACAAAATTAATCATAAAAAGTTGGCTAAAGGTGAAGTTAGTGCAAGTTACCAGTGCTCTCAAACAACAAGCCTCAAAAGAAAAACCCCAATGTAAAGGAGACGGCCTAACAAAAGCCTGAAAGTGACAGTGAGCAGCAAGCAGAAGAAGTTCATTTTACTTCAAAAAGTTCTCAGAGCACATTCACGCGACTCGGAGAGAGCACACTCCAAGCACCACAAGAGCACAGCAAGAGTATCACAGAGACGAGAAGCAGAGACCCAAGCACAATATGCACTTACCCTTCCGTTCAAACACGAGAAGGCATGCACACGTGCTGACTTGCCACAGGCGTGCTGTACCATCATTCGAGGCAGACAGCAGGGTTGTACCGTCCGGGGATAGCGACAAACACGTTACAGATCCCCTGTAAACACCCATACAGTGTACATCCTCGCCTGATCATCAGCTCATGAATAAATAGTGAAATAGGGTCGCGTTCGACTGGGAGCAATGGATGAATGATGTACCGCAGCCTCCTCAAACCAACACCATTAAATTTTGATTCAGGGTCCTAAAGACTACGGGTTCTGAAAGTTTCATCTTTGTCCATGCCGCTTGAAGAAAGGAAGGACGTTTCAATCAAATTCCCTATCAAGTAGGGAGCACTCACTCAATGTTGGTGGAGGGTGCTTATTTGATTGGGAATATAGGGGTTAGGGGCCGTCCGTAAATACATTTATTTACTTAGAGACGTCTAACAGGCGTTTCTGGTGGGTGGGTTCGCCTGCAAGGCGTTTCTAAAAAATACATTTCGGAGTGCATGCATACCATACCGCGCGTGTACATGTACATGATGTAGCTAGCACTGCTATAGCTAGTACCGGTACAGGTAGGTAGGCGTTGAGACGCACTACACTGCACTGCACGCGTCACGGCAGAGTAGACCATGGTAGACAGGGAGGCAGGGACACATAACGGTTCGCTACAAAGGGTCAATTTTGTATGGGTTCAAACAGGGACATGGACATGGACACACGGACCAGGGTTCGCTATATCACAAATTTCGCTACATTATATATGCGAGTTCGTTATAAGTGGAGTCGACTGTACGAGTACTGTATATGTGTGCATAGTATGGTGTTTATTTTGAGTGGTATTATCTGCATTTTGGGCAGCGTTTCTGGGGGTGGGTGGGTCAAGAAAGAAACGCCTCTTAGACGTCTCTAAGTAAATACATGCATTTACGGACGGCCCCTTAGACGATCACGCAATAACCCGAGATTTTGCATTGAGCGACCTCAGAAACACTGATGTGCCATTGTCATACCATACAAAGCAAATGCGATGATGTCATCTGCACTACCTCTATAGGCAAGCGGAGCATTGTAGCTTCCTCTGACCGATCTGATTCGACTCAGTGCCCAGAAGACTACAAGAAGTGTACGCACACACACGCACACACACACACACACACACACACACACACACACACACACACACACACACGCACACACACACACACACGTTTCTTTCCTTATCACACAAAAACACGCCGCTCAGCTGTAATCAAGTAACTACTTACGTGTGTCCAGTGCACACCATTTTCGGTGACTGTCTTGCTTGGTCGTCCTCGCTGGTCTCACTTTGTGCCTTCTGAGGGCCACTTGTCTGAAAGAATGCAGAAACAAAAACACAGAAGCATTAATACTGTCAATGCATTGGTAGACTCAATGTGGACAATAACACTGCTTTGCCCCATTATTCCATAATAATGCAAGTGCATGATTGTTGCCAGACCCTTGGGCGAACACTCCACTCCGTTCAGTTAATTTCGATTACTAAGCATTAGTCTAGTCTAGCTACCTCCTCCACTGGGCTTGGTGCTACAGTTCATTTCATCACACTCAGTGCACCAGTGACAATGTGACATCCACCTACATCTACTTGCGTAGCGTGCCTTACCGTGCGGTACATGTTAACTTTGCGAATGAGGTGACCCTTTTCTTCCGCGCCAAATAGGTACAGTTCCATGGAGTCCAGGGCCAACGCCAGCAACGGCGACTCGAAAATCAGCGTGCAGAGGCGCTGTCCTGTGCTGAGTTCATACACCTGTTGAGAACACAACAGAATCATAACAACAAGACAGTTTATCCTTCCTTCGCATCGGCCGAACAGTATTCACCTACAGTTCACTGAAGCAGAATTTTGGCTACAAGAGATTATCACTCAGTACAGATGGAGAATATCACTGCTGCCGTACCTGACACGTCCCATCTTTCGCTGTAGTGAATACACGAGCCCGGGCAGCTCCTGTGCCACAGTAGATGTCAGTGACAGGCCGGGAATGGTCCCGCCAGGACTTGAGCGGGCTGGGCACCTCGCCGCGGTGACACTGGCTAAGAATGCTGCACAGAAAGCAAAGCGTGACAACCAAACACATCAATGCAATACATTTTTAAATGTCCACATCTACAATCACACATGGCAGAATAACTCCTGACATGTGCGCTGGCTCATTTCTGAAACGTCAGATTCTCCATTACACCTATCCATCACGGCATGAGACAATGACATCATCTACAGTCCAACCACTTTAGGATGAACACCAAGGGACCGATAGTATTAGGTTTGCAATAACGGCAGTACTTCTTATCCCTGGGACAGTAGCATGATGTCATCTACCCCCATTCCGTCCCGTCCGGAACCCCCCCCCCCCCCCCGCCAAATCCTGGACACGCCACTGCCTATGAAAAAGCCCCCCCCCCCCCTACTCATTTGTCAATTTTCGTGTTTTTTTCACACCATTCAAAGAAACATGCAGTCGATTTTCACTACTTCCTCTTGTAGAGGGTTCATAAAGGCACATTCGTCTGGGGTGAAGTCGGGGTTCGCCTTGAACGTTGCAGCTTGCATGGCAAGACAAATTTGGAAAGTGGAAAAAATGGGTTACGGGGTAACTGTTTCCCATGCACCCCCCCCCCCCCCCCCCTACTATTTCGACCAGGCCAAAACCGTGCTATCCATTTTTATACCCAGGAAATACACAGTGATTTATCCAATAGAGTTACTTGGTCCGCCCAGTTAAAATTGGCGCTTATCTTCACACTTGTCTCAGGAAAGAAATACTAATATTTGAAGCAAGCTACGATCACAAAGCACTATATACATGATTATTTACATGTCAGTAAGCAACTCAGTCGAAAATTCAAGCAAGTTACACATCCTCCTCGCCACTATCGTCGCTGGAGGAAGAGCTCAAAACGTACGATCCGGACAGCTGCTGCACAGGCCGTTTCATACTTGTTCCACTTCTCCTCGTCTCGAATCACGCTCAAAGGCAGTGCGTGCCTGTCACCTTCCCATCAGAAGCTGAGTGAGACTGCCCGCATGTTGACTGTAAGTGTTATCCCCGTTCGTCGCAATAATGCGACTTTGTTTGAGACAAAAAGGCAACGCCATATCAGTGTCCTTTTTTCAAATCGCCTCTTGCGCTTGTCGGACTTGCTGATCAGCACCCGTACCCACGGGAGCCGCTGGTGCTTGTACATGCAGCGCAGTGATAGCTTCCGCTTGATGTAGCACCTGTGCGTACTGCACCTACAACGCCGTGCACCAGGCTTTTCGGCTAGTTTCCTGAAAGTCCTTTGCACGAGTGTTTCTCTCAGGACTTGGTGTTTCCTTTGATTAGCTCCTTTGCCCTGTCCTCTGTGAGCTTCAAAGTGTGTCCGCCGGATTGGTCTCACTTACTGGAGACATCGACATGAGCTGCAGTTTCTTCGTCAGCGATTTGCTGGTGATAGCCCTTCACTAGGCGCTGTACTGTGCAAGCACTGAAATTCAAGTTCGCGAAGCGCTTTTTCAGCTTTTCTATACCTCCCCGGAGTAAACAATCTTTGTCATCAGACAGCTGGAAGTAGACAGAAACTGTATTCTCCATCGCTCTGAAATGCGAACATCCTGACCTATTTTACGGACTCGAGCGGAGGTTGCAGTGTTTTCTTGCGCTGACGGAAGTGTTCGTCGGCGGCAGCTCCGTCAAAAAGACTCAAACGAACTGATCGCAACTTCTGTGATGGTTTGTGCTGCCATGTCGTCGAATGCAATGGTCAATGGTCATGTTCGGATGGTGAATCGGTGGTTCCATGCCGTATGGCACAGGCAGAACACCAAAAAACCAAGTGAGAAGATAAGCGCCAATTTTAACTGGGCGGACCAAGTATGTTCTAAAGTAAACGTTTGTTAAACCTCTGTGAAAACCACCCTTTAGGGCCCACAATTATTTCAAGGAATGCACTGCATACGCGAGCCCAGTTACTTATCTGGTCGTAACTTTGGTGTCCTTTGTGGCTGATTTTGGTGATCTTGGGCTTTCTGGACAGCTCTTGGCAAGAGGAGCACAGCGATAGCCAGCAATCCATCATTGAATCCAGAGAACCAGCGCCGCAGCGCGATTCGGCACTCCACAGCCAGCATTGCGAGCGCCCAACTCAAATTCGCTGCCATTTAAACAAAAAAGTATCGCAGATCGCTCAGACTTTTATTGCATGAGAGCTGAGAAACATGCCTTTGCGATGACGTGAACTATCTGTGGCTGCGTGGGCTGCGAGTCAGGGAAAAAACCCCAAAAACGAGTTCAAAATGCACGCGCCCGAGTTGACTCTGCTGAGCAAACTTAGTTCGTGTCTCATAACTCCGCTCTCCGCATGTAAATACTCCAATTGTCCACCCAGTGTGTAAGGCCAGGGGTGCATTGTGGTGTTACCATGCAAACATTACCCGATCGGGTACCCATACCCGTGCTACCCGTGGAAAACTACCCGAACCCAATACCCGACACCCGAAGAAAATGCTACCCGACTCAGCCCTAATTCATTCAGCACAAGACAGGCAGTGTATCAAACACAAAGCACAAACACACGTACCTGCCAAGACCCCACACATGCACAAACACACGTACCTGCCAAGACCCCACACATGCACGTGCCCATCTTGGCCGCCTGAGAGGAAAAGCGCGCCATCGTCGGTGAAGCGCAGCACGCTCACCGGCTGGAAGTGATGGGAAACAACTGCTAGAAGGCGCCCTGATGCAATCTATACAGACACCCATAGACAGATGAGATTGAGTACAGGTAGAACAGAGGAGATTGAGTCAGGTAGAACAGAGGAGATTGAGTGCAGGTAGAACAGAGGAGATTGAGTCATGTAGAACAGAGGAGATTGAGTCATGTAGAACAGAGGAGATTGAGTCATGTAGAACAGAGGAGATTGAGTACAGGTAGAACAGAGGAGATTGAGTCATGTAGAACAGGTGACACAATCAAACCGGTTACTCGTCACTGACTCGTTATGGTCATACTCGATTCTAGCTAACAGTTGCAAAATGTGCTTATCAAATACTCGAAAGGCTTTTCAACCACCAAAATGCTGGAATAATACTGCAGGCTATGCCAGTCGCAACTCTTATCAAATCTACGATGGAGAACTGTGATTTCAAGTGGTCTGGCATCTGTACTGCTGTGGCCTCGTTATTTTCATGTTCTTCGTTATCATTTTCTCACAAAAAAAGAGAAGAGGAAAGTAGTACCACTCCCAGTTCAACAAATGGTCATGTGAAGGGTTTCACCCCTACATACTGGGAATCAGATTACTTGCCGCATGGAAAGTATTGTAAAAAGAAAAGTAAAGGTCACACGTTCGCTATTGTTCCTGAAGATGGCTGTGAAACTGCCCCGTTCGAGACATATTCAACTTCATGAACACATGATTTGATTGTTCCAGCCTCCTGTAGTCCCAAACTAATCAAACAATGGTCCAGTAGAACAAACGCCACAAAAAAACATAAAACATAAAGAGCTGCCTATCGACCAAACATTCCGACCCTACTAAGCTCACACTCACGCCCCATCACCACCCGGATAAGCGAGCTATGAGTGTAGTAGGAAGAATCTTTCTTCATGCAGTATTCCACTTCTAGCTCCCCAGTGCAAGTGAGTAAAAATGATACTCAACATCAATGACGCAAGGGTACATTATAGACGGAAATGCAGACATCAGGGCTGCCAAGCATGACTACAGTAAGTACCAAGTAAAGTTTCAAGCTTCGCAAATCATACCTGCCACACATATATTGATGAACCGATGCCGCACAGACAATATGTTCCACACGGAGTACATGCGACTGCCAATGCCTTGCCGGGCAGAGGGATACGAATTGTTGGTTGGGCGTGCTGAGGAGAAACAAGCAAAGAAGTATAGTAATGGTATCTTACCACCCGAGCTGACCTGTAGAAGTATTGCGGCAGCAAATATTTCTCCTGGCTCAGCAACATACCATATCCGCCAAGAGTACATAACCCCCCCCCAGAGTGTGCAACTCCACTATGGGTGCTGTCCCGACAGAATTTCAAGTTGACGTCATTTTCATGATGCAATGCGCACAGTACACGGATTATCAGACGAATCCGGAACCTGTGGTTGACCGAAGCCGATCGATCCTGTACAAATTATTGGAAAGAAAAACGTGTGATGCGTTGACACCCGTACACATGTTGTAAATCACTGGGGCAAAGAGCATTGCGTCATAAATAATGACGTCAACTTGAAATTCTGACGGGACAGCAGGGTATGTGGGAGTTGCACACTCTGGGGGGTTATGTACTCTTGATATCCGCTGATGACCCTGGGTGCCCAGAACAGAACTACAGCCGAATGTCACTTATCCGACGTTCAGTCATCCAGCACGCGGGGTGTCCGACAGCGTGCTGGCAGCTCAAGTCTTCCTGTGTGTTCCATGCAAAGTGCAAACCATTTTTAAAATGCCCTGAACATTGCCGTATTGTTATAGAGTGGGTTCATATTGATGTGCAAAATTAATAACACGAGAGTCGGAAAAGAATGCCCAAGTAAAGGTATCGTATTTCCCTGATTATAAGTCGCACCCCAATTTCAGGTTTGAGCCATACTGTTTCGATATATTCACTTCAGTAGCAAGTCATGCTCCGTTGTAAGTCACACCCTCTTTTTCGCCCTTGAAGTTTAGTGTAAAAAGGTGCGACTTATATTCGGGGAAATACGATACATGTACACGGACATGTACACAGACATGTACACGGACATGTACACGGACATGTACACAGACATGTACACAGACATGTACACAGACATGTACACAGACGTGTACACAGACGTGTACACAGACGTGAACACAGACGTGTACACAGACATGTGCGGCCATCATCTTGTTGGTGTGTGGATAGATTGGTGCTGATTTAGCTTCAGATATCCGGAATATTCACTTGACCAACACAGCCCGGTCCCGAGGGTGTCGGGTAACTGACACACTACTGTAGTCACTATCGACATTACTGATACATACATCCCTCCATACCGTTGAACTATAAAGAGCTAGGTGTTAAAGCCAATGAAGCAGTAAAGTCTTGTCCTCTATTGGTTTTGGTTACACATGCACAACTTTGACAAGTGAAATCCAGCGCCAATGAACGTAACACCTCCGCAGCTGCATGCACCTCGCACTGCGAACATTGGGCTGTGCAGTGAACGTAGCTCTGCTGTGTTCATGAGGCCCAGTGAACGTAGCTCTGCTGTGTTCATGAGGCCCAGTGAACGTAGCCTCTGCTGTGTTCATGAGGCCGAGTTTCATTTGCCACCACTGCAATATCCAACAAGAGAGTAAATGCATGTGCCACTAATCACTATACTGTGGAAGTCTGGTGAAAAATGAAACTTTCACGGTCTGTAGAGTTTGGGTCGCTGAGTCGAATGGTCTTTGTCCGAAGAGGCTGCGGTCCATGGTTCGTCAGATATGCCCAACTGAATGTGAACGCGCAGTCTACCTAATCCAGGTGCTGACATCCCAGCGTGCAGCAAGGTAGCCACATCATCTATTTGTGTAAAATGGCCAATGTTCGGAACGCGTTCGTTTGGGGAACCATTTGTCGCAGTTTCTTTGGACCAGACCAGTTTCTTTGGACCAAGACTATTCGGCTCAGTGGTACAAACACTAGTGCCCTGAGATTTTCAGTTCGGCAAATCTTGAGGTTAAATCCCGTCTTTTAGCTGTTTCCGAGTTGGACTTTTTTATACATCCGCTGGCCTCTGCTTGCATGCTGTGGCCAACAAACTCATCGCACGGAACAGTACATTACTACTTCCGCGCTGTGCTACGTGAGTCGTGTGGTACAAGAGACTAGTCAAGACATGGACTTGTCATGTACTACACTCGTACCTGCCGTATGTAGTCAGGGAAAGTGCACTCCTCTGGGCCGGTGGTTGTGCTTTGAGAAAGAAATATTTTAGTTTTCAAATGGAATAGTCCAGCATCATTTGTGCTACAACGATGAGTCCACAACTGTGACAAGTGACAAAACAGCGAACAGCTCCCGGACCTAAAATGTTCAGATCCCGTAGTGTTGTAAGCCTTGAATCGAAGAGCCGTGCCCGTGGTTCAAAAAGCCTGCGTTGCATCTCCAATCGAGCAGCGGCCAAGCCATGTTCGTACCAAAAATGTGGTAGCCCTTTGAAGTCCAAGCGAGTCGGTATCAAACAACATTTAGAGCACACATCGCTCTTCTCCAGTTCGCCGATTCTGCTCTCCAGAGATCTGATAATTATATCAGCCTAGTCTGCAATAGCTGCATCTTCACAGCTCTTGGCAGGCGCGGAAGCGCTCACTCTAGACCAGTCCGCGCAGCCATTTCTTCAGCAGAATGCCGAGGTTCTCAGCCCTAGAACGAACTCGTGAAGGTCAGCCATGGCTCCATCCTCACTCTCACTTGGAGATATGTCTTCGGGGTCGCTCGTACTACCCACAATCGGTCACCAAATCATTTGAAATAGCATTGACAGTATTGCTTTCGTGTACTCCTTTTGACCTAGCTACACGCTATGGCATTGCAGACCGTATGTCGCGGCCGCATGACGCCATGGAGCAGCCCCCCGGAAACTCAGTTTTTTTAAACGGAAATATCTCAAGAACACTTTTTCGGAGACATGTGGGACTAACACCACTCGATCGACTCAGCGCCCCGATTCTACAGACCCTAATATTCATTTTCCATTTTTTAACTCTGACAGCAAAACAATTTCCTGCAATTTTTTCCAAATACTCCCCAATAGAATGCATATTGCTTGCGAACCCCAATATGGGATCAAACGGCGAAAAATAAATCCACTCTCTGGAACAGCAACATACTAGTAGACCATATCCCACCTTTAACCAAGTCCATACGTGCAGTACCGGTTTCTCCTTGTACGCAGCCACCACGTAGTCAGAGCCCAGTCGTGCAACACCACGACATGCCACTGTTCCTGCACTTCCACGTAATGCCTGTGAGTGACGACCACCCGTGTGCATGTCACAGAGGGACAGGGTCCCCTCCGCGTCCTCTGCAAGAAGAACGGCGGTAGCCATTGAGAACTTTTGTCAGCCTAGAGCAAATTGTGAACGAATACACACATTTTATGATATACAAAATCGAACTCATTGAAAAACGTTTCCCCATTTTCGTAGGCGCACGATCGTACGACCCCACGTGCACATAAGCACGTGACGCCCTGTGGGGCTGTGACCATGGTGACCCCTATCGTAGGTTGTTGTGCTCGCTTGTGCTAGCTGTGCGCGGCGCGCCCGGCTACTTCTTTTTTGTTGTTGTTTATCATGTTTATTGACAGCATGAAACAAGGTGGCCGTGGAGGACACTGTGTTCGGAAGTATGGAATCGAGCATGAGTACGAGGACGAAAGTGCGGAATCGGAGCCCGACGCGCGCTAGCGCGGAGGGCTCCGATTCTAGCACTTGAGTCCGAGTACGAATGCTTTGATACCATTTCTGACATGCATTGCACGAACTACTTCGTACTACTACTACTAGTACTAGTACTACTACATGTAGTACTTCACACATACCTAGTACCTACTCAAGGCACGCACACTAGACCAGACAAGGAACACAACTAGTCGCCAGTTTAGTACTTCAGACATGTTACATAATGACTAATGTACACAGTCACAACACAGAGATAAAACAAGGGCGGTCTAGTCAGCTAAAAACCAGGTCAGTTCATCGACATGGCAACAGCGAATCCTAGCGCGACTTGCCGTGCTTTGAATCAGCCACTGAAGACCTGTGAGCGCTTGCAGGTCTCCGATTTTCCAATCGGAGCACGCCTACAGTCCATTCATAAAAAAAATGGGTCCTGGCTCTGGCGAGCTCCCGTATTTGGCGATTTTTCGTGATTTCATCGTACACAGTGCAGTGCTGCGAACTTTGAAATTTGAAAAAGGGTCCAAAAAGGGTGCCTGAACTGGGGTTCGAACCGCAGAATGCACTGTTGCAGGCGGGGTCAAACGGCCTGGATTTTGATGGTTTTTCCCAATTCAGTGCTTTTGGGGCAAAACCTGGCCGAAATCCTATTCTTGCTTTGGCTTGCTTTTTGGACAAAAAAACTTCAGAAACATAATTGGAAGAGGATTCCATATGGGATTGCAGAAAAAAATTCTAAAAAAACTCAACGTTTGACCCATTTATGGCCAAAAGCTAGAAGTTCATTTTTTTCTGAATGGACTGTAGGCGTGCTCCGATTCGTGCAATGCATGTCAGAAATGGTATCAAAGCATTCGTACTCGGACTCAAGTGCTAGAATCGGAGCCCTCCGCGCTAGCGCGCGTCGGGCTCCGATTCCGCACTTTCGTCCTCGTACTCATGCTCGATTCCATACTTCAAATGGTCCTGAAGACCTAAAGGTCCTAATGCAAGTAATGGACCGGGGCTCTGCCAACCTACCCGTGGGCCGTGGAACTAACTTGAACTTTGAAGGTTGTAGTAAGGACGGTCACCATGCATGGTCACTGTTTCACAGAGTGTTCTCCACCAGTCCTAACATTAGTAACAATTCACACATTGTGCCGGTGAACTATAAAGTATAAGTATATTCCCGTATGTCACGTGATTGTCGCCTTGGAATTGACCAATGACAGATCAAACAGCGCGGGCTGGAAAGCGAGGTCCTGCCTGCTCAAAGGTGATGGAACTGGATCCACTGCCCGTCGTCAAGTGACGACGGGCAGGAACGGATTCCACTGCCCGTCGTCAAGTGACGACGGGCAGGAACGGATTCCACTGCCCGTCGTCACTTGACGACGGGCAGGAACGGATTCAACTCATTTACTGGCCGTCGCCGGGCAGTAGCCACTGGACTGACTCTACTTCAAGGTCTTTCATTGGTTACTAATAAAATAACTAAAGCAGAAGAGCGACTGTTTGCAACCACAACTGTCATCATGGCGCTCCAACATTTGATCTGGAACTGGGAGAAAAGAAGCCCCTTTGTTGAACGATATTGGCGATGCGAATGAGCTCCTCCGAAAAGTTGAGGAAGAGACTGAAACTTTTATTGCGGAGTCGCTCGCGAAGGAGATCTTGGACGAGCCGGATGAGCCTCAACCAAAGCGCGCAATGCTCAGCAACCTGCAGGATCCGCGCAATTTGCCGAGGTTTCCGATCAAGACGTGGGAAAAATCCGTAGGAACAGAACAGCCAGAATGCCCGATGCCCAGTCGACAATGTCAATGGCCGCGCGAGAAAAAAAGCACTATGGACTACTACAAAAAACTGTACCAGAACAATCACAAAACACAATGCAGGTGTGTCTGTCATGTATCTCTTTATTTGGCTTGGGTGCACACGGGAAACACGTTCCAGTCACTCATACTCGGCCAGTACCGCTGTTCATCCAGCCCTTGCCGCTATCGCGGCGCGGGCTGGATTCCGCGGTACTGGCCTCGTACTCGTGCAGGAACCTGTACTTACAACCTAAATTTCGTCTTTGGTGCTGTTTCCTGTTTTCAGTGGTTAGTGCATGCGTGTTGCTCATAATTATGCCCTTCGTCTGCTGTTCACCACGCATTCTCATGGGCTCACTTTACTTGGAGGGCACTGAACAAGGTAAGCTGGTTTATCTACAAGTAATACTGTACTACGTGTACATCAGTGTACCGGTATTACTACAGTCATGTAGTTTTGAATACCTTTCTTTTTTTTTGTAGGGATGTCATTGTCAAAAACTAACTACTACCGGGTAGTACGCGAGACGCGCGACTCGACGTCTACCAATACCATCGATGCATCCTTCCCAAGTTTTCCTTTTCATACATGTGGACTGGGTCCTCTTTGATTCAAGTTCTCTCTTTTCTCTAGCTCTTCTCTTGTACCTTGTCAGTGCCATTATTCACTGATTGGGGGGCTTTGAATAAATCATGGATTGCTCTTGGTAGTTACAGTACGTCAGTAGCAACTAGTAAGAGTACTCAGTGAAATAAGCTCCCAGGAAGAAGCATTAGGGAGTACATTGTTGTACAATAATGCTTGGGAGTCAGGGAGTCGTAAACAAGCTACAAAAATGTAGTTACATGGTGAAGGGCTTTTACGACTCCCTGGTGTAAACTGTCTAGACCCTCCTATGGATAACTCCAGGGATCAGGATCCGGGAGTGAATACCACTGAATACTGTACAATAATAGACCGATCCCCTTATTATACCGGGTTCGAGCACGGGGGCAACCTCACTCGCGATCGAGCTAGTTTTTGAACGTGACAGCATCTTTGACAGTGTGTTTCAGGTTTGTTTTGGAATGTCCTGCTTAGTTCAAGTAGTTTGCGATGGCTTCGAGCGGTGCTAAACCTCCTGCTGGTAGGAGCAGAGTCTCCGAGAGAGACATGGACTGTGATGCCGCTGCAGGATTTTTTCAAGGCGCGGGAGGGAACGATCTCGGGCCACAAACAGGAGTTACTCCAGAGGTGAGTTTTTTTGTTGTTGAAATATTCGAATCGCGAATCGTGTTGTGAGATTTATTTTGTGCCTAGGCTACAGCAGACCACATTTCTTTCTCCTTGCGATCGGTGCTGAAGATAATATTAACCTTTTTCTGGTCTGTCTTTTCCTCTCCAGAGCCATCTTCTATGAAGGTAACCGTGGTGCTGCCAAGTCACCAAGTCGCGATCAGCAGCCCTGAAGTGGAAAATCGATTTTCCAACGATCTGGTTGGACATCAGCCACTAAAGTACTTCTGATTTGCCTGTAATGACAACAGCAGCCATCCTTGGACACCTTGCAAAGACAGGAAAAGCCACTGGTGGAAGCGACTGCTATGAGGTGACGATAGCAGTGCAGTGGTGATCGCTGTTTTGTCAAGTCGAAGGGCTAGCCAACCCAGAGGAAGCATAAAAAAACGATGTGCAGTGCGTGTTATTTGTTGAGCGTGAAGAGCTAGAGGAGGACAGTGCAAACACATGGACGGAGTGGATGGTGTTTGAAGAACAGTGTGCTGTGTGCCGGCTGGTGGTGATGGTGGTCTTTGTCAGCATGTATTCGTGCTGCTTCTTGTGCTGGAACACTTCTCGCCCAGGAGGGCAGATTGCGTGCTCCCTGGCCCTCAGTTGGCTATGGGGCATTTGTTCCAGGAACATTACCCCAGAGCCAATGATGAGTCATACCTTTGAAAAGTCGAAGCTTGCTGTTAATCGCAAGCGTAGCGCAGTGGATTGCTCCCTCTTCGAAGCACGAGGGCCAAAGCTTGCCGCTGTCTGCAGCAAAGTGTGTGTGCGGTTCTTTCGAACCTATGAATATACCCCCCTGCACGTTCAGAGTGAACTATTTTCTAGTATATTTAACATCCTCAACCCGCCACCACCATGCGCTCTTGGCCGAACTAATGCACGAAGCATAAACACACCAGCACAGCAAGGACACTTCCGTTGACAGATATTGTTTACGCCTCTAGACCGCTGTTTCTTTTCTTCGAGCTCATCGTTAGAGGAGGATAGTAGCAGGATACTAATGATGATATAATAGAAGATGATAGACGGTTTATGGTCCGATATTGATGATTGAATATCTAAGAAAGCAATGACAGTGATTGCGAAATGGATAATATTATCATGATTATATGCCAGTCTGGTAATGCGTTGTACTAGTGGACAGTATTGAAATCATCACTGCATTCGATGCAAATATTGGTATACCTTTGGTTTCAGTATTGGAAAAAAAGAGTAAGAGAACCTGGTTGATTTGGTTGCATCTGCGACTGGCTACTGGGTGTTGTGATCAGCAATGTTACCATGGGAGAAAATAAGAGCGCAAGGATCTGTTGGGTCTTGTTGTGCCGGTGCGAGAACCCTAAGTGCATGGCAAAATAGAACTGTTTCATCCACAATGCAGAATGTCTTGCGGTACATGGCATTGATGACTGAACATCTCGCCAGCTCGCCCAAATGGGGATCATGCCCAAACGGAGGAACAAGACAACTTTCCAGCTCAGCTAGCTATATAGTATATACCGTGAAACGGATGATTAACTTGTGCTACGCATTACAGCTTCTGTCCCATTCGGCCCAGGCTTAGACACATCAATGCCAATAGCAGCTGATCCTCCATTACATGCTCATTGGCGATTTACGGCCACCTCCAACTGTATCCGCCGTCCCTCAGCTTCCGTCTTCGCAGATCTGGCTCGGCGCAGTACATTTTCTCGGCTAGGCTCAAAGAAGTCCCACAGAGCGGTCCAAACACCTGAAGGCAAACCAGTCAGAAACTGGCGCGGCTCAGAGTCTTTCTTTATGTTATTGTACGTAAGCTGTTTTTCGGCTTTCTTCACCCCATCGTCCAACTGCTCCATGAGACTCTGTACACGAGCTCTACTTGCTGCCAACTCCTGATGCAGATGCTGCACTTCCATTACAGGACCAAACTGCACTAAGCCAGGTTCCTTTCCAACTCAAAATGCCGTTGCCTCTCAGCAAAATACTGGTTTGCGAGCATGGGGAGCTCGTGATGCAGACGCTGCACTTCCATGACCGAACTGCACTAGGCTCAGCAAATACTGTTTTGCGAGCATGGGGAGCAGAGCGTCCAGACTCCACTCTCTTGCGAAAAGCAAACCTGGTACCGTAGGACAGCTGTTTGGTTTCCTGGACTCATCCTGCCCTTGTAGAGCTGGGCAAAACGATTTCGACTTCGGGATCGAAATGATCGCTGCATCTCAAATATTCAGAGTGACCCTAAAACTACGTCCTTCCTCACGGGGAATAGCCTGGATCCGCTTGCTCCAGGCCGCTGTGGCTCCACACGACGAAAGGAGTGAAATGACTTGTTTGCTTCGTCCTCCTGTTCTGACAGTGAGGAACGCAGCAATGATCCTGAGAAGGCATCCTGAAGTCGTAAAAAGGAAGACGTCTAAACAAAAACAAAACAGCTCAAATCAAAAGTCCTTGTGGCATTTTTTGTAGACAGGCTTGCACTGCGTGTAGATTTTGCGTGCTCTGCATGCACTTCGCATGCGAGAAGTCACGCAAAGCCGAGGTGAGGTTGGTCGCGTGTGTGCAGCAGGATCCCACGCGACTGCGGAGTTGCCCCCTTGCTCGAACCCAGACAATAATAAGGGGATCGGTCTATTATGTACAGCCCGCTGCAGCTGGCATGTGGCGCACGCGCCTGCAAAGTCGAGGCCAACACTTCGAGCTTTGAGGACTTCCTCAGTGTGACCAGGCACAGGTTTTGCTTGACAATGCCCAACTGTGCCCGGGCCGTGGCTCGTCTGTGACATTCCGGAAGTGGACCGCATTTCCAGAACTTGGCAGAAGGCTTGCAAAGAGGTCACTACAACAACGCAATCTCTCTTTCCGCTATCACTCAGCAAGAGTACGCTCGTAGAACGAGAGACCTGTCAAGAGAATGTTCGGTGGGCACTGCCAGCAGTCATACTCATACTGAGTCATAGCTGCTAGAAAAGGTAGTCCGACCTCCGCCACGCGTGCACGACGGACAAGCAGCAGCTAGCTACGAGTGCAAGACGTCAAGCAAGGTCGAGGTCGGCCAACGACTTGCCTTGTTCTTCCTCGTCGCAAGTAACTAATTACTTAGTTTTTTCTGGAAAGCCACTGGCTCCTGGCAGACACACGTGCACTGAGACTGAGTCTGTCAAGTATTCGGTCTGCATGCCATGCAGGCAGGGTAGAATGGGACAGAGCCAGAACAGTGCTCCAGAATATGATTGAGTTATTTGTAGATTGACGTGACTGTGTTCTCTGTTGGCCAGTACAGTGTAACCAATCACCTCAGCATTTCAAATTATTTTGACTCCCCAATAAATTTGAATTTTCTATTGTTTGTTCCTGCTGGCGACTTCGACGGTGATCGCCAGCACTTCTCTTGCCCGTTCTGCTTTTCCTGTTTCTCGGAGAGGTCGGTCCTGGCACAGCCATGGCCGATTTCACGAAAACGCGAGCACCTCGGCAAATGCGCCGACAGCAGTCTACCATGGTGAAGTTTGTGGAGGCTGCTGAAGCAGAGAGGCTGAAGGAAGATGCTGCTCGAAAGAAGAATTGGAAACGATGGGGGCCATACCTCAGCGAGCGGCAGTGGGGAACTGTTAGAGAAGACTACTCGGCAGATGGTAACTGGTGAGTTCTCATTATCCTTCAACTGAGAATTGAAAGTGGCCAATTGTAAAGTATTTTGGTTTCACAGGTCAGATGCAGAATAAGATTGTTATTTTCGAGTAGGAAATGATTTCACCAATAAAGTAAAGTAAAGTTAGCCGGATTCGCGGCCGGCCGGCCGCATCACCTGACCTTTTGAGGAACACATCAAGCCGAGACATTCGCATCGCCGGGTCACCACTTTGCCCATTATATGCTACCAAGAGTACATGAAAACCAGAGTGTGCAGCTTGGGACCTTTTCTGCTATGGGTGTCTGTCACGGCGGAATTCCGTGATCACATCATATTTGGCGCAGATCTGAGGCGGGAAATGGCGTAGTGCGTACAACTGAGCTGCAGTTGTGCAGAAAGAGACCCGCTTGAATCCTGCTTGTACGCACTACATCACTAAAATGATGTAATCACGGAATTCCGCCGTGACAGCAACCCATCCGAGCTGCACACTCTGGTTTTCATGTACTCTTGATGCTACAAGTACTGCGGCACTGTCGAATGCAGACATCACAAGTGAGTCGGGGGAGAGGGGATAAGTGTCTCAAACAAACGGGCGTGCAGCAGCCCTATAATAACCCCAAGAACCGCATCCTTGTTACCCTCACTCCGAGCACGTGAGTACCCAGTTCACTGTGGGCGTCGACACCGTTCATTGCATGAAAAGTTATACTCGCCCGCATCACCGCAATTGAGAGAGCACAAAACACACTCCCTGGTACCAGCGCAGGTCTTGAACTCGGGACCTCATGATTCGCAGGCAAGCCTACAAAGCACAAATCAATCGGCTACACGCGGTGGTCTGTTTAATCCAATGGAGGATTTAAAAGTGCCGTGATTTCTACGAAGAAACCTCAAGGCTAAGGCCCTAAGTAAGGGGTCGCCGCAATACAATTAACAATTTTGATGTTCCTGAAATGAACATCGTTCATTCAGGAGTGGGTGCGAGCCAAAACTGCAAGTCAACGGACACTGTAGATGTACATGTACATGGATGTGGTTTGCGTCATCCAGCATAGCAAACAGGGAGTCGTAAAATACCGGTATTTTACGACTCCCTGATAGCAAACTGTTCATTTCGGGAGAGGATCGAAGTACGAAATAAACGATGTTCATGTCAGGGATGACAGAAAAAACATTTTGCGACAACCCCTAAGGTAGTGCATGTACCCAACAGTCCTGGTATTCTCCAAGTTTATTTGTAATACGATGAATAGAGTTAGCTGTGTCACCATCATTGTTATCGCGCATGCACAGCACCGTATGGTAAGTTTTTGGTATAGCCAAGAACATATTTCGTGATGGTCTTCAGTTGGATTACATCGCTCACGAGTAAACAAGAGAAACAATCTGCTATACTCGGAAAAAGTGCAAAGTTGAAGTGTATGCGAGTAACCCAGGGGCGTTTGACTCGCTACGGTCACTACGGCATTGACCGTACCACTATTTGCCCCAGTGAACCCCGCGAATCAGTAAAATGTCCTGGTTTGGGCTTTAAATTTTCAAAACATTCAGCAGAGACCCGCTGGAGTATACCTCAAATGGCTGACCGTAGCATCCTAAATGCCTTCCAACGCCCCTGGCGCCGATCAAAACGAGACAGGCCCCCATATTCTCAGCAACCATGGAGTACATCTGTACTAGCAAATTCAAAGACAGCTATACCAGTATCGGTAACAGCCCGCAGCAGCATTGTGAAACTCAGGGTTACGATTTTCACGAATAAAACTGCTCGCCCTCTACTGTGTAGCTGATGGTTTCTCTTGTTTACTCTTGAGTGCTGTAGTCCAGCTGACGAGCATCACGAGAAAACGTTCTTGAACATGCCAAAAGTTGCCTTGCGATGTTATGTGTGTAACAGTGATGACGGTACAGCCTATTATGTTCATCATAGCCTTATTTAAATTATTGTCTCCGTGTCGAGTATTCGTTCGCTTTGTTTTACGTTTTTATCAATTCTTGGTTCTGAACAGCTGGGATCACTTCTCGCACGATCACGCCCGGTCTCGTGCGTACCGCTGGGGTGAGGATGGACTGCTGGGATTCACTGATCGCCAGTGCCGCATCTGCTTTAGCGTGGCACTCTGGAACGAGAATGACCCGATTCTGAAGGAGCGCTTGTTTGGCTTGACCGGACCACAGGTAGGCAGGCTTGCATGGAACTTTGTAGCACCCTGCTGTCGATTCAGAGTTATTTGAGCTTCCAATCCTTTACTTAGGATGTAAACCAGAAAGAATTTGAGAATATCCCAATTGCTTTGCACGTGCTCCCTTTTAGTTTTTCTGTTTTATCCTGACGATAGGACGGACACGCCCGAAATTTGGTGAACCTGAAGTGACATCTGCAGTGGAAAGACCATGTTTGCATGTTTGGATTGAAGTTAGAATTTGAGCCAGGTTTCCAGAATTTGACTAGGTTTAATAAAGTGGGGAGTTTCAAGTCCGAAATCCAAATTGAAAACCAAGGAATGGGTTTTGAGCCTAATTTCGACCCAAATCGGGTTTCGAAAATTCCCGGAAGTACTGTAATCCGTATCAAGTGCAACTGAGATTGGCGTGCACTGCCATAGGGTACCAGCATTGCAAATCCTGTTTGGCGTCAAGTGAACTACGCTGAACGTTGTAGCCCAGTGCATGACATGCATGCACGCAAGTGCAGATGCCAGGGTACAGCCTATCCTTCTGGATTTCATGTGCCACTTTTGTGCTCAGAATTCCACATTCAGTGCATTCATGTGATGTTCCACGAACTACCGTAAAAGTCCGTAAATAAGTACGTATTTACTTTCGAATTTAGTGACCACACCCGTACTAACTTTCGGGCGGGTACTGACTTTCGGGCACGAACTAACTTTCGGACCTGACTTGTGTGTAGTGGAGAAGTCATTTTCATGTCGATGTACATGCTACGTGCTGCATGTACGCACCGTACCGGTACTTATTTCGGGCAGTATGTTTATCGGGCTCGACTTGACTTCAACAGACAGAGCCAAAAGAATGAAGGGGGTATTTCTTTCGGGCAGGTACTTATTTACGGACTTTTACGGTACTCTGTTACGGAGTCAGGGATGCAATGAACTGTTGCATACACGGAAAGAATGCGCACACGTCTGTATGGATAAAAAATATTGCTATGCATCATAGAATGTGGCATGTTGTGTAATTTCTTGCAGGGTAATCACGGTGAGGACTGCAAGGAGTGCTATTACTATCTGGATGCATTGCCGACGTACACATATGCGCGTGCACTCTACAAGTACCCACAGGCCGCCTACCCGTACTCTGAGCTGGTCGAGGGCAACGCGAAGCGCGACATCAAGGACCCGGAGCTGGAGCTGGAGGACACGGGTGTGTTTGCCGGTGGCAGGTAAGCGATGTGCACCTGCCACCCTGGTGTATGCTGAATGAATGGGCTAGCAAACATCTATGAACGTGATATTACCGCCGCCTGCCTTGCTGGAGTGTTAGAGTCGAGACTCAATATTCGCCTTACCTTGCATTGTGGACAGACACTGGCATTGAAAGATACATGTAACTGACCCTGCAGGATTCCTGTGTGAGCTAAAACTTTACACATTTCTTTGTTCAGTATCACTCACAATCAGTTGTAGCCATTTTTTTGTTTATGAGTACAGTCAAGAGTAGATAAACAAGAGTGTGCAACTCCGGATCTCTCCTGCACAATCCGCAGATACCCTGGCTCACGGCGGAATTTTTTGTTGACGTCACCTTTTTACTTCTAAGTTCGTCACCTTTTTCTTTCTTTCAGAAAACGCGCATTTTGCCGCACAGCAGTGTGAGAGCACGTGCTGGCCACCGACTTTGTAATGTAAAGTGCGCCCAAGTGCACGAGGCAAAACTTTCCAAAAGACTCCCAGCGCGTGCGTCGCAGGAAAGATTGCGTCAGCAAAAAATTCCGCCGTGGGCGAACCCATCCGCGAGTTGCATACTCTTATTTATCTACTCTTGGTACAGTGTATAAGTATAACCCCCACCCCACCTGATAACAGATGTTTGATATTGAAATCATAGACTTGCTCTGTTCCTATCCCAAACCTCTCATGGTCCCTCTGATCAGGTATTGGGATGTGTTTGCCGAGTATAGCAAAGCCGATGACAATGACATCGTCATCAAGATCACGGTTGGCAATCGCGGTGATGAGCCGTCACGCCTCCACCTGCTGCCTACTCTCTGGTACCGCAACGTGTGGATCTGGGGCTGCAAGCACGAGGGCTGCGGTCCCAAGCCACGCATGGGGCTCAGCAAGGATGAAGAGAAGGTGTCCGACGGCCTTGCCGAAGAGGTAAACGCATCCATTGTCTATTGTTGAGCATCAACATTTTTTCATGGAAGCTATGAATCGGGTACATGTACTCTTTTTGACATTCGCTTCCATTGGAACCCGGCCCTCTGAGCTTGAGCAATTCCAGAATATAAGTGGTGGGGAATACGCTAGTGTACTTCACACTATTTCAGCACCTATCTAAACCTGTTGCTGACATACTGAAAACTCCTTGTACAATTTCTACGTATCGAGTTATGGAGCTGGGTATAAACTCACTGCACAGTGACATACACAACCACCTGGGGGATGGTTGTGCGCCCCGGGGTGTTGAACAGTGCACTCCTGATCCCAGCGTACTCACATGCGCTACTCATACCTTCAATTTTTGCAATGTGCTGTTGGTGTATACTCGTGTGTGTGTGTGTGTGTGTGTGTGTGTGTGTGTGTGTGTGTGTGTGTGTGTGTGTGTGTGTGTGTGTGTGTGTGTGTGTGTGTGTGTGTACAGGTCACACTGGTGCATGATGAACTGGGCAAGTACCGCTTCATGGCCGGTCCCAATCCTGTCGACGAGTCCATGCCTACTATGCTCTTCACGGAGAACGAAACCAACACGAAGCGCCTGTACGACTTGGACAGCTACACACCGCACTTCAAGGATGCCTTCAACAGCTATGTGGTTGACGGTGATAAAGAAGCTGTCAGTCCCAAAGGACGCGGCACAAAGGTATGGTTGTTCCTTGCCAATCAATCACCACGTGTATGCGGATCAACGGTCTTCAGCTGGATTGAAATTTGACTGGCCAACTCGTTCTGTTTGCATTCTCTTCTCTATAAATGCTGCCATTTGGGGGTTCGATGCTTTGCCAGTTTACCTGTGGGTACTGAGCCACTGTATAAATACAAGAGCGGTATCTCTCAGTGTATTGATCTATGATTGCAGTTCGCTTGTCCTTAATCTGATTCACATTTCTCCAGGTGGCCGCTTATTACATCCTGGAGGTACCTGCTGGTGAAACTAGGTCAGTATTCCTGCGACTGGCTAGCGATGATCAAGTTCCTAAGGATGGATCAGCAATGGACCAGTCACACCTGGACCGCGTGGTCGATCGCCGTCAGTTTGAATGCGACGACTTCTACGACAAGGTAAACGGGCCGTGGGCTTGTGCTCCACGCTATTTTTGTTGCGCTGTCCGATTGCGTTTGTCTGTCTATTTCCACCGTACGTGTGCTGCGTGGCTGGCAAGTGTGCTTATTACGCCCTGGATTACTTCTTCGGGAGTGTGGGTGCTGGCACTGCTGTGTGTGTGTGTGTGTGTGTGTTGTACTCTGCACAGCTTTGTCTTCTAAGTTCTTTATCCACCCTCTACCGTATTTTCCGGAGTATAAGCTGCACTTTAAACACCAACAATTCCCTCAAAAAAAGTCGGCGCGGCTTTTACTACGAGGATCAAATTAACGATGGTAAATGCCTAAATGGGGTAGATGTCTGTATTTCGTGACAAAATATATCTGGGTGCGGTTTATACTCCAGTGTGGCTTATGCTTCGGGAAATGTGGTGTTTCTGTTGTGCAGGTGATCCATGAGTCTTTGAGCGCGGAGCAGCGTCTTGTAGCGCGCCAGTCCTACGCCGGCCTGCTGTGGAGCAAGCAGTTCTATCACTATGTCATCAAGGACTGGCTCTACGTATGTGATTGCTGTTGATATGCTGTGTCGCGTATCCTGCTGTGCGATGTGTTGTGTGAGCAAGAATCAGCAGCGTTTTGTTTTTCACGTTCCAGAACGGGAACGGTGTTGCATAGAGGTATGCATGGGTGTGTGCAGGGTGAGCAAGGTGCAGAATGCGTGCGTGGGTTATGGAAGCGCATGAATGCGTACTATGAAGCGTGATACTACAACGCTATGCTTGTTTCCACTGCCGCTGCAAACTATTCTTACTGTCTTAGTGCTCACCATCGAGCATGAAGAAACTGTACATGTGGTCCACCTCTGTTTGTAGACCGGACTGGTGACCTTTTCACACTGGGGCAGAATGTACATGTATGTTGAGTCTTGTTGACGCGCGGCTTGGTGCCTGTTTAAACGAGTCGTTTTTATAAGCAGTGAAGGCTAGTGAGGACCTTTAGGCTATGTGCATCTTCAGCGCTCCCATGTTGAGTTTGTTGCTCCTCTGTTCTTATGCTGGCGCTAACAGGGAGACCCGGATCAAATGCCACCGCCTCGCGAGAGACTGGCAGGCCGTAACAGTGACTGGAAGCACTTGTTCAACCGTGATGTCATCTCCATGCCTGACAAATGGGAGTACCCATGGGTAAGTGTTGCCTCTATGAGTCACACCAAGAGTCCATAATCCCCCAGAGTGCCCAACTTCACTGATCAGATCTGGGACAGGCGAAATCCGTGTTGCACGTCATAGTGTGACATCATGAGTAGAGGAAGTGTGTGTTGGGTCTCGGAACGTCGACGGAATGACGCAAGACCGACCCGAAAAATGACGTGCATCACGGATTACGCCGTCCCACAACCCCGTCCCAGTTGCGCACGCTGGGGGACTATGGACTGTTGGTCACATGCATATCTGGTGTGTGTATGTGCAGTCACCTCCGAAGGGATGTTCAGCGTAGCCACACGTACCGATGGCCAGGACTAATAGATGATATGCCAAATAACGTGCAAATAGACTTGAGAGGTCATAGCAGAGTAGTTGCATACAAAGTTCAAAGTTGTCCGGTTACCTGTGACTTGTATTCCTGCAGAGCTCAGGGCCTACCATGTACACATCGTAGTATAATTTGTATGCAACTTGTGCGCGATGCCCTCTCAAGTCTAGTTGCACGTTATTTGGCATATCATCTATTTACCACTGACAGTACCGGTCATTCCCTGCTTTCACCAGTGCGGATAGTACATACTCGTCATGGACACCGTTTATGCTTCCCTTCCTTGCCAAACTGTTGACCGCGTTTGAATGCGTGCCCTCGTCCGTAATCGATTTGATGGCTGTGCGCGATAGACTTCTACATTTCTTGAGAACATCTGTGGATATACCCATTTGATGATGGTACACGTGCACACGTACACTCATTTAGGTCATCGTGAGAGCTGCTATTTGCACAGCAGACGAACATCAGCACCTGTTCAGTGTTTATACCGGTACATGTATCTGTTTTCCTTCCACTTTTGCTTTAAAACAATTCAGTACAGTATGCATACAATGTAATAATAGTAACTGATCAAGCCATCTGTTGTTCTGACTAGTGTGTCACGGCTCTACCTTCCCGGTATCGAGCTCTCTTGGATTTCTGCTGGAATTCACAACAGTGTGTAATACATGTATCTGTTTTCCTTCCACTTTTGCTTTAAAACAATTCAGTACAGTATGTAATACAATGTACATGTGTATGTGTTTTTCTTCTACTTTTGTTACAGTATGCATGTTGGGACTTGGCGTTTCACATGATTCCGTTTGCCAAGATCGACCCAACCTTCGCCAAGGAGCAGTTACTGCTGTTCCTACGTGAGTGGTACATGCATCCCAATGGCCAGATTCCAGCGTACGAGTTTGCTTTTGGTGACGTGAACCCTCCCGTTCATGCCTGGGCGGTGTGGAGAGTTTTCAAGATGGAGGCGCCCAGAACACAGCGTGACCGAGGCTTCCTGGCACGTTGCTTTCAGAAGCTTCTGCTCAACTTCAACTGGTGAGTGTGCCTATATTGCTCGTGGTGATGTACAGTATTGTTGGGCGCTGAAGAACGAACAAGCAAGAATTTCACCAAGCACAGCATACCAATCTATACCCAGTGACTCAACTGAGCATAGACCGTAGTACATGAAAATAAGTCGGGTTTCAGTACGTAGCACTCTAGTGGGTTTTTTAAATTTTTTTACAGTGAGCACTATGTGAATCATGAGTGTATGTAGCATTCTCTGACGGCGCTCGCTACTCCTAAAACCAGGCATAAAGTCACAAACAAGCCACCAGACATCTTCGCCATCAGACGGAACACACACACAGTCTCTCTCTCTCTCTCTCTCTCTCTCTCTCTCTCTCTCTCTCTCTCTCTCTCTCTCTCTCTCTCTCTCTCTCTCTCTCTCTCTCTCTCTCTCTCTCTCTCTCTTCCATCTCACTTACTCAACCTGATCAGCTAATATCATCATGAGCCATATGGACATTGGAAAGATGCTACTTCAGTATGAATTTCTTGTGACCGGATAACAAGCACATGATTTTACTTCACAGTGCAGAAATCTCTTGAAACAGCAGGGTAATACCAGGGGACCACAGATCAGCAATCTATTTGATCGAAATGAGAACGGATTGAAAGGCAGCAGTGTAGGGAAGGTGCATCCGTACTCCGTAAACTGAAGGATCACAGAATGGACTCGCAAGCCGTGGCACTGTCTGTCTGTCTTGACCTTGCCATTCTCACTGCATGTACTTGTACATGTATCGTAAAATGGCTCACAACATTGCAGTATAAACTTGAAAAGATGGTTGTTTCTTTGATTTGTTTGTGGGACTGTGAAGGAGAGGACAAACCAACAACTCACTCTCGTTCGGCTAACCGACGACTAACCCTGAAGGGCTGTCATCCTTGTTATTTTATCTTGGTGTGCGAAACTATAAAGTTGTACAATATGTGAGTACTAGAAAAGGTGCCGGTAGTACGGGAAGTAGTACGCAGCATGCAATTCTAATGTCATAGGGTTGGTTCACAAAAGCAAAATCGGCGCCGCAAGACATCGACGGTGAGCCAGCTCCCGATCCGTTGCGCATACGGTTCGAGTACCAAGTCTACTGCAAAGTAGTACAGAATGTGTCCAAACGCTACGACAGGTTTGCCAATTGAAGCTTGAATTCTTTGTTTCTTCAGTAATTCAAGGTCTTTCGGTGATGGCCACTGGTTGCTACCTTTTATTGGAGATCAGGAAACTACTTCTACACATTTTATTGCAGTGTAGTAAGCAATGGTGTCGAAATTATGCATGCAAACGTTGATGAAGTCACAAGAACTTGCCAATGTATCCATCGTATTTTATATTATTTATTTCAATTGTATTTGTCTCAAAGTTGCACAACAGTCAAGCAGATCATCCAAAGAGGACGGGTTGGTATGCTGACTTATTTGCCACCTTGAAGCGATTACAAGAATGGCGAACGAACCTCGTCTCTAGTTTCAATATAGGAAAATTTAGGACGAGCCTTGGTTTGAAATTTTGACAAAGTCTGGCTTCCGGCAGCCGGCGATCAAGGGGCAAACGGTTCACAAACCACTTTTGGTCAAAATCAGTACCTCGTCCCCCGGAGCAAATGTGCGTTCCCGACTCAGGCAGTCATAGTAGGATTTTTGCCGTTGCTGCGCGGTGGCAAGGTGGGAGCCAGCCTCAGTCGATATTCGTTCAAGCCGGTCCCGCATGGTGAGGACGAACTGGGCAGTAGTAGTCCGGAGCTCCTCTGCTGGCCGAGCCCAAGCATCGCGCACGAGATCCAGTGGGCCGCGGACATGTCGGCCATACAATAGCTCAAATGGTGAGAAACCAGTGCTGGTTTGAGGCACCTCTCGATACGCAAATAAAGCATATGGGAGCACCTCGTCCCAACTTCGGGGCGCATCAGCAGCAAAGCGACGAAGCATACTCTTGAGGATACCATTGAACCGTTCAACGAGGCCATTGGTCTGTTGATGGTACGGAGTGGATGTGGTGAGCTGGATACGGAGTAAAGCAGCAACTTGCCGGACGACGTCCGATGTAAAGTTGGAGCCTTGGTCAGAGAGGATTTTGTCTGGCAGTCCTACTCTGGAAAAGATGGAGATCAACGCATCAGCCACGGTAGTCGACTCAATATTGGAAAGAGCGACTGCCTCCGGATAATGCACCAAGGTGAGGATGTACTTCTTGCTGGACTGCGTACGCTGCAATGGGCCGATAATATCGATAGCTACCACCCGGAAGGGCTCGCCAATAACAGGAAGAGGAATAAGTGGTGCCCGATCGTGACGCGTAACACGGGCGGTGCGCTTACATGGTTCACAGGCGGAACAGTACTGCGCGACATCTTGAAGAATTGTCGGCCACCAGAAACGGAGAAGAATCCTCTGGGACGTCTTCGCCTGCCTCATGTGGCCAGCCATGCGGACGGTGTGGCCGAGATGCAGAATGGTGGATCTTCGTTCCGTGGCCAGAATCAACTGAAGGCGGTAGTAGGGGCTGGTGGTATCCATCCCAGCTTCACCATCCGGTGAGTATTCTCGGTAGAGGAGGCCCTGGCAAACACAGAAGGTACTGCTATTGACGGGCGTCTTATGTTGGCCAGTAGCATAGTCCCAACATTGGCTAAGAGATGGGTCACGCCGTTGCTCGTCGGCGAAGCGGGTGGCATCTGGCAAATTGGGTGCCGAGATAGGCGGCGGTGTCCCCTCCGGTGGGGTAGATAGGTCCAATCACCGCCTCTCCGTTGCGGAGGCCGAATCTCGCGCCGAGATCCTCTACAACGCTACCAAGGGAAAGAAAAGGTCAGAACCCGTCGTTCATACGTGTCGCCTTTAATCACAGCCGTACAAAACATAGACTTTCTGAGATCCTCTTCTCCGACACGTGCCCTCGTAGTGAAGTCATTAGGATAACCATGTACGATAGGTACGTGGTGGTTTTGCTCTGTCAGCGTACATAGCGCTGCCCAACCTTCACATCCTCATATATGGACAGGTGTAAATATGAGGATGTGAAGGTTATAGTTATATGTATAGGGATATTTAATGGCACCAAATAATATAGTTCCAATGTCATCACACCATTCCCCCTCTCCGGTCACAGATACCATCTGTGACAATGACTAAACGAGAAACAATAGATATAGGATGTAACAGCACTAAAGGATATAAAGGTACAATATCATCACAGGGACGAGAACTGGTTTTTGCTGCAAGATAAATTATTGTATAGTTAAACTGGTGTGTGAGCGAGTTTGCCTGTGCAAGGACTGTGGTGTGGGACGTGACTGTCGTCAGAGCCCAACATAATTATAAGTATACCGCCAACCTTGCAAATAACGCACTGTCTAGTCTGGTAGATTACAATTGTGGTTGTAGGCATAAGAAACGTGTTGCTATGACTGAGCAAGGTGTCGTTACTTGCGAGGTTGAAAGTATGCAGTAAAGTGGTCACTGAGGGTGCGTTTGGTTGGTACGATCTAGAACAGGATCGACCAGCTGGTGCGCATGGAGCAGCCTCATGCCAACCAAACGGTACTCCAGAAACAGAGCACATTTTTGTTAAAAATATGCCAAACTTGGTGCATTCTTCAGAATGTGTATGGATCACCATGGTCACTTTGTACGGTACGACGAGTTCAACCCAAAAGCGTATGCACGTGATCATTTAGGACCAAAATCGATGTTCCTGCCAGGTTTCACTGTGAAAAAGTGAAACTGCCCGGTCTGCTCCGGCCTCGAGGCCGGAGCAAGCAGAACATGTTCTGGCCGACCCAGAACAGGTGCAGTCCCAACCAAACGCGCTGTTCCGGTGAATCCTGTTCTAGGTCGTACCAACCGAACGCGCCCTGAGTATTCCTTCAACTAAGTATGAAGATAGAGTTGTTTCATGAGCAGCTCATGTTGTGACTTGTGAAGTTTACTGTGCTAGGGGGCCGTCATCGGGCCATCGTGGCATTGAGCTTGGCTGACCTCCGCCTGTGTGTCATCGGGCCATCGTGGCATTGAGCTTGGCTGACCTCCGCCTGTGTGTCATCGGGCCATCGTGGCATTGAGCTTGGCTGACCTCCGCCTGTGTGCGTATACATATAGGTGGGTGAATCGCAAGGATCCCGATGGCAAGAACATCTTCTCTGGCGGCTTTCTTGGACTTGACAACATTGGTAAGTGTCCCCAGGCGATGTACATTATGGTATACATTGGTCGTCATGCTGTGTATCCGTATGTTCAAGTACTTTTAAGGGAATCTAGAGGTGGGTTGTACATTAATCAGAACAGAAGCAATCAAAGAAGAGGACGAGGGGAGTATAGGGAAAGAAAAGGTAGTTATTTTAGTAACTCGTTACATGCCCGGTGCAGTGTCGGCGAAGAAAACGATGCACTGATGTGTGTGCGTGGTTCTGTTGCGTTTGCTTTGCAGGTGTATTCGATCGGTCGAAGCCTCTGCCAACTGGTGGTTCTCTGGAACAGGTATTGGTTTGGTCACTCGTGCCGTGGCAGTTACCCAACTCCTGATATATTTGTCAGATTCTTGAGCAGCTGCTTTCTTGGCATGTTCAGAGTACTGTAAGAGCAGATATTATTTAACAATCTCCGAATTTTTGTGGGTTAGCGAGGTGAAATTCTAACGAATTCCGTCTCAAAACCAGCAAATGACTGTACATGTACGTATTGTATTGTACATAACGACTTACAGTATATGACTTGGTACAGGCATACGGGTATAGGCCTGAATTAGACTGGGTCCGAACTTCTACTTTGTCTTGTACTCACTGTTATGCAGGCGGATGGCACAGCGTGGATGGCATTCTTCTGCGTGGTGATGCTGGACATGGCACTGGAGCTGGCGCTCACCGATCCCGTGTACGAGGACATGGCGTCCAAGTTCTTTGAGCACTTTGTCGCGATCGCCGAGGCCATGAATGCGCTTGGTGATGGAAAGGTGGGTTGGCCGTTGGAAAGTGGTTATGCATCCTCCCTGTTGCTGTATTGCGTAATAGCTGACAGCCTAGGTTCCCTGAGTTATCTGCGTTGGGTAACTGAGCCTTGAAACGTGTGTGGCGTGCACGATTGTCTTTGTTCTGTCCGCTTCATAGCAGTCCTACGTGTGAACGTCATGTTTGATTGCTCGTTTTCCTGTTGCGTGAATTGTTGTTGACAGGGTCTCTGGAACGAGGAGGATGGATTCTACTACGACCATCTGACCCGTGAAGGCCAGGAGCCACAGCCGATGCGCATTCGCAGCGTGGTGGGCCTTGTGCCTCTCTTCTCGGTGCTGGTGCTGGAGGACTCGGTGCTGAAGCGCCTTCCCGACTTCCACAAGCGCCTGAAGTGGTTCCTGGCGCACCGTCCGGAGCTATCGTCGCAGGTTTGTTGAACTGTTTGCTGTTTGTACTTCGTAGCAATGGGGACTGTACACCGTGTTGCTGCGTGCTCTCTAACTAACACTTAGTTGGGTTATTATTGACCTGCAAAAAGAACTTTCTTCCAGCGCCGATTTCAGCCACTACCCACCTAACTGTGTCTGATAATTCGAACCTCAAACCGGGCAAGTACACCTACGAAATCTGCTCTGTACGTAGAACATGTGTGGAATTCCTGCTGATAATTCAAAGTCCACTGTACGCCAGAGACGTTACTTCAGTATGCGCAAACAGACTGTACTGGCCAGTTCTGAGTGCGTTGAATCTGTGTCTACTCAGTATACTGTATAACTCAGCTCTGTGAGACAATGTGAGCATTTTGCCACGCATCATATTATTATGCGATTGGAAGAAGATAAATTAACGTTTTACGCGTCAATTTGGGGTTTGAATTATCTAGATTCCACCAACGGTATGAAGGAGATGCATACAACTTGGTGCGTCCATGGAGCTATGAAGCCGAGACCTCTGGTCGGCGGAGCTTAATGGGCCCCACCACCACACTCCATTATTCACCCCAGTGTCTGGAGATATGTGGATTTTGTAGAAAAAAAAGAAGAAAAAATACACCCCACTGTTGAAGACTATGCCGGTGCAGTTCAACTCAGCACCAACATCAACCCACTATCATGTACAAGTACAAGTCCACTACCGATATGGCCACTGCAAATTCTATATGGACTTCACATCGGTCAACAAGTGTGTGGAAATGAGTGTTGCTTGCCTTGAGAGCTATTGTATGGAGAGACGGTTGCCTTTTGCTTGTCTGCTTGGCAGTGTACCCATTCTTTCCATCTTTGTTTTCATCGCTGGTGTGCAGATATCTATGTTTCAAAGTTCAGCAGCGGATTCCTGTTCACCCCTCGTGCCTGGCACACATTATCTGCTTGCCATTCCATCGCGTGCGAGGCTGGAGCGAGTGCTCAAGTACGTCCTGGACGAGAAAGAGTTCTTCTCCGACCATGGCCTGCGCTCTTTGTCAAAGGTACGGTTTAGTGTCTTGAGTAGCTGCGTGTGTGCTGCATTTGTTCCACGTTGCATAGTCACTGTACTTCCAATAAACTATTTTTCTGATGATGTAGTCATTGGTCTTGATTGTTGTCGCTGCAATCTGCCATTGTCTGTTGGGTAGCTGGGAAGGGGGTCTTCTATTAGCTGTATTGAAGTACATCCTCAATCTCATGGCTTGTTGGTCGTGTATATATTATATGTGTGTGTGCACGCGCGTGTGTGTGCACGCGTGTGTGTGTGTGTGTGTGTGTGTGTGTGTGCGCGCGCGCGTGTGTGTGTGTGTGTGTGTGTGTGTGTGTGTGTGTTGGGCATCCTTGCTGCAGGTCCATGAACAGCAGCCGTTCCGCATGGACTTTTCTGGAGAGACATACAGCTTGGAGTACACACCAGGCGAGTCCAACACCTACCTATTTGGAGGCAACAGCAACTGGAGAGGACCGATCTGGTTTCCAAGTGAGTGCCTGCTGCCTCTCTCTCTCTCTCTCTCTCTCTCTCTCTCTCTCTCTCTCTCTCTCTCTCTCTCTCTCTCTCTCTCTCTCTCTCTTCTCCCTCTAGTGGAAGAGCGATCGGTGGCAGTGCATTGCGGGCCAAGTTTGTGAGATCTTATCCGCTGTCTGTCTACTGCCTTGATGCCAAGTATCCTCTGGTGCTAACATTAGTTGTATTGTGTGATTGTGTGGTGGCTGGCTTCATTGCATTGCAGTTGCGTATCTGCTGATCGAGTCACTGGAGCGTTATGACTTCTACTATGGTGACTCTTTCCAAGTGGAGTGTCCCACTGGTTCTGGTGTTATGATGAACCTGAAGGAGGTATGGCAATACATGTGTAGAAGATTCTTGAATGTCACATTTCTGATGATGCAGCATGGATACGCATGGAGCGATAGTCATGCTTTGCAATTCAAATGCACTTTTTATCAAACTACTGAATGGTCGGACAGAGTGTGATGTGTTGCACGTACCACATTGCACTACCTTCGTCTAGATTTTCACACCCTGGAATTTTTCCCCTGGCTATCCAACCCCCTGCTCTACTCCGAGTTTCGTGTGAAAACACTTCATCAGACAGCCCCCTGCTCAGCCCCCTGCTCTAAGTGGAACAGTCCTGCTTTGGACTAGGACAATTGTACACGGGGGTTTTTTATGGGAGATGATTGGCTTTCGTTGACTATGTGGGTGCCCCGCGTTGGCACGGTTACGAGATTGACCAGTATGTATTCTTGTGCATACTTGAAGTAGAGGTACAATGTACTTTACAGCGGGTCATTTTTAGCGGGAACATCTTTAGTGGTTCCCAAACCAGCCAGATTTTGCGATAAGTTTTGTTGATTACTTGGAGTCTCGAGTCAAAGCACAGTGCAGTGAATGTTGATCCAAGGGATAAAAATTCTCACTTGGCGAGGCTAGAATTCGGCAAGAACGCTCCTTTTGATAATTGCTACTAATCAGATTCGGCGCTGAAATTGCCCGTTTTATACTAGTCTGCTGTTATGAATTAGTGGGCTTTGTGTACAATTTCCTTTTCTACTGTCTTGTTCAGGTGAGCAAGGAGATGTCACGTCGCCTCACCACTCTGTTCACACCAAGCCCGGAGACGGGCCATCGGCCGTGTCATAGAGAAGCTCCGCAGTATCGCGACGACCCACACTGGCGCGATCTCGTTCTCTTCTACGAGTTCTTTCATGGTGACAAGGGACACGGCTGTGGTGCGAGGTATGCAATAGCCAAATTGTTTACTACACTCACATATCTCGTTTATCCAGCCGGTCCGGGACCGGGCACTGCCTGTAACTTTGGAATGTCCGTAACTCCCAATGACATACATTTTGATGCAAAAAGGCCGTAGATATGGCATATGACGTCACTATTTCCACTAAAAGTGTCACAAAAAAGAGTAGTAATATTTCCACTGAAACTCGCCCAAAGGGTGCCCGGTAGACTGAAGTGCCCGTAACTTCGGGATCCGGATAACCGAGGTATGAGTGTACTCCATTGTTGAAGTTTGTGAAGTACTGTATACATGTATAGCGTTGCTCAACGAAATCCAGGAATCATAAGTCAGCTGGCTCGGGTGCTATGCAGCCTAACCCTGCACTGGGCACTGATGCAGGACACAAGCCCATTGATGAGCCCGGATATCGTTAAGGAAACAGAAATGGACTGGGCCTGAGTTCTCAGCAGCCAACCATTTTTCAAATCTTGCGCCTAGTTAAATTTTGTTGGCTTTCTTTTTAGATTTTTCGGTTGCTAATCACGATAGTCAAATTCCTTTTCTTGTGGTGGTGGTGGTGGGGGGGGGGGGGGGGGGGGGTCGAACGAACTTGTAAAGGCAACATGTGCAGCATGTATGACAGGACTTGTGCAATATACAGATTGCAGTGTAGATCTACTGTGTGCTATCTCTTGCTTCATGCAACACATGCCGAGTTTCTTTGTTGTAACGACACGGATGTGTGTGCAAGGTAAGTCAGCCATGGCGTCACACTGTACTTTGGGTAAATCTCAGTCACCTTCATTGGTAATTTGAGGTATGCACCCGTCTGTGTTGTGTAGTTTGTGACTTTCCTTGATATCTTACTTTACCTGGTCGGGAATCCTGATATACACCCGTCATGAGCTGCTCACAACACCACTGCCCTGTATGTGTTTGTGTTGGGTGTTCATGTATATGTTCTGCAGTCATCAAACTGGTTGGACAGCGCTAGTGACCAGGTGCCTGGATAAGATAGCCGAAAAGAGCTGAAGCAACGCTGGCGGTTTGCGCAACTGTTCGTCACTCGTGTTCCATCGACTGACGTAGCAAGGTCGTTGGAGGACCTTGTCCCGTCTCCATGCATGTCCGGAGACTGTGCTACGTGCTATCTAGAGCACCCAGTCATGAGCTAGAGCGGTGCTCTTCCTGCCCAGCTGGTCGCAGTCGCTGCCCTCAGTGCACTTTGATTTGAAGTGCGTCATCTAGGTGCAGTGCCACCGTAGAAGAGAGGTCTGGCACTGTCTGTGCTCATGCATGACCGTAGAGGACTGGCATGGCACTAGCACTGTGTTTATGCACATGCATGATCCTGGCACTGCTTCTGCACGTGCACTGCCTGGGTGTCTTGTTTTAGTTCCCTAGTTTTGCAAGATTCTGTCAATGCCAGATGTTGTGGCTCTTTCCTAATCATGCCTATCCTGTGGCATATGGCCATGCATTCTCACAGCAGGACTATAAATCACAGACCACCATTTAGACTGTCATCATTTGCTCTAGTTTTCCAGGGTACATACTGTGTCAATGCTCAGCGGGTGCCCCCCCCCCCCCCAAATCATGGGATGAACGTTTTCTCTTTTTAGCATCCACCATTTTGACTCCTTTTTTTCTTCATTTTACTTCGAAGTAGACACTTCAAGTAACACACTTTTTAGAGTATGTACCGCACCAGCTATGGGTGTAGCGGCTACTGGCCTTGTATGGATAGTATTTTTTACATATTTTCCTATAACCGGTTTAACTATAGGTCACCCAACTCAATATAGAAACTGCTGTTGGCTTTGGGTAGTCAACGTAGACTGACGAGAGAATCTGCAACGATGCAAACCTGCTGGATCGGCTGCTGTAGATTTAGGACTCCAGATGGGGTGACGTTTTGGCACTTCGGTAAAAAATTCTTTGTGGCTTCATGTAGAAGAGCATACTGACACCAGATTTACTGAAAATGAATTCTTACCAAAGCCATCTACGTTCACAGGATAATGCATCGACTGCTGCCAGTTTGTGTTTGCAGCCTGTCTTCTGTCCAGTTGTACCTCTCCTTTTGCAGTGTGCAGGACTTGTGCCAGCAACCTAAAACAAGCACTGATGCAACTCTGCACACCTTCTCAGACATAGACATGGGTGCACTTGTTTATAATAATTCAAAGTCAGACAAAGAGATGTCTCTGATGCTTGCATTAGAGAAAATCTTTCACAAAACATAGCACACCTTCTAAATTCTAACAAGTCTGCTTTCTAGCAAGCAGTCCTGAGCTTAGCTCTGCTGAACACTACATGTACATTGTACACGATGCAAATAGTAAGAATAATAAGAAATAAATGAAAATACATGTACAAAGGAAGGTGAGGAGAAAAAATGTATGGAATAGATTGTCCACGGAGCTCACAGCACCAGGCCGTCCAGGGTTACTATCCAACTTCAACACAAGTGCACGTTGTCATGATTATAGCCAAGTGATTAGCGTACATGTCAACACAAAAACATATAAAACTAAAATTGAATTAGGAAAAAGGCTAAACAAAACTAAGAGACTAGATAAAACGACAGCAGTGCATGACAGTGCACTTGCTCTGCACAAAAAAAAACACCGATAGGCACACACACACGCACGCACACACGCAGACACCAGTCGAGACGAGAAAACAGCGAGGTTCAACTGCATGTTGCAGAGGTAGCAAGGCTTCCAGGACGGGATGAAGCTAAGCGCATCTTCAGTACACGTTGGATACACAATACCTGAGCGCAGGCAAAGGACAGCCAACGAAAACACTGCACCAGTCTTTGAGATTGCAAGCACTGTTAACTGTGTGACAAGGCCAAGGACCTGTATGGAAAAAAAAGCATGGCAATATATCCAAAATCATCAAGCCCGGCAGATGATACAATCACTGGTGTTATTGACACCACCACCATCACTCCCCATCTTAACATAGCTGCAGAGAAGCGCCCAAGCGGTGCGCAGGCTGGTTAAGGCGTCGGGTGTCGATGAGCGCCGATAACGTAACGGTTGCGAACGGTTTTTGTGTCAGGCGGTAGTTGTAAGCCAGGCCTAGTGTGCCTTGGCTACTGATCTTGGCCTTGACATGCGACTGGTCGTCCAGCTGATAACGCATTCCAAGGATAAGGTTGTTCCAGTCGGAGCGGTGCGGGCTGCTCATGAACTGTGCACCGACCTGCAGCCGCGGCGAGATCCTCTGGTGCACCGACACGAGAATGTCTACCATGCTCTGCCACGTGACGCTAGCCGTGAAGTCACTGGCGTTGTACGCTGCACCCACGCTCGAGCTGGTGATGCGGCCCAGCGTTGTTTCGTACATGATCTCACCGCCCAGCATACCACCGCACGGGTAGCTGACTGCCAACGATGTGCGCATCACCTTACCCAGGAAGTCAAACTCCACTGCGCCAGTATGGTGAATGTACGGACGCTTGTACGCAGTGCGAATTGCTAGAGATTTGTGATTCGTGTCAGGGTTATAGACCGTCTCCAGCGTACCCTTGAGTCCTTTCAACGCTTGGTCCTCATTCGTGATTGTGCTTTTGAGCATACCATCTTCGTTTACCTTTTCCGTGATTTTCCAGGCGTTGTGCGAGTAGGCCATTTCTGCCATGCCTTCCACCTTTCCATTGACAATTTTGGAGGTTCCAGAGGTCCTCACTACCAGCTTACCATTCTGACTACCAACAGGTAGTTCACTTTTCACCTTCAGCTCGCCGAATCCATACCCATCGAACAGGTTTTTGATCAACCTGTCGAAATCGCCGTAGCAGGGAGGGATAAACTTGGCCGACATACTGGACTACAGAAAACCTCGGGAATGTGAGTAGAATCAAGGCAAGAAGAAGGCAATAAACATGCAGGAACCAACGTTTCCTTCAGCAGGGAGTCCAAAAATATTTTGGTGAGTTGCTTCTTTTGAAAATGATCGATTAGCGGAAAGTGGTTTTTGAAGTATTTTTGTCCGTTTGGCGGCACACCAGGCGAAGCGCCAGCACCGAAAAAGAGCCCTAAAAGTTGCACTTTTATTTTCCAAATCCGACCCCAGGCCCGGGAAATTTGAAACTCAGCTCAATATCGCCAAAAGAGACTATTTTTATCCCTTGCTCACAAGAGCTTCCCTGGTGGTATCGTCTTGTTCCGAGGCAATGTTTGGGAAGGTGCGGGCATTAGCTGCCCTCAGTTTAGCGGAAAGCTCCAAGCGACATCATTTTCCTCGCTTTCTCGCCAGAGTTTTCAAGACCGACGCAACTCGTCGTCAAAAAGTACTCAGCGTGGATTTCGTGCCGAATTCCGCCCCAAACAATTTAGGCTGACCTCTCGCCACCAATCGAACCCACTGATATGTATCTACCTATACACGAGCAATGGTTTGAGCCCAAAGAAGGACAACTTCACAACGAGCATACTTTCTGAGGGTAATATTTTCTACGTATATCGGTATTAGAACACCATCAAGACGACAATTTGACCAGCAGAAAGACATAAAGTTGCACTACAAATACAGCAGCTGTATAAACATAAATAATTGAACAGAAAACTATGTACCTGGATCCCACCAAAAAACAGTAAAGCATCCCAAATAGTATGCGCATACACATATACATGAAGGAAGGCTATGTTGCCACCATACACTGGCTACGCACACGGACATAATTCTGGAGAGCTGAGCATCAGCGTGCGCACACCCCCACACACACAAACATCTGCATGCACGCGCGCACACCCACACATGCGCATGCACACGCGCACGCGCACACACACACCCACATATACACATGCACGCGCGCACACACACCTGCCCTGTGCTGTCGAGCCACTGCCACAAGGGTTGCGTGGGCCTCGAAGGCACCGGAGAGAGAATAGGAGAACGCAGTCCCATAGATACACACACACGGGCACACACAAACACACACACACACACACACACATGTACACAACACGTGCAAGTACACACGTGGCAGCTTACTACAAGAGAATCACACAAGTTCACATGTGGGCATGAACTGTATTCACAGTTGGTCATACTGTCTTGGGCATATGAGGGAGGAGCAGGAGAGTGAGTACGTGACTCAGACACAATGCGCTTCAACATGCTAGCACATGCACCGGTTTCGGACAGTGGCAGAACGTGACGGAGAGAGAGAGAGAGAGAGAGAGAGAGAGAGAGAGAGAGAGAGAGAGAGAGAGAGAGAGAGAGAGAGAGAGAGCACCGGCGTTCCAGCTCAAGCTCCAATTTCTAGTTGCTTCTCCTGGTCACAGGAAACACAGAACAGGGCTCAGGCAGTGCCGAGGAAGTGCTTGTACTTGGTGCAGTGTCGTGAGCAGGATAAACTTCCAACATCTCTACACAGTGTAGCTCTTCAGGCGCACACGAAGACTCAGAAACCGGAATATACTTTACATGATGATTGAAAGTCCAGCAGCACAACAAAACTTCCAAGGACTGGTTTGGCACTAGCTTCCGTCTCATTGGCGTGTGCCCAGCCAGTTTTGGAAAGAAAGAGTAGACGTTCATTCCTCCTTCAACCTGCAATGAACTGGAGACAACACAAACCAACAAGACGACGATGGTTGTCATCAGCTCATGTGTTCACCACCGCAGTGCTACCATTCACTTTCCTGCTCCAAATGCACTACCAGGCTGCATGGTACTACTGTCGTGGACATGGAAATCAGGTCGCACGGATAGCGGCCCCAGGGCGCTGGCCATGTAGCCGTAGCACGGTTTATCATGCGCTGCTGATGGTCGCATTGGATCAACATGTGCACTGCATGCAACGTTCTGTACGCGCTGAGGGCGCCGGCCCCGGTCAATCGACTGGATTTCCATGTCCGCGACAGTACGATGTGTCGATAATAGACCGTGATTTGCATATTCCAATGATTAGGACTGGTATTATTTCTATTATTCACACTTAGAAAGAAAACAAGGGGCAAGCTTTGATATGGATTATGTGGTTGTTGGCTATGTCACCATTTGAAAGAGGGTTGCAACCGTGATAGCACTGTAATATGAGTTTAAACCTACGTATTGCATGGTATACTCAACAGTTGGTGAGCAGAGAATTTCGTGCCGAATTCCGCCCCAAGGTTGTGCACAGCAAACAACTTGATATATCATTAGCCCTACCCTTGTGCTATACGTACCCGTTGTGCCGATCGAGCCTGAGCCCTCTACTCGACTCCACGGTCCAATGACATTCGGTCATCATGGCCAAATTCAAGTCACTCAAGTGTTGAGAAGTGTCTACGTCGTCGCACACGGCATGTGTCGACATACAAAAATATGTATACGATAGAGAAAGAACTACTGAAGAGCAACCAACTGGTTTCAGCATTCTCCTTCAAAGGATAGGTCGGTGGCAGAGGACCAAAGCCGGACAATAGTTGGAAATTCTCAGCGTTGAATTTCTACAGGCTGTAGATACCTGGAAAAGCTCGATTTCCCGCCACGGAAAATAAAAAAGTCTTGATTTGGGGTGCTGGCGCTTCGCCTGACACGTTCGCTAGAAACGATCGTTGTAACCGGATAAACTCGTTTCTGTGCGATTTACTGAATAAATCTCTACATTGTGTCGGCGAAATCCAGAAGTGAAGTGATGACACTGATGAGTCATTCATGAGTCGCGATCATTATAAGTATGACGTATGGGCTTTGAAATTTCGAAACCCTGAAAAGACTGAACAAAGAAAGAGACTAAAAAAAGAGACTGGGCGGAAATAGTGAGGGGAAGTGTTAGGTATGTACGAGTAGAATCTATAGAGGGTGTCGATACTTCAAAGTGTTCCTATGGCATAGCCTATGCAAGTACTTGACATTGTATAGTTAGTTATGGATTACCACACTGTGGACAGATAATGTTTCGCAACAATTCGGGTACAGGTCACTGTGCTCAGTAATTCATGGCTATAGACTGTATAGCCTAGGCAGTTGACGGTGCTACCAGTGGCAGTTGCAGTGGTACAAAGTATTAGTTACTTGTCCTGACTGGCCTGAGATGGACTTCTTTCTGGCATTTTGCTTGTTTGTGGTGGGGTGTGCATTTGCTGCCCTGTATGAGTTCATTCGTCGCCTGGAGAGAGGAGAGGTCAACCTACCTATTCGACCAGCCGCACGGCCCAATGTATTTTATCCAGTGGAGCAGACGAGTATGGTCTCATCTAGAAACCCTTGGAGCATAAATGTTTCAAGCAGTCGTGAGTGGATTTGACTGGTTGAAGGTCCTTCCTCAAGTACAGTAGAGCATGACTACAGTCAACTTCGCTTATAACGACACTCGGCGGGGCATCAGAAAAGTGTCGTTATTCACAAAGTGTCGTTATAACCGAAGTCTCATACTAGTATTATGTATTACAATTGGATGGGACTTTGCTCTGGGCATGGAAATTCTGTCGTTATTCGCGAATTGTCGTTATATCCGCAGTCGTTATTAACGAAGTTGACTGTACCTGGTACATGTAGCAGTAAAGCCTCTTGTACGGGCAAACTGAATTGCACATATCATCAAACAAATTCAAATTCAATAAACTGTCAGTAGACTACAGGTGAAATCCTGGTAATTCGAACCTCAAAATGCCAGGAAAAAAACTTCTAATTATCCAAACATGAACCCACAACTCAATATGATGTCAAAATGCTCTCATGGCCACGCAGATTTGCGCTATGGACCTTAGACACAAATTTTACGGACACTGAACTGACCGGCACAGCCTGCTCGTGCAAACTGAACTGACCAGTACAGTGTACAGTGAACTTCGAATTACACTTTGCTAACTTCGAATTATCAGCACAAATCCCACACATTTTCTATGTAAGTGGAATCTGTGGGACTTCTAATTAACCGGACATGTCCAGTTCGAGGTTCGAATTATCAGAATTTTTTATGTGGGAATCGTATTGATAGAAATCGGTCCTGGAAAAACTTCTAATTAAGCGGTATGTTCGAATTAAGCCATATTCGAATTATCAGGATTCCACCTGTACTACGTGTACTGCATGCACTACTATACTGCTGTAGTCTGTGCACGGGTGCTAGAACCCTTTTGAATGTTTCTAGTCTCTGCTTCTTTACCAAGAGTACATAAGCAACAGTGTGCAACTCAACGATCCCCGAGACCACGGCAGAATGTTTGTTTGACATCAATGTTTAGCTCCCATTAGACTCCCTATTAAATGCCATTATTATCCATAGCCAGGGATCAAAGTACAAATTGTACATCTCAGCTATGGTAGTCGAAGCAGCACAACAAACAGTAGGTCAAAGCGTCCGGAACCTTATGAACTGACACCGTGCCTACAAAACAAGTGTGGAAAAGAATACGCACTTGATCGTACTTCTGCCAAAAAACGATGCAAAAATACTCTGTAGTAGGTTACCGCGTGACCCAGCACACCTCAAGATAGGAGTTGCACCCTCTTGGTTATGTATAGGTCTAGTATTGTACTCTTGGCAATACCAAGGGCACTAGCGCATGAGGTTCTGTACACTTGGTATTACCAATCCATTCTCATGGTGATGTGCATGTAACTTGTATCTTCTTGGCAAAGAGCAATACTGCCAAGCCGATACTTATTTGGGGAGAGCTAAGTTACAATTGCCGTCTACAAGTGAAGTTTGTTCTCATGACAGTGCTTCATTGTGTTGTTGGTTGACAGCGTGAAACAAGGTGGAGGACACCGTGCTCGGAAACAGTGACCTTATCTAAAACCATGCTTCAGTACATGTATAGTGGACTGAATCCCAATCTGGTATAAGTCGTGATAGTCAGAGTTGAATGTAGGACTGCTTTGTTGCTGATGCTGTAGAGCGTTCGGTCAGCGTTCAGAGTCTCATTCCATTCTCGGTGCAGTGCTACTGGGACGTTGACCTGCCTGCACTGGAGACTGCGATCCAGCGGAGCAATGAGTGAGTAGACACGAGAGAGACAGAGAGAGAGAGAGAGAGACAGAGAGACAGAGCGAGAGACAGAGCGAGAGACAGAAACAGAGAGAGAGAGAGAGAGAGAGAGAGAGAGAGAGAGAGAGAGAGAGAGAGAGAGAGAGAGAGAGAGAGACAGACATAGAAGGGGAGGGAAGGGGGGGGGGTAGAGCGATAGAGAGATAGATAGAGACACACATAAAGAGAGAGGGAGAGAGAGAGAGAGAGAGAGAGAGAGAGAGAGAGAGAGAGAGAGAGAGAGAGAGAGAGAGAGAGAGAGAGAGAGAGAGAGAGAGAGAGAGAGAGAGAGCCTGGTCTGCAAGGCCACTGTTGCTGGGAGCATTTCACCTGTTTGGCTATGCGATGCAGTAGTTGGCCTGTGCCTTACTTGTATGGCTGTATTACCTGTCCGTTGTGCTGCAGAGATGAGCAAGAGTTCTTGCATAGGCGGCACAGCTTGCAGTGCTTTCTGAGCAGTGGATGCTCCAGCCAGGACATACTCATGCCGTATCCTTCTTATCTTGAACAGGGACTGATGCACCTGCAATGTCGTGGTCCTTCCATGATACAACAGCATGTAACTGCAGTCTGTTCGAAATTCTTTGATTTTCCAAACTGCCATACCATAATAATATTATGGTATGGCAGTTTGGAAAATCAAAGAATTTCGATTTATACTGAACTTGCTAAGTGCATGCTGTGAGTACAAGCTCGTACTGGCCCAAGACAAACGTATCACATTGTGTAGGAGCTGTCCCATGATGCCTATTTGGCAGTATTTGCACAACTGTTTATGGGGGTACACTTATCCAGCATGTGCAGATGATTATACATCTGTGCCATAGGTACAACTACGACAGTGTAGGTCTATCGCTGTGTAAGCATATCTTCGATGTGCGTGCATGCGTGTGGTGGATATGATTGAGTTATTCATGACTCGCTTGTGCTCATGTATTCGGTCGGTGTTGGCCTTGACAGTCACGTTCCCGTACAAAGCAATGCGCCTGCAGGAGACCATCGAGTGCTCTCACACGCCGACACTAGCTCTCCTGTGAACTGCACCGTCGTTCTCTTCATTTTGGCTGCATCGCCGGATGATGCAAAGTCAGAGTACGATGCTGTAAGTCACGTCACGAATACCATGCCTTGTCCTCTACTTTGCGTAAGTCTTTTGATCAACACTGTATGTCTTTCATCGCAGTATCTTCCGGCCACCTGATTTTAGCTATGAATTCAATATTGTAGCGCTGCTATCACCAGCAGACTGCTTCCCAAAGCATCTCCAGTCGTTGCAAATCTCCTTTCTTATCGTTTTTGACCGCGAAGACTACAGTTTAAGGAATGAAGGTCATATGACCGACCGCAAACATCACCCTTATGATGGGTTGTGTTGTGTGTTGGTGCTGCAGGCGGCAGTCGTGGCACACTTCTCTGTTTCCGCCGTACTGAATGATGAGCAGCGTCACGAGCGACTTTATCGGTTGGACGCGCAATGGATCATGAACTATCATGCTATGGAAACTTATAAGCTGCAGGTACGGAAGTGTGATCGTTTGGTAGTTCGTGTATGGCGAGCTAGCTTGTTCTCTTGTGTGCTTGAAAAGGTTGCTGGCTTATTCCAGGTACTAGTAGTATAGGCAGCTGTGAGTGACATCGGAACGGAGACAAAGTTACGAGTGTTTGCTAGCCCAATCTGCATGATGCCAAGGAGTGTGCGTGTCTGTGACGGGGGGGGGGGGGGGGGTGCGAATGTGGGTGTGGTGTTCAGGTGTGAAGGCTGGAACGAAGTGGATACATGTACCATGATATTCTGGGGATAAAAAGGTCTGCTTTGACTTTTGTGGACCATCCTTGCTACCAATGGCATCCAAACCATGTGATCTCGAATAGTTCAGCAGCTGAGAAAGATTGACTAATACTAGTAATAAGTTATGGCCCTTGGGGGGCGTATTGTTCTGCAATTTGACTGTACAATACACTACTGGTACACCCTTGTAGACGGATGGACTTTTTCTGGAGGGCAGTATATACCCGCTTACCCTCCTTTGGCTAGACCTCATGCTTTAGAATTTTGTACTACATGTACATGTACATGCATTGTGCATACCACTCTAGTGCATAGTCTCATTGAGCACGCTTACAAGCTGCCCCGACTGGCACCGATTGTGCGTGTTCCAAATGCAATATACTATCGCTCAACCTCGCCTTTTGAGTAGTGCCGGGTGCATCTTAATTGCTGGCTGTTTTCTGAGTTTTTTTGTGTGTGCTTTGTGCTTGCATTGCAGGTGCTTTATTCTGCAGGCAGTCCAGTATTATCTGACGATGGTCCTAACGCGGATACTGGTAGCGATGACCGTGCTGCGCAGGCGTCAACGTCATCGGTGGACTACAATGGCGACTCGCCCGCAGGCAGCTCGGCGGCCTGCGTTGTGTGCCAGTCTGCCGCGGCCACCGAGGCCATGCTGCCGTGCCGTCACGTTGCGCTGTGCAGCAACTGCCTGACACGCGTGCACCTGTGCCCGGTGTGTCGCTCGAAAATCCAATCTCACTTCACCGTGGCCTAGTAGGCACACGGCGCTCAAAGTCGGCTTTATCAACCCTCCCAACCCCTCGCATGCTGGTTCCATCTGACCCCTTTGCTGGCAAAGGAGGTTTGCTTGAGGCTTCCGCTTTTTATCATGAGTTGTTATCAGAACTAGCAGGAGCATATTTTAAAAATTTGTGGCTGGATATGTAGTATTATTTGCGAAGGTAGACGGCTGGTCCTTGCAGGTACCTGTACTTCCGTATATTGAAGTATGTTCACAGATTTATTCCTGCCTTATAGTTATACACGATTTATTTCCCAAGAAATAAAGACTTGGAACGAAAGGTCAACGACGTACATGATCCCATGGCATGTGTACGGAGAATCACCGAACCGCTCTGGCGCAAACAACTATGATGATCTCTCATGAGTCAGGGTCATTATACAGGCTGAGGTGAGGGTCTTGGTGATGTACCGGGGGTGAAGCAATGATGTGCGCCTGGGTAGGCCGGCTCTTTTGGGCCGTGTTACCAAGAGTACATAACCTCAGGGTTATGTACTCTTGGTCAGGGAGTCGTATAAACCCGGGTTTATACGACTCCCTGATCTTGTTCCCAAGAAAGGCTGGGGGCGGCTCTTGACCCTACAAAGTATTATGTAGTTAGTAAGTAACAGTTGGTGGTACTACGATGCAAGGCGCAAACTTGAGAGATGCGACTGGATTTCATTGAGCAGCACTAGCAAAGTCTGTAGGTACATGCCATCACAGCATCAGAAGTGTTTCCATACACAGACACTCCTCGAGTCCTCCGTCGCGTCATGCTTCTTGTGATGATTACAGTCATGTACATAATACTACAATCGTCATGTAGTATATTGATTACTAAAGTCCAAGGGAAACCCCCTACATGTGGAAAGACAAGTGCATGCATGACGTCAAACAATTACTGAATTAGGTCTACGTGGCACGTGGCATTCATTCAAGACTGTTTCAGTGTTTGAATGCGAAGAAGTCCTGAAACACACGTCAACCTTGTTAGTGGAAAGCTGAATGAGGAATTAGTGTGGTATGCCAGTCCACGTCAGCTATCTCTTTGAAGAAGTCGACTTCCGCTGAAGATTTCTTGTATAATACAGTAGTACGGTGGTGTTCGTCGTGGAAGTTTGTTTGGAGACCTGGCTCAGGCTGAGATCAGAAAAGCTGAGCCAAATTATTTTCAAAGACTTATTTTACTCCTGCAGATAATTATAATCGTTTGAAATATACTGATAGTGTGCAGTTCAGTGACCCAGTAATTACAAGTAATAATATCCTGAATATCCTGAGCGCGAAGGTCAAGAGTGTACTCTGAGTGCTGGGTCAAGAGTCGCTTGGTTATGGGCAGGCGGGCAACGCTAAGTATGACAATGAGGCAATTCCTAGCAGCTCGTTTCTTTTTGTTGGGCTTCTTGTGGACAGTGTTAGTGCCTGCAGTACTGGCAGCTGAAGGCCCTGTCGATGTGTCTAGTTTGGCAGCAGTGGATGTGGATCCTGATTCTGAATCGGGTGCAGCTGAAGGGGAGGCGTCTGTGAACACGGACACTACTGCCCCTGCAACGCCCCGTCGGGTCCTTCAGCCGACATCAGAATGGCAAACGGTTGAAGACGACATGAGCATACCGCCTGGCCTGCATGTGCGCATGGACTTGCAGACTGGCAAGAAAGAGGCCAAACTCCTGGATCCGGAGGATGCAGAGGCTTCCAGCCAGGACAGTCGAAGTGTTACTGCCGACATCCAAGTGCCAAGAGACCTGCGAGAGGGCATCGTCAATACAAAGCGCATGGTTTTCACTCCAGAGCAGGCGGCGGAGCAGCTAGCCGATGGCAACCATGAGGAGTCCAGTAGCCCAGACTCTGCGAGACCGGGCATAGCATACGATACCGAGAACACAGTTGTTCCTCAGGAGAGCATTGACGACATCGCCAGAAAGTATGCGCAAGCTAGGAAGAAAGTCAAGCAAATCCAACCGCGCGCCGACGCGGAGGTAATGCAGGCGCTTGTCAACTTGTTCAATAATATCACCACTCCCGAGGAGCAGAGACTCACCATACTAGAGGAGCTGGAGTATTTCGTCCATCAGATCGACAATGCCCGCGACCTGGAGGCCATTGGCGGCATGGACATCGTGCTGAGGGCGTTGAAACACAGCGATGCCAAGTTCCGCTCGGTAGCCGCACTGATACTGGGCTCAGCTATGCAGGGGTAAGATGACTGATGACTGGGACATGCTTGTGATTATCCTTGGCTCTCTTTCTGACAGTGCATGTATCCGCTTTCAGCCTGTCTGTGTTGCTTTCTGCAATCCAATGGGAAACTCGTGAAGGACCTGAAATTCAGCTCTCCGTCTCTGTCTTTTTGATGTTCAACAGTTACTGTTCCTGACAATTACATGTATCTTCGTGTCCTTTTTTCTCTGTGCAGAAACCCGTCAGTTCAGCAGACGGTTTTGCACCGTGGCGTATTGCCTACCCTGGTTCAGTTCCTGCAGTCGGGCAGCCAAGAGCCGAAGACAGTGCGTCGGCCGGCCATGTTTGCACTGTCTGCACTCGTGCGCTCTCACGCCGAGGCTCAGCGGCGCCTCTGGGAGCTGGACGGACTGCACATTCTGAAGGATTTGTGCCGAACCTCGGCCGAGGATCACATCCCGGCATTGTGTGTCAAGTCGGTCACTCTCATCTATGACATCTTGACCGAGCAGGTATGTTGGTGGAGGTGTTTTCCCCAGGACTAGTTTCTCTCGAGTGCTGTAAGGGGTCGTCCGTAATTTTCGAAAAATTAAAAATCCGTCCTCGGGCAAAATTGTCTCTGACCCACCCACCCACATTTTTTCCCATTACTTATTTGATTTTTCCCAATGCCCCGCTCGAAAATAAGAACTCCTCATCCCGCGTTCACTGACTGCACCTGTGTGTCAAGTACTATACCGGTGGCAACTGGAAATCCGACTGCTGCTTTTCGTGCGCGAGTGCAGCACGGATTCTAGCGGACTCTATTTTCATAGATTACCGTGCTGGGTCTTCTTACGAAGTGAGCGCACCGCTCAGGAGGTCGGATTTCAGTAACCAGCACTGTAGTAGCTAAGTACATGCAGTAGGTTTACTGACGGCCATGCACGTCCTACAACTACATTGTACATCACACTGGTGTTTGCCACAATCGACCTTACATTACTGTACATTACACAGTATACTACTAGTACACTCAATGTAACAAGTGTATGAAAGTCACTGAAGTAAAACAAAAAAATTTAAAACGAAAAATCAAAAATTAAATTCCGCCAGCGCTCTTGACCACCCACCCTCTTTTTGCTTGAGGACGGATTTTTTAATTTTTTCGAAATTACGGACGACCCCTAAATGAAGAAAATTTGCACGTCTTCATCTAAAACCTGTTAGTTAGTATGGACACCAATTTTGTATGTTCGAAATCCGCCTTACTTTCCGTGCACACCGATTGGTTTGGTATGTGTATTGGTTTCTTACATCTCCGGGGAATTCGAACTGTACGGAATACAAGAGCGTACAAAATAGTCTTGACATACAACATGCGCAGCTACTGTAGCAGAAGCCAGCCGTAGTAAAACAGGGACTTGTGTGATTTAATTTTGAAGAAGGGCTGAGGCTTCCTGCAGCTTCATCTGTGAAAAGAATTCGGGTGGACACACCCATTCCCATAGCGCTGCATATCACATCCGAACCAGTTCCGTTATTTTACAACGTTTCGGCACTTGGCCATCATCAGGTAATAACAATGAATACCGTGGAAGCCACACAAGAGCAGTATATACGCAGAGTGTAGCGCCAAAAAAGATGCGTGATTTAGTTTCATGAATACAATGTATTCATGAAACTGATCATACAAGTCATGTACTTTCAAGTGCATCAGGTAATGGCTGGCCCCTTTGATTTTTGATTTTTTTAATCTGAATTGCTGGGACAGAAGAGAAATGCGTCCTTTACATGTTGCATCATGATGGCACTGCTATTATGAATAGTTGCTAGCCCCAAACTGTCTTGTGCGGGTCACTTCAAGCTTCGACTACTGCTGTCTGTTTCATATCTGCAGGCTGATGTCAACTACGTGGGCTCTGCAGAAGAGAGGCTTTTGCCACGCTTAGAGGCAAGTCAGTGGTGCGACTCGGTCATCAGTCTACTATCTAGCAGTGATGGTGATGTATTGGAGAAGGCTGTGGGGGCGTTGCAAGCCATGGTACCGGCGTGTGGCAATCACCTGACGCAGAACACGAATGTCCTTCAGCAGCTTTCCACCCTGGAGCAGCACTGGCGCGAGCAGTCGCAGGCCAACGATGACGACACGGATCAATACTTTGCCTCCATGCAGGAGACGACGCATCGTCTGCACGTACAGCTCGTCGACTGCGCTACACACTCAAACTGTACAAGTGGAGCCACCGCAGCTGATTCAACAGCACATGAGCATGCTCACACAACCGATTTATAGTGCTCGTCTGCATCTTAGTTCTTATTACAATTTCGCAGTCCATAGTTTAATGTTGCACGCAGAGTCTCCTGCTGGCGGGGTTGATCAAATAATTTATATTTCCACTAGGTAGAGTAATACCGCATGCTTCTACTACATGTGCTTTGCTGGCTGCCAGACGAACATACTTTCTTTTTGAAGTACTTCAAAGTAATTCTTGTGTGCCCTCTTGCTGCTTGTGCATGTGCTGAGAGATGTCTATTCGTCTGTATAATTATTACTTCACTTCTGTCGGCTGCAACACATCTCATTCAAAACGCCTAATTTTTCGTTGCCTGGGCTTGAGAAAAAAGAAAGAAAGTTGAGTCCATTTAATCAAACCGTATTTGAGAAAGTGTGAACATGCCTGAACCTGAAAATGCATGGTCAGCATCTCCTTGTCCGTGAGTGTAGAGAGTTTGTGCACTCTTGCAGTGCAAGGACCAGTCCACAACATTCTACATGTAGTTTGTTCCAGAATGCTTAAAAAAGCTTGTAAAGTAAAGAAATCAGAGCTAGAAAAATGAGTCAGCATTTTGAGTCAGCATAACCAGCTGCTGACAAAATAATAAAGGCTGTGTAAGCAAGAAATGGGAATTTCAAGCAGCTAGGAGAGGGCCAGGAACACACGGACAGTAAGGTTGAAAGCTCACTGTACTATCCAGATACTAGAAAGTAGACAGAAATTGAAAATTCAGATATCATCGGTAGATACAAGTAGCCTTCGTTCCAAATAGGGTAATAGTTGTAAGTGCCATGGTGCCAAGTAAAGGTGTGCTCAGAAGCGACCAATCAGGAACTTTGCTACCAAGGCAACTATGGGACTGCCGCTCGGAATTCCTGGGAAAGGTCCCGACGAACCAGCAATGTCGAGGTGCGAGTAGGGCAGTGGATGTGCAGAGTTGATTCCATGCTGTACATAGGAGAGCAGAAGAGAGAACCTGGAGTGTCAGACTGTGCATCTTACTGTGCGTGTCAAGCTAGAAACAGCATTGGGTCGACCCTAGCATTTGTGTGAAATCGCAGTTTTGTATCTCCATCATGATAGGCCCCACTGAAGGTCAGCGCGGGAGCGTCGACGGACACCACTACTAAATGAATTGTACTGTCTCCTTGATCAAGTGACTCACAACAGTTAAGCACAGATAAAGCCAAGGACAGAGCCATAGAAGTACATGTACACGTGCAAGTAAAGGGTTTTTTAAAGCGACCACCCGTTTCTGTTGGCACCAACTTGTGCTGAATGTATACAGGTGTCCCCTTGGTTTCGCAGTACAGTACTGTCGGCCATCGAAGAACTGGAGGGGGGGGGTTGTAGCCTAGACCGTTCTTATTTTCATGTATTACAGTCTATGCACCGTTGAGGCACCGTGTATACGTCGGTATGCTGTGCTCGGTGAAATTCTAGGCTGTTCGTTCTTCGGCACTCCGCTCCGTTCTTCGGCACCCGACACTCCCAGTACTGTACAAAAACACAACTATGAATAGGCTAGTCCCAAAGGAGTCTTCACAAACACAACTATGAATAGGCTAGTCCCAAAGGAGTCTTCACAAACACAACTATGAATAGGCTAGTCCCAAAGGAGTCTTCACAAACACAACTATGAATAGGCTAGTCCCAAAGGAGTCTTCACAAACACAACTATGAATAGGCTAGTCCCAAAGGAGTCTTCACAAACACAACTATGAATAGGCTAGTCCCAAAGGAGTCTTCACAAACACAACTATGAATAGGCTAGTCCCAAAGGAGTCTTCACAAACACAACTATGAATAGGCTAGTCCCAAAGGAGTCTTCACAAACACAACTATGAATAGGCTAGTCCCAAAGGAGTCTTCACAAACACAACTATGAATAGGCTAGTCCCAAAGGAGTCTTCACAAACACAACTATGAATAGGCTAGTCCCAAAGGAGTCTTCACAAACACAACTATGAATAGGCTAGTCCCAAAGGAGTCTTCACAAACACAACTATGAATAGGCTAGTCCCAAAGGAGTCTTCACAAACACAACTATGAATAGGCTAGTCCCAAAGGAGTCTTCACAAACACAACTATGAATAGGCTAGTCCCAAAGGAGTCTTCACAAACACAACTATGAATAGGCTAGTCCCAAAGGAGTCTTCACAAACACAACTATGAATAGGCTAGTCCCAAAGGAGTCTTCACAAACACAACTATGAATAGGCTAGTCCCAAAGGAGTCTTCACAAACACAACTATGAATAGGCTAGTCCCAAAGGAGTCTTCACAAACACAACTATGAATAGGCTAGTCCCAAAGGAGTCTTCACAAACACAACTATGAATAGGCTAGTCCCAAAGGAGTCTTCACAAACACAACTATGAATAGGCTAGTCCCAAAGGAGTCTTCACAAACACAACTATGAATAGGCTAGTCCCAAAGGAGTCTTCACAAACACAACTATGAATAGGCTAGTCCCAAAGGAGTCTTCACAAACACAACTATGAATAGGCTAGTCCCAAAGGAGTCTTCACAAACACAACTATGAATAGGCTAGTCCCAAAGGAGTCTTCACAAACACAACTATGAATAGGCTAGTCCCAAAGGAGTCTTCACAAACACAACTATGAATAGGCTAGTCCCAAAGGAGTCTTCACAAACACAACTATGAATAGGCTAGTCCCAAAGGAGTCTTCACAAACACAACTATGAATAGGCTAGTCCCAAAGGAGTCTTCACAAACACAACTATGAATAGGCTAGTCCCAAAGGAGTCTTCACAAACACAACTATGAATAGGCTAGTCCCAAAGGAGTCTTCACAAACACAACTATGAATAGGCTAGTCCCAAAGGAGTCTTCACAAACACAACTATGAATAGGCTAGTCCCAAAGGAGTCTTCACAAACACAACTATGAATAGGCTAGTCCCAAAGGAGTCTTCACAAACACAACTATGAATAGGCTAGTCCCAAAGGAGTCTTCACAAACACAACTATGAATAGGCTAGTCCCAAAGGAGTCTTCACAAACACAACTATGAATAGGCTAGTCCCAAAGGAGTCTTCACAAACACAACTATGAATAGGCTAGTCCCAAAGGAGTCTTCACAAACACAACTATGAATAGGCTAGTCCCAAAGGAGTCTTCACAAACACAACTATGAATAGGCTAGTCCCAAAGGAGTCTTCACAAACACAACTATGAATAGGCTAGTCCCAAAGGAGTCTTCACAAACACAACTATGAATAGGCTAGTCCCAAAGGAGTCTTCACAAACACAACTATGAATAGGCTAGTCCCAAAGGAGTCTTCACAAACACAACTATGAATAGGCTAGTCCCAAAGGAGTCTTCACAAACACAACTATGAATAGGCTAGTCCCAAAGGAGTCTTCACAAACACAACTATGAATAGGCTAGTCCCAAAGGAGTCTTCACAAACACAACTATGAATAGGCTAGTCCCAAAGGAGTCTTCACAAACACAACTATGAATAGGCTAGTCCCAAAGGAGTCTTCACAAACACAACTATGAATAGGCTAGTCCCAAAGGAGTCTTCACAAACACAACTATGAATAGGCTAGTCCCAAAGGAGTCTTCACAAACACAACTATGAATAGGCTAGTCCCAAAGGAGTCTTCACAAACACAACTATGAATAGGCTAGTCCCAAAGGAGTCTTCACAAACACAACTATGAATAGGCTAGTCCCAAAGGAGTCTTCACAAACACAACTATGAATAGGCTAGTCCCAAAGGAGTCTTCACAAACACAACTATGAATAGGCTAGTCCCAAAGGAGTCTTCACAAACACAACTATGAATAGGCTAGTCCCAAAGGAGTCTTCACAAACACAACTATGAATAGGCTAGTCCCAAAGGAGTCTTCACAAACACAACTATGAATAGGCTAGTCCCAAAGGAGTCTTCACAAACACAACTATGAATAGGCTAGTCCCAAAGGAGTCTTCACAAACACAACTATGAATAGGCTAGTCCCAAAGGAGTCTTCACAAACACAACTATGAATAGGCTAGTCCCAAAGGAGTCTTCACAAACACAACTATGAATAGGCTAGTCCCAAAGGAGTCTTCACAAACACAACTATGAATAGGCTAGTCCCAAAGGAGTCTTCACAAACACAACTATGAATAGGCTAGTCCCAAAGGAGTCTTCACAAACACAACTATGAATAGGCTAGTCCCAAAGGAGTCTTCACAAACACAACTATGAATAGGCTAGTCCCAAAGGAGTCTTCACAAACACAACTATGAATAGGCTAGTCCCAAAGGAGTCTTCACAAACACAACTATGAATAGGCTAGTCCCAAAGGAGTCTTCACAAACACAACTATGAATAGGCTAGTCCCAAAGGAGTCTTCACAAACACAACTATGAATAGGCTAGTCCCAAAGGAGTCTTCACAAACACAACTATGAATAGGCTAGTCCCAAAGGAGTCTTCACAAACACAACTATGAATAGGCTAGTCCCAAAGGAGTCTTCACAAACACAACTATGAATAGGCTAGTCCCAAAGGAGTCTTCACAAACACAACTATGAATAGGCTAGTCCCAAAGGAGTCTTCACAAACACAACTATGAATAGGCTAGTCCCAAAGGAGTCTTCACAAACACAACTATGAATAGGCTAGTCCCAAAGGAGTCTTCACAAACACAACTATGAATAGGCTAGTCCCAAAGGAGTCTTCACAAACACAACTATGAATAGGCTAGTCCCAAAGGAGTCTTCACAAACACAACTATGAATAGGCTAGTCCCAAAGGAGTCTTCACTGAAACCACGTCTTACTTGTATAAAACTATCATCATATCCTTAGCTTGGCTTACCTTGTCCAAACCGGACGCAACCGCCATGAACGCAGCGGGGAACTGGTGACCCCTGGGAGTCAGAGACGAGGGCTGGTTGTTACACTGCAGCGTGTCCTCGTACTCGGACGGCGCCGCCACCATTGCATAGTCCTGTGAGGCAGCAAGAAGAAACGGTGAACGAAGTCCACAGTAATGCTCGGGCACCTCTGTCTACAAGCACAGGCACTAGATAATATGAACGTAACATGCAGGCTGTCAGGTCTGGTCGGACTGACTGTCAAGCTGAGAAGAGCTGGATGTGATCTTATCATGATCTGGTGACCCGGTCTACTTGCAGTGTTTGGAAACCAGCAACATAACAAGAAAGTGGCCAGATGTCAGACAAGGCACTGGTACCAGAACAGAAAAACTAAAATCTACTTGTAAATGGAATGCACAAAACTACTACATTGCAGTCTACAGCTGCCACCTACCTCGCGGCGAAGAGTCGAGATTTCGAAGGGATCGCCCATCAGATTTCCGGCTGTGGAGAGCGCAACGTCAGCACAAACAGAGATACATTGCATTGCTTTCATCACACGGTGATCCAATACCAAAAACAAAGGCTTGACAAGTACCCCCCCCCCCCCCCCCCCAGTCTCTGCGTTATAAGTCATTTCAATGAATACATTACTACCGGCATCGTATTCTGAGAAGATTCATCACACTGCATTGTTTGTTACTGCATGTATTTTAGAAGGCTTTCTGCAAGTTTCTTTTCAGAAGTGCACAAGACGTGAGCACAACGACCAGAAGAAGCGTACCATTCTGCATCGTCTGAGACACATGCTTGCCTGCTGCTGGTCCGTTGTCCAGGATAATCTGAACAGAACACGGGAAACACAGAGAACAGTCAAATGAGCATTAAGCTACATACACAAAGCACCCGGTTGAGGTTAGGTTTATCTTGAAGCAGAAGGAGAGTGCGCGTCCTGGGTAGAGCCAGTGTGTTCAAGTGTAACACTATGACATATGACTGTGAAGCTGTATGAGTAGTGTCTTCATTTTTCAAGTTGTTTTCACGCAATTCATTGTTCAGGTACTGTGATAGTACGCTGTGTCATCCTTGCCACTCCATGGAGGAATGCAGCACACACTAACATAAAAAAAACTTAACCCCTCCCCCAGGATGAGCGCTTACAGAGTAGCCCGCTCCCACAGCCTTGACAGCGTGGCCTGTCAGAGTGGCAATAGACATCAGGAAAGGATTAGTCTCCTTAAGAGCCTGGAAAACAACAACAACAACAACAACAACAACAACAACAACAACAACAGCAGCAGCAGCAGCAGCAGCAACAATAGCAACAACAGCAAAAGAAAGAAGGACAAGACATACCTCATCTGCAATGTTGGTGCAATTTTCTCTGGAGATATTTTGGCAAAGTGCACGCGGACCATTAGAAAAGTGCACAACCCCCCAAAACACTTCAAAGCTCAAACCCATCAGCATTTGTGTACATTTGTTTACATTCATTTCCACAGTCCCATGCGTTCATCTATACACACACATACACACACCTCAGGCCTGCCCATCACGGAAGCAATGATAGCGAACAGCTATGTTAGACATAGCAACTTGTGCTAGGATTACACACACACACACACACACACACACACACACACACACACACACACACACACACACACACACACACACACACACACACACACACACACACACACACACACACACACACACACACACACACACACACACACACACACACACACACACATGAACACACACACACACACACGAACACACACACACAGACACAGACACACACACACACCCACGAACACACACATTTCACCCAGGCAGAGGGTCTGCTGAAGCAGCACGGCGGTGTTCATCACTCACCCGCTCTTTCATCTGGGCCAGGGCATCCGTCATCGCCATTCGACCTTCGGCATCGGTGTTTCCGACACGCACCCGCACACCAGCGCGTGACGTGATGATCTCATCAGCCACGTAGGAATCTGTAGAGTACACACAGTGACAACATACAACACAACACACACATACACATACACACCCACATATACACACATACCTCAGACCTCAGACATGCCCATCGCGGAAGCGATGATAGCGAACAGCTATGTTAGACATAGCAACTTGTGCTGGGATTACACCATTCAACAGCTTGCAAGGCTGATGAATTGACCGCCACTATTTTTAGCCTGGTATCCACCACACAGCTGTTTGAAGTGACTTTTTCTGGCCAGTGAATCCCTATTTTTCATTTTTCCATTTTTTTCTACACACACACACCACACCACATACTCCGGCATACACTGGCTGTTGGTAACCACCCAGGAGAATGAAAGAAAAGTCAGGAAGAGTCCGAGAAAGAGAAGAAAGACGTGTGCGACCATAATCGTCGGGAATTGAACCTCTCGATTGGAAATCGACTGCACATACCACTACACCATATGGGACACACACACACACACACACACACACACACACACACACACACACACACACACACACACACACACACACACACACACACAAACACACACATACACACACACACACATACACACACACACACACATACACACACATACACACACACACACACACACATACACACACACACACATACACAAACACACACCATGTAATGATACAACACAAACAAGTAGATGATTGTACTGAGTACTACCGGCCTGCTCATGCATTCTAAAAACCACTGTAAACCCTGTACAGGTCGAATAAGCACAGGCCTACAGTCCATTTCAAAACTATAGACGCGTACCTGGGCAAAAACCGTTAATCTGTGATCACTTTGTGCATAATTTTTTCCAAATTGGGCGTCTGTTATCCAAATCGTTTAGAAACTATAATATGAGAGTAATTGTGGAGCGGACCTGAGTAATATTCCGAAAACTATTCTCAAAATGTTCCAGCCAAATTTGAAATATTTCAAAAACCCTACGCGTCTATAGTTTTGAAATGGACTGTAAGTAGTCCAGAAAAGACCTACTGGTACTTACATGACTGTATAACACAATCCAAGAATGAACATCTTCTGAAGAGCCCCTTCCCCAACGAATCAGTGTAGACGTGTCACAACGTGTACGACAATGAAGAAGAGTAAAGTCAGTGCTGTTGGAGGAGTGTCAAGCCAAGACTATGAACAATCTCCTCGGAAGTTCTGGTCAGCGATCAATGGCGTAACAAAACGTAAACCAGCTAAACCCAAAACCTCAGTCGAAGCAGAGACGCTGAATAGATATTTCCATTCAATCGTTCACGACCCCGATGCCTCCTACAACATACCGCTCGGGCCGGTCTCCTCCACCGATTTGGAGTCGTTCGCATCTGTCACCATTGCGGGAGTAACTTAGGACTTCTTCTACTAGACCTGAAGCCCCGCAAAGCGCCGGGTCCAGATAATATACTGCCCTGTCTTGTGAAGTCTGCCGCTTACATCCTTGCCCCATCACTAGCAATCCTGTTTAATACCTCCTTTTCTTCTGGTATACTCCCGTCCACGTTCAAAGAAGGGAACATTTGCCCAGTGTTAAAGTCCCAACGCAGTGACAGATCAGATCCGTCCCAGTACCGACCCATATCCCTTAGTAGTGTCATTGCCAAAGCCCTGGAGAAAGTCGTTCCTAGACAACTCCAGCAGCTATTTGACGACAAGTGCCCATACCATCAAGACCAGTATGGCTTCCGTCGCCATCACTCTACTGCCCAACTCGTCACCAAGGCTGTAAGCTAGTGGACTGCAAGCCGGGACACTGGACACACTACCATGATTGTGTTTTTAGACCTAAGTAAGGCATTCGATCGGGTGAACCACCAGTGCCTCCTCATTTCCCTGCAAAGCCAAGGGTATTGGAGGGACAGCACTAGCATGGTTCGCCTCATACCTGTGTGATCGTCGGCAGAAAGTCACCCTGCCACATGCTACATCCAGAGTCCTCCCAGTTTCGCGTGGAGTCCCGCAAGGTACTGTTCTGGGTCCTGTACTCTTTAATGTCTATATAAGCCACCTCCCTACCATACCAGATTCCTTCACCTGTTCCCTTCCCATGTTCGCAGATGATATGACCCTCTACCGAAGTGCCCCCTCACTCGAACTGTGTATTGCCTCCGTCATTCCCTGCCTGAATGCACTATGTGACGAGCTACAAAAGCTCCACATGAAGATTAATGTTAAAAAGTCAGGTGTTATGATCATTTCCCCCGGCCGAAACCCCACGACGCACCCACGTGTCATTAGCCTTCAAGGTGAGCCACTTAATTTTGTGACCGAAACTCGTCTCCTTGGTATCCAAGTTGACAACTGCCTGTCATGGACCAAGCATATTGATGTAATTGTTAGAAAAGTATCCCAGAAGGTGGGTGCCTTACGTCGCACCTTCCGGCAACTGAGCAAACTTGCACGCCGCCAGTACATCCTGTCTGTCGTTCTTCCTGACATTCTGTACTGCATCTGTTCCTTCCTCACACTGATTACTGCGAAGGATCACAATAGCCTAGTAAGCGTCTACGATAGAGCTATCCGAGCGGCTTGTGGGGCTTCGAGCCGGGACAGTATTTCTGGTCTTCTGAAGAACCTTGATGTTAAGCCACTGGACTACTATTTTCTGGTGTCAACTGGGAAGTTCATTTTCATTAATCATATTCTTCGCCCTTTGCCTGTATTTGCATCGTTATTCCCAGCCCCGCAATCTACCCGGAGCACGCGTAGTCGCGACACACATGATATCCCTTCCTTAAAATGCAGAACAACACTCGGTCAAAAATCCTTTGTGCTTCGTGCTGCTCTGTTTTTTAATGCTCTACCTAATGACTTGAAATCTTCTTTGTTTACCTCTCAGTTTGATCGTGGTTTTAAGCGCTTATTGGATGATCCAGTTTGTTTTGAATGATATCGTGCAATTTTGTTTGACAACATTGGCAACGTTTAGCCTCTCACGGGCTATATATTGCCCAGGTTCAGCATGCGTTCTCTTCTTTTCTCTTTATGTTCACCACTCATCCCCCAATTTTTTTCTAAACATTTACATGTATATACATTGTATTTTTTTGGTCCCATCGGCCTCTTCATATTTGTGCAGCTGCACTGTTGAGCTTCCGATGTAAAACAAATAATAATAATAATAAGACACGAGCAAACTCACCAGCTCCAACGCTGTTACGCACACACGCCATGGCACCAACGACCTTCACGCGCCGTGGGCGCAGGGCAGCCAGGATCTGAAAGAAGCCGGCAACAGCAGCCGCACCGCACTTGTCACTGCCCAAGGAGAAGCACAGAACACACACACCATGGAATGAGCGTTCTAGGAATGCTGAACTGATTGATAGTAGAGAATCACAAGAGAGATTGGAAGCTGTGTCGCAACTGTGAGTTTCACGTATTACTACGATCATCAGGCAGTATCATCATCCGTAGAGAATCAGTGTTGTCTGATGATTGCGCAAGCATGAAACTCAGAGTAGCAGCAAGCTAGCCTTGCCCTTTGTAGTTCTGTGTGAGAATCAGTTTTAAATACATACCGTATTTCCGGCAATACTGGTCGAGGCGCTTAGTAGTTTGCGAGCCCTAATTTTAACCCAATTTGAAAAAAATATCCACACAAAAGGGCTGACCTGACGTGACGCTTATTTGAGACAGGCGGTCATAAAAGACAGGCTCCAATTCCAGAAATATGGTTCTCGTTTCAGCTCTACAAGCCATAACTATCTTTCCAAACATTTAAAAACGGCGGCAGTATGACCATGGGATGATGACATAAGTCAGTCATAACTGCAGCTGCGTACGCTCTGAACGTGTTTTGCAGACCATTACCAGCAATTATATGACATCCCACAGAGTCCGAAATTCCGTAAAATATTTGCGCATTTACTGCAGAGAGTGATCTTGGAAGGAAGAAAATTGCTCTGAACTATGGCCATGATCGAAATGTAAGGCATCAAACCAGTGAACCACGCCAACAAGACAAACAGTTACACAACGAAAAAAACGAAAGTGAAAAACATTGAACAACCGATGCGATCTCAACTCCTAAGAATCATGATTTTCTTCTCCACTGAAAAGTATCTGTTACCTTGGTGATCTTGAGGAAATAGCAAGAATTGACCTTCTTCATGGTCATTTCTGAAGCTTCCTCCAAATATTGTCAGCCAACAAACCACAGCATTGTCACCTGGCTAGTCTGATCTCTGTCCTCAAGAAGGACCAGTTCCAAAAGATTGCAGGTCCAGTGCGCTTTCTAGCTTCAAAGATCTGGGAAATCGCCTCATTCTGCACATTTCAAGCAGTTTCTCAATTGTTTCTGGCTTGACATTGAACAGCAAGAAGATGAAAAGCACTTCTTTCTCAGTTTTTTCGAGTAAACTACCTCTCCAACCGCGTGGCTTTCTCTGAAGGCCATTTTGGAGGGGCTTTCCCATGGCCATGTGCTGGATGCATGCCATGTCGATGTACTGACATGACATGATGCATGCTGTCAAGACTACTCAGTGACTAGTACAGTCAGTACTCTGTACGACTCGTACGAGTCGTAACCTAGAGTGACTGAGTCAGGGAGTCGAATTTTATGACTGCCTGTTGACAAATAGCAACTTGTTTGGTGTAAATTTCGTTTAGAGTGGCTGACAGCTTTGCCAGCTTGATACTTGGTTTCATTCTGCAGCTCACTGGTTTGAGAATACAGTGTTTTTTTGCGGCTTCTTCAACGGATATTGTGCACCATCATCAAGGTGGTTACCTATTTGTGATGCAGCTTCAACTAAAAGTACAACAACAAAAGCAACAGCCTACATTCAACAGCCACAGCCCATGACAACCAGAACAACAACAACAACAACAACAATAACACCAATTCTCGTTCCTCATATACTGGCACACACAGAGACATAGACAGCAATAGTGGCAACACACAAATTAAAGGGTAGTTGGCCGCAGCCAGATGTGACACTTGCGCAGCTAGTGGGGAAGCACTAGCCATCGGTATTCGGTATGAAAAGATAGAATCTTGCGGCCTACGTATATTGAATGCCTTGAAAAACGCGTCAACATGTTGAAGGTATGACCAGCATCAGCCAAGGACTGATGGTCAAAGCAAATACCAAAATACACTGCTATAATATTAAAACACACGATCCTTGAAGGGTGGTGGCGTTCCTACGGATGCGGAAAACTCGGCAAACCTATTAAAATGCACGGTTGCAGGCAGCGGTGTACAAGAATAAAAAGAAACGGAAAGAAATAACAAGGGTGCTTCAACGTTGACTGGGTTCGATCACTGAACACTAGACAAGAATGTTTGCAAAACAAAGGTAGAAGAACTGGTCAGCCTCAAATGCTACCTCAAGGACACACAGCGTATCCAAAAAGTAAAGAAAAAATGGAAAATGGTGAGCTGAAGGCGACTGTCGCCGACATCACTGACCAGTGCAAATGGTATGGGCAGACAAAAACCAATAGGAGAAGACCTACACAGTACTGAAGGAGATGTCAAGCATGAATGCCAAACCTACAAGTGAACCTGAAGGAGAGGAGGATGTGGGTGATGCCATCTTGGCTACCCTGGCCAAAGATTTCTCTGAGCTACGGCAGCACATACCTGCACAGGAAAACCAGCAGAAGCATAACGGAGAGCCTCATCATATCGTTGGGAAACGGCAACAGCAGCGTAACATGAAGAAATAGAAAATGTGTGCTGAAGCTGCATTCTGGTTTACAAGAATGTTTGGGTCTCACTGCTAAATTACCTCGTACGCATGGCCTGTTTGCTTTAGCCTTTTCTCTGCTCTTTCCGGTTGCACAGATGTTTAGCTTGTACAAGTGCTTTCACTTACTCCCACCCACTCTCACCTCTCTTTCCGGGTATATACGGATATCATTGCTTTTTCTTCTATCTTTCACACTAGTAATGTACTGCGTCCGGACTTCGCTAAAGCTTAGATAAATGTTGATACCTAAATCTATAACTTGCACTGCTTCCAGGAATACAATGCTGGTGATGCTATGCTTTACCTCCATTAGCCGTCTGTGCCATTGTGCAGATTTGTATTCAGACAAATTAGTTTCATGCTACAATGCTTTCGTTGTGCTCTGCGGTAAGCTCATGGTTAATCAATGCCCTTTTCTGTGGAAGAGACAAACTGCCGGGCAGCACGATCCCCTCCTGTCATAGATCCAGAGGAGTCCTGCAGGAACGTACATAGACTACGGCGAATCATAGGCTTGATGGTAACCAGGTAGTGAGCCCGTGGACCTTGTCCATGTACGTTCATGCAAGCATCCCAACCTGGAGGAAAGAACTTCACAGGGAAATTCTTCGGTCCCAATTCCCTTTGTCCAGTTTCTGATTCGAAAGTCAGAAATAGACTATTTCATTTCAAGGAGGAAAACTTCCTTCTGCCAGCGGAGAGGGCTCGACACAATAATGTGGAGCACTATTACACATAAAACTCCATTGTGCCTTTTGTGACTATTTCACTTCTATTTTTCACTGCACAGCAGTGCAAGCTCCATCAGCAGCCTCAACTGTGACATTCGTCATCTGAGAAAGGGCCCAACATTCCCCGAACCATCAAAATATCTACAGCAAACAAAAGGGAGATTTTCAAATTCATGCAAGAATACATTCAATATATTCACCCAAAATGAAATGAAATCACCTGATAGATCGTCACTGATATCTGATATCTTCATACTCCCAAGTTCAGAGAGGATAAAGTCTCTCCATTTCACAAGGTACTGCACGCTGCCACCCTAAAGCAACAAAATTCACAGTGCAACAAACAGCTCAATTGTGTCGACCTCGCGACCTGATTTATTACAATAAAATAAACGTACCTTCTTTCCCACTGTCGATCCGGTAAGAAGCAGCGAAAACTTCAGGCCCCTAAGACTGCTTGAATTTTCTCCACAGCGGACTGCTGCTGAAAACATCAGCTTGGCGTAAAAACCAGGCTCATTCTGTCTATGAGATACCTAGCGTAAATGAGAGCCTTCTCGTCGCCAGCCACAACAATAACAACAACAAAAATCACCTCCACCGAAAAAGACAATCGTCATGCAGATCAGAGAGCTTGTTGTGTACAGCGTGAGTTCAAAAAAATCCTTTTTCATTGAGATCACAAAAAAAACTTCACACTCGATCGCGCGAGCTCAGCACCAGCAGTGACGTTGGGGTGGAAATATTTTATTTGAAAAACTTTTGTCAGGCGCGATGTCGCTGATTGCTGGTGATGCTTACCGATGCATACCGGCCATTACACCACCGGCCTTGATGTCAGCACCACCGGTATCATACGTTACACCCTGGGCAGGCGTAGTCAGAATGCACACAAGGAAGCAACACAGCACTGCAGTGAGTGACTCTCAGTGAAAACGACTTCGAGATATGAGCAATGTGGGCACTATCAGCATACAACAACTAGCTACACAGCGCACAGAGTGCAGGATACAGTGAGAAAGAAGCCACTACACTCAGACGCTATTCTTAGATTCAATGGAAGATTCCTGTCGTGCGGGCCAGCCAGCTATCTTCCATTGCATTGCATGAATCCCTTGGCTGGACCTGTGCTGGTGTGTTATCGTTTGGATATCAAGCATTTGCCGAATACTAGTCTACGCACTGTCTTACCATAGTTGTCTGGGATGACACATGGTTCAGAAAATCAATTTAGTTACCTTTCCAACCAGAAGCAACGTGAGGTCAGTTGGACCTTCTCCGAGGTACTCCAGCTCAATAATCCGGCCTTGATGACGTTTGATATCTAGCAATGGCAGGGCACCATGCAAAGAAACAGTGGCCTATTCCAAACACCAATCTTTGACAAGAATAAACGATGCATCTCCCACAGCCGCAGTGAAGGGCAAGTGCCTAGATTGGAACCACCGGATCTGATGGAGAATTCTGGCTGTAAGCCCATGATAACAATTCTTGTCCAGCTAATTTCAAAATCACGGACACACAGTGCTAGTTGGATGAATAACACACAACTATCAGTTCTCTACAAACCACACAGAAAAAGTGTAGTGGTAAAAATTAGTAAAAAATGTGCTTAGTATAGAGAATATGAACAAAGGAAATGGTTGTCATGGACACGGGGATCTCTCTGCACAGGTTATTGTTGAAGCTGGTTCACTGCCTGTGGTGATACAGTTCCTAAAGACAGGGTCTCTAAGTTGAGTGCTACTAACGTGTGAGCGTGCTGAATGACTGGGTAGTGCCTGGGAAGGTTATCAGTACTAGTGTTGTCTGACTTACGACTGGCACAGCGATTGACAGCGGCAAAGAGCGGGTAGTGCTTTTCAAACTCAGCTGGGTCGGAGATGACGTTGACCTGCGGCATAAAACGGAGCAGAACCAACACAGTTATGGGGAGAAGAGCACAAACGTCCAGGTCCTCGAAGGTACAGGGTAACCTGGACAACAGGGCAAAGTGCTCAATGCCACTTGTGTAAATTAGCACAATTTCCAGCAGGTCTTGTCAAGTTTTTGTTTTTACTTGTCCGACACCTGGATAGCTGTGTTCGGCATGGTCATATGCAGAACTCTTCAGTACATGTGTACTTGCTGGTGTACTGAACCACTGGTACAGACTTGCATGCTATAACTGGATGTTGTGCTTTCAAGGGATATGCAGTGCACATCCAGAGCCAATCACCAAAATGAAAAAAGGCAGACACCTGAAAAGCCTCAAGCACAGCAGGGTTCTGCAGGGTGCAATTCCCACCGAGGGCATGAGTCACCTATCGGCATGTGACCCGCAAGCTTACATGGACGGGCGTTCCGTGAAAGTTCTGCTCCACGTAGTCTGCCACCAGCGGAGCGGCCATTCTCTCCGGATCAGATCCACCGATATCGCGAGCAATCAGCCTAGATTGGACAAAGAAGCATGAGTGTGAGTGCAAGGCCTTCGAGTCTCCACAGCCTCAGACAGCAGACTATTGGTATAGCTTTGAAGAAAACTATCCAAGGTTATCCACTTTACTGCACCTGTAAGACATGAGCTAGTATCGATCCCAAAGTGCAATGGTTGTAATTCTCAATCTATGGAACGGTAGAATAACTTAGCCACCAAACTGAACAGCAAAGCAACAGCAGGTACTTGCTCAGTACAACGCAGTGCTGGATTCGAAACAATGATGATCCTCGATTCAATCTGAAAAATAACGAGCTGCTTTGCCCACACTTGATGATCCAGCACATTTATATTATTACATACATAGGACAGCATTAATACCTGCCACTCTCCAAGCCAGAAACAAGATTCACCACCTTGATGCCAGCCTGTCGTGTAGAAAAACATACAGGACAAGACAAACAGAATGAGATTTCAGTTGCAATGACACAGATTGTAATACGAGAGTGATGCAACACAGCAATTTGCAGTCCAGGAGAATCTGATGGCATATTCGTTAGCCTGCTTACACAAACACCGTAAAGCGAGCGTCTACTCCACACTTAGTTCAAGCATACCCGCATAGGTGCATCTACTCCACACTTAGTTCAAGCATACCCGCATAGGTGTATCCACTCCACACTTAGTTCAAGCATAGCCGCATAGGTGTATCTACTCCACACTTAGTTCAAGCATACCCGCATAGGTGTATCTACTCCACACTTAGTTCAAGCATACCCGCATAGGTGTATCCACTCCACACTTAGTTCAAGCATACCCGCATAGGTGTATCCACTCCACACTTAGTTCAAGCATACCCGCATAGGTGTATCCACTCCACACTTAGTTCAAGCATACCCGCATAGGTGTATCCACTCCACACTTAGTTCAAGCATACCCGCATAGGTGCATCTACTCCACACTTAGTTCAAGCATACCCGCATAGGTGCATCTACTCCACACTTAGTTCAAGCATACCCGCATAGGTGCATCTACTCCACACTTAGTTCAAGCATACCCGCATAGGTGTATCCACTCCACACTTAGTTCAAGCATACCCGCATAGGTGTATCCACTCCACACTTAGTTCAAGCATACCCGCATAGGTGCATCTACTCCACACTTAGTTCAAGCATACCCGCATAGGTGTATCCACTCCACACTTAGTTCAAGCATACCCGCATAGGTGTATCCACTCCACACTTAGTTCAAGCATACCCGCATAGGTGCGCAAGCAAACCCTGTGACAACTCAATGCATCTAGCACTTACACTTTCGTCCTCGGAGTAGATTCCGAGACGGGATACTTTCTTTGCTCTCTTGGGCATTGCCTCACATACTTCCAATGGCTGCAACAACACAGACATGCGGTTCAAAAAATTGCGTTCAAATACGGATTCCTCTACTTCGAATACATGTAGTAAGTAAGAAGTACATGTAAGGACATATGTAAATGTTCATGACATCATGAGAGGACATGAATGCTTCTGGTGCCTGCTCAATAGTCAAAAAGAAAATTGCTTTAGAACCAATGCTGGCACCTGAGGTTCAAATGGCCGCACAACTACACAGTAGAGCCTTGCGGCCATAGAACAAGCGGACACGTTAGGCCGTACTTACCACATACAATGCCTGTAGTGCACCAAGGACGGACACGACAAACGCCTGGGCGAATGGGTAGCCAATGGGAACAACTAGCAGTGGTGCACGGAATCCAGCCAGCAGAGCTCTGCGCAGAAGTGAAGTGGCAACGAAAGCATTGGCAAAGACAATGCCCCCCCCCCAAAATGGTGGAAATCAGGAGGGAAATTAAAAACAAGGTGCCTATCACTTAAGATGACATGCCCGAAAAAAAACATCAAAGATGAAATAGACTAGCAATGCTTCCAAATGAATCAAACAACACTAGGATTCTTGTGCAGCGAGAGCATCCAAAAACTTACGGTTGGATCCCTCAATCAGTACAGACTAGGGTGAACTAAAAAACGGTTTCCAGTACTCCTCGGTACGAACACCCCAGGGACCAGACTCACATGTCTTGTGGATCTCTCAATCGGTATGTACACCCCAGGGACCAGACACACATGTCCTGTGGATGTCTCAAACAGTATGTACACCCCAGGACTAGGTGTCCGTGTACTGTGGACAAAAGTGTCCTGATTACAGGATTCCCCTCTCACATTAGATAGATTCTGATTACAGGAATTACAACAGTTCAATGGACGGCGTTAAAGACTAAAGACAGGTGACCTGGTCGTGGAGATGCCTACTGTTGAGAGGTTCTATAATTGTACTGTGCACAAAAGTAGTAGCGCCAACAACACAGTCATACCTTGTATCAAGAGTACATAACCCCCCCCCCCCCCCCCCCCCAGGGTGTGCAACGCCGATCCAGCTCTGCATAGGGTTTTGGTCGAGCGGAATCGGATCTTCTGATGTCATGCGTACACTCCACACCAGCGCAAGGCCGGTCTCGAGGCAGGGCACCATTGTTTTTGATTCAAGAGTACCCGCGACTCCCCGGGTTCCCCTCAGATGTGTACGGTATTATGACGCAAAGATCCGATTACGCTCGACCAAGACCCTATGCAGAGCTGGATCAGGCGTTGCACACTCTGGGGGGGGGGGGGGTTATGTACTCTTGCTTGTATCCACTCCTGCGCATCGTAGCTTACCATGCATACTGGTATCTTGAAGTACAGTGTACTAAAGTTCCATGCAAAGCACGCAACTTACCGCTTGATTCCAGCGACCGCAGCATCTGAGTAGCGGCGTACATCATCGTAATCCCGATCCACTGGCCCGGTGGGAGAGTAAACCTTCAAGTCAGTACATACATATATGTACATACATGAGTCTACAAAGGACAAAACAGCTCTGTCCGCAGATTGAGTACATACATGCGCACAATGAAACAATGTCCGCTATTAAACCAATATGATTGATTGTATTGAATAGCCTAACGACCACCAACCCCCAGTTCCCAACCTATAGGTGAATTTGAAGAAAAAAACTGGCACCCATCTATAGGCTTGCCATGCTGCAGCAAGGGGGTGAGGGCAAGGTAGGTGAATGGTGGCATCATTGCGTCTGTTCCTGGATCCAACTGTATTTACTCCCGTCCCCAATGAAGGGGAAATTCTTGGTACGCTGTAGTGTAGGCTGCTAAATCACAGTGGATCTGACACACACATACACGCATACATGCACAGGGGTTGCATCCAAGAAAGAATACATACCATTCGACGGCAGTGCACATTTGGAACGGCAATAACGACGGGCTCCTTGCCGACGGCATGATCAATCTGAATACACAAAATACAAAACATATAAAACAGAGAGGTTCCAGGCTGTCGAAGAGAGTGCTCAATACCGAGAGGTAGAGCTAGTTCAAACAATAAGAGGACGGAAAAAGTGTTTTAACGCTGAGTTTCACACACTAAGCGATCATCAGAACTAGAAAACAGTAAAATAGTTAACATGGAATACATTCAATTTGCGGACAGAGCTGTTCCGTCCTTTGTGGACTCATCAGTGCAGCACAGAGAAAATAACATGGAATACAATCATGTACATGTACACGACAACGGTTAATCTCGGGAGCATCAGATTTAACCACACCATACTGGAAATCAATTTCATTCTCCTGATACTGGAAATATCTGTCAAAACTTCAAAACAACCACTACAATAATAAGAGGTCCGTCAGTTTTCAGGTACCGGTCATATTAAGAGTACACTATAATAATTTTATTATGGTTTATGTACTCTTGGTCATATCATGTGGTCAAATGTTGTACGCCGACGAGCAAGAGCACGTTTGCAGCTTCTGGCTGTTCAAATACATTCGGTAAGGCCTTACCTCCCTGGCCTCGGCGATCGGCTCCCGCAGGCATGCCAGGGCGGGCGACTCGGCGAGAGTGTCCAGTGAATGGGTCACCAGCACGATGCCGTCGTAGTCCGTGGAGTTTAGGTCGCTGACGGATGCCAGCACGGTCGGCAGGGCTTGGCTGTGTCAGATGAAAACGTGTGGGAGCACACATACAAGCATGCATGTGTTGAGTACAAAGAGGAGGTACCTAACACATGCATAACTACATACATGTATCTATAGTAAGACCTGTGTGTGCCGGACTCTGTACCAAGCGGAATCATGTATTGACCGGACAAATTTTCATGCACCAGATAGAGCGTTCATCCCTGGATCAAACGGAAGACTGTCATATCAGGACAGTTTCCGCTGCACCAAGGGTGTTAGGGCAGGTTTTACTCTACATATCCAATCTCCGTACAGCTAGCTGTTCGACCTTTTTAGGTCTCATCAGCGGAGCTCGGGGTGACTGGCCAAACCGAATGTATGCACAGTACATACCGGTATATTGCATTCGTAAGTGCACGACGTTGATAATGGAATGCCCATGCAGTGTATGTCAACGCCCACATTTGCCGCAATCGAAGAAATGCACGCCCCGCCCAAGAGCATTGTGCAATGACATGTACAGCTTGCTAGTATTCACAGGGCGATGATCGCACTTTATTCTATTAAACCAAGGCATGAATGCAAACGTATAGCCCGTAGCCTTTGAAACAACCTTGTATACAGGTTTTTCCAATGCCCCAGCACAACTCATGAAGGTGAGAAGCAACTTATATACCATGGTCAAGATGAAATATCACTCACCTAGCCTGAGCCATTTCTGATGAGTTGGAAAAGGCTCTGACGAGATGTTCACTAGAAATAGGGACCTTTGGCCTTTCTTTCGAGCCACAAGGTAGACAATTGTGTGTTGAGAAAGTAGGGATTCTGGAAACTCGGATGAGCGACGATACCAGACGGATAGAGCGACAGAGTGGCACCACACCACGACTAGACCCTAACAAAGCCAGCTTTCTCTGCAGTGATCACCGATTCTCTCTATGAGAAGCGGTGTTTACAAAACAAACCAGCGGGTGGATTATACCACATGCCAAGTCAATGACAATGTGCTCTTGAGTGACAAGCACTTGAAGCAGTGACAAGTCATTTTTGAAATTCTTTTGATTCATTTTTCTCAGCTCTCCATGTACATGATGTACGTCTCGGTTCTGTTTGAGATCATGCATGCAGCCGCCATGGCGCTTCGGGACCACGTGCCGTTTCCCCAAGGCAACTGGATCATGCCATGGCCTTGCAGTTTTCATGGTTTTCCTGGTGATCAAATATTTCGTTTTTTGAAAGATTGAGTTGGTGCCAGTGCAGTGGTTTTCCATTTGTGTCTTGCATCTTTCATCATGGCGGAACCTGCATCCAAAGTTCGTCCCTGCAATGGCCTCCGACTTCTCCAGTTTGAGAAGGACGGTGTATGCCGAGTAGGTGTGGAGGCAGCTCCCAATGGCGACATTGTGGACGTTACGAGGATTGATTCCTCAATTCCCACTGACATGGTTGCTTTCTTGGAGGCAGGAGAAGCTGCTTTGGATGCTGCCGCGGCGTAAGTTCAAAACTAAACAAAAATTCGTAGTGAAATACGGATCGCCAGCACTAGCACAACTGCTGTATTACACTTTTCGTAGCCGTGTCATTTGACATTTGCGTGACACAGCTAGGGACCACTACTCTTGATGGTACATGTACATGCACTGCAGTCTCATGCAACTTTCTTCTATCGAAATAGGTTACCGGTGATGGAGAAGGTAATGTACAGTGCGTATCGGTTATAGTGTGGTCGTGTAAAAGAATATACTGCCTACAAGAATGAACTCTCATGTTTTCATAATCATAACATGGGTTTCATGTGTATATTTATTCTTACAAGCAATGTTATCGTGTAATAGAATATATCGGTCCTAAGAATGGACTTTATGTAGCAAAACATGCCAGATTAGTACAAAGTGTATCGCCTGTAGTAATAGCATCTGCCCGATACAGTTCTGAACCGACTCGAATTGCATCATAATGCTGCAAGTGTATCTGTTGTGGTCATGTAACTCATGTTGCTCAGCCACATGGTGAACCTATGGTCCAGTATGGGACTACTTTGGAAGTACGAGCAACCGCATACACAGCAGCACTACGTTACATGTATGATGATCTTCCTGGCTATGCGCACATACATGATACGTCACACTCTATTTATCGTGTGTAAGAAATATCGGAAATAAGAATAGAAAGTCGTTTTTCAAACACCCACGCTATAACCGATACCTACTGTACATGTAGTTGGTACATGTGTCATGCCAGACATGTACAATACCGATCCCATGGCAACGGCGTATGCGTTTGTCATGCCGCGAAAACCGAATCAGGCTATCAACTTAGTAGTATCAAGCAATACAGTAGACCCAAGTATGTATTCAGCCCCACACGCTCACCTTGACGATAGTTGAATGAGGAAAGTAGATTGTGCTTGCTCAACGAGAGATATCAGTCCGTTTACTGTAGGCGATCACCCAGGACAGCATTTAGTGAGCGCGTGTATGGATTTGGTAGGGAGTCAGAAAAGATTTTGAGCTGGTGCTTTGCCTTTTGCTCTCCAGTGCAGTGTTATGTTACTCGTGTGATTGTGAACACGAGCATAACGAGTGACAGAGAAAGACAGATCTATTGTATGCCTGGCCGACTTGTCACGTATCCATCCGGTTACTAGTAGACAAACACACAGCCAGCAGTGAGTAGGGTAGTAGCACTATGTCTCTGATTATCATTTGGAAAGCAATTACGAATGGTGGCTTGTAGTATTCACCTGTGTCCGGCTGCCGATTAGTTACCTGCGGTCGCAATGCGTTCCTCTGTTTTGGCACATTATTCAATTACAATTTTGTATAACGTGCGACTTGGGTCATGCTGCAAATGGAAATGCATACACATGCATGTGCGTGTACTCACCATTTTTTTTTCCTGCTCTGCCATTGTGTTACATGTATTCCTCTGCAGTGCTGTAGCCACTGGCGAGGGTGTTCTCGGTAGGGACAGTGTCAAGATCCGTGCCCCGTTGTTCCGGCCCGAGAAGGTCATCTGCGTCGGCATGAACTACGTCGATCACTGCACCGAGCAGAACATGCCCGTTCCCGTGGAGCCCGTCATTTTCAGCAAGTTTGCCAGCGCCATCGTCGACCCCAATGCCGATGTAGAGCTTCCACCGGAAACAGAGGTACTTGTGTATACAGTGGAACCTGTCAAGGTGGCCACTCTGATAAAGTGATCACCTGTCCTGGGGGGGCACTGCAGCCAGGAGCAAGAGTAGATAACCATCCAGAGTCGAGAGTGCAACTCCAACAGAATTTTGATTATCGGTATTGATGGTGGTACATGTCCGTACCACACTGTACACGTACTTGAAGTGCTAGATTTGAGCACTCATCAAGGCCGTTGCTTGTTGGCTGTTTGGTCTCTGCAGGAGTTGGACTTTGAAGTGGAGCTTGCGTTTGTGATTGGTCGTGGTGGAAGGCGCATCCAGGTAAGGCGTGGTTCTCTTGCATGCTATGTACACAAGAGAGCATGGATCCAGATTATAATGAACTGTTGGCATTATTAAGAAGATGTTTTGCTTGCAACGTTCGAGCTAGCATTTCCCCCCGCCAATTTCACACCTGACTGACTCATGACTGCCACCCGCATGAGAGCACATGAGAAGCCCATCGAGTCTGTGACGCGGCAAACTCGCAAGAAAGCACCGCTCTCTGCTCAACACACAAGTGTTCCGGGGAATTCACCTCTCTTCCGTTGAGTAACTCGTACTGTTGGCATTCGGATTGGGAGTGTTGTAAGAGAACCGTCTGCTTTGTAAAGGTTATTAACCTGGCACAACAGGAAATATATGAAAAAGGCTGTTTGCATCTGAGCGTGGTCATCGACTTTAATAGAACCATGCATTGTGTAGGTGCGCAAACCTTGCTTTTTATGCCCTGTAATCTCTTACGAACTTAGAAGTTGCGACTTCGTGAGTCAGTCAAGTGTCAAGTTCGGCAAGAAGCGTGTGTTCCTCGTTGGAACAACCAACTTCATGATCTGTATTCTCTTGACGCAAGTTTTATTCTGTTGCATGTATGCAGGAGGAAGACGCCATGTCTCACGTCGCCGGCTTCACAGTGGCGCACGACGTCAGCGCTCGCGACTGGCAGCTGCGTAAGAACGGTGGCCAGTGGTTGATTGGCAAGACGTTCGACACGTTCTGTCCCATCGGCCCCTCCATCGTACCGCCATCGGCCCTGTCGGGTGAGTTGAGCGTGATGATGCGAAGGATCATCTTGTTGGATTGATTCTGCAATGTCATGTGACTTTGAAGCTGCTCCCAGACCCAGCTACGAAACTGGCATATGCAGTCTAACTGGTTTCTTCTATTTTGGAGTTGATGACGGTTTTTATCGTTAATTAAATCATCGATTTTGAAGCAAACTTAAGTCATTTCAATTTTGTACTTCAAGTACTTCGAAGTATTTGAATTTGACCTTTCTCTTTGGTATAAACTATAAAGGCATTTTTCTGGCCAGTTGAAGCAGAGCCACACATCCATGTGTTGGAGAATTCTGTTTGTGAAGTACAATTATTCCGAGATCTCTTGAAGGCTGTTGGAGAGAAAAATGAGGTCTGTGTCATCGTTGCTGTATTTGATAAGCAGTCCAGCTGTTTGTATTGTGCTGTCATCCCTATCTAGATGTGCACAACCTCGGTATCCGCTGCCGCCTAAATGGTGAGACCGTGCAGGATAGTAACACAAATCAGCTCGTACACAAGACACAAGCCTGCATCAGCTTCATTTCAAAGTGAGTTTTTCGAAACTGGCACGGGGTTCACCTGAATAGAACCTCTTGTAGTGCAGAGTCGGGAAAGAGGCAAAATTCATTCTTGGCTGATATCGAACATTCGAGTCCTTTGAGGCCAGTGGTTCTGTTGATCGACGTGTTTGAATGAGTGAGGTTCGGATAGCCAACACCCAAATGCATCTCAGTGTTGTTAGAGCATACAGTAAAACCTGTCAAGGCGACCACTGCAGCCAGGACCAAGGGATGCTTTTCCAGTCAAATGACCCTGGATAAGGAGACCACCTGCTTACAAAGACCGCACTTTGAAGGTCCCTTGAGCGGTCGTCTTAGACAGGTTTCACTATAGTTCTAATGCATGCGCTGTACTTTTCATAGTGTTCTTACATGGTTCAGTACAGTACAGCTCTCTGTAGAGGCCTTGTTGTGGAGTAGTATGTCCAGGGCTTTCTAAGCAAGGATTGTGACACGTGTGTGTGTGCGTGTGTGTGTGTGTGTGTGTGTGTGTGTGTGTGTGTGTGTGTGTGTGCATACGTGTGTGTGTGTGTGTGTGTGTGTGTGTGCATACGTGTGTGTGGATGTACATGGATGTGTTGGGCTGTCGATGACTTGTAGATTCATCACGCTCAAGCCTGGTGACCTAATCCTGACAGGAACTCCACCAGGAGTGGGTTGTTTCAGGAAGCCACCACTCTGGCTCAAGGCAAGTCCTCTTACGTAGTCATATCGGAGCTGCAATCTTTCATCGTATTTTTTTAGAGAGTGTGGAAGTGCGCTTCAAAACTTGTATGAGATCTTTTCTCCCTTGTGTCACTGCATTGTCCGGAAGTTTATCAGGCCACAAACTTGTGTAGCATTTAGTAACAGCAGGAGTACATAAACCAGAGTGTGCAACTGTGCATATCAGATCTGAAACAGCGCAGTTCGTGCACTACGTCACCCTGATGAGGTCAGCCAAGCCGCGACTTGCGTACAGCTCAAATTTTCATGTTTCATAGCCCGGAAATCAGCCGAGTTTGCTTGATTTTAGACGTCCAGTTTCAGGATTTTGGTGTTTTGTGTGACTGTGTACATCCACCGACAAGTAAAGTCACCAGGCTATCCGTATAAAAAAAAACGAAATCAGGACAAACTCAGTGACCTGCACCACCGCGACTGGTTACGCAACTTTTCACCGTACCTGTGGCTTACCATGCCGTCAGAAATGACGTACTGCACGAATTACGCTCCCACAGGAACCATCCCGAGTTGCACACTCTGGTTTACCGGTATGTACTCTTGGTAATAGCAAGAGTACATAACCCCCCAGAGTGTGCAACGCCTGATCCAGCTCTGCATAGGGTCTTGGTCGAGCGGAATCGGATCTTTGCGTCATAATACCGTACACATCTGAGGGGAACCCGGGGAGTCGCGGGTACTCTTGGATCAAAAACAATGGTGCCCTGCCTCGAGACCGGCCTTGCGCTGGTGTGAAGTGTACGCATGACATCAGAAGATCCGATTCCGCTCGACCAAGACCCTACACAGAGCTGGATCGGCGTTGCACACTCTGGGGGGTTATGTACTCTTGGTAATAGTGGTAAAACTTGTTCAAAATATTCTTATTCATTGATGTGTAGGGTTCTATGGTGTAATGGTTAGCACTCTGGACTCTGAATCCAGCGATCCGAGTTCAAATCTCGGTAGAACCTGATTTTTTTGTTTTTCTTGGTCCTCACTTGATTTTTAGTTTTTACTCCTTTTGATAGGCCTCAGTCACACTACGGCAAGTTTGAAGCTGGACACAGCGTCAAGCCCCAGCACTTGACGCTGACGTTTGCTGTTTTTCATGTTTCATTTCACATCCTTGACACCCTGTGGGGCAGGATTTTCAAGTGGGGGAAATATGGCGGTATTTTACAGCACTGGTAAAGACCCTGATCGTGCTGAGCCAAACACAGATTTCCACAACTGTCATGGACAATTTGGATTGAAATTCCTTGATCAGAAGTCATGTGTACTGGGCCATCATATCTTCTTGACATGCTTGTATTTTGATGAACCGATTGGATATCACGCGATGGAATTGTTTGTTATTGTTTCTGCTCACGCTTGCAGAAAGGAGATGTCGTAGAATGCGAAATTGACGAGATCGGCTGCATCCGCAATCTTATTGTGTAGACACATCCTTCACCCAGTGCAAGGAACTGTTCTGTGCTGGCAAGGCAGAGGAAGTATTGAAGCAAGAGCAGAGGTCCGACCAGGCTGTGCGTCGGTGTTTGCGCCGGTCAGTCCGGCTCACAGAACACACCAGAGTCTTACTTCACAAGGAGAAGTTTCCGCATGGAAATGGTTCTACCTAATATCTTCTTGACTGGTTCATTGTGTTCGTCGCTCCGAACTTCGTAGCCTTGCCATACTTGTCTTTGTTAATTTCTACTTTTCCTTGTTTTGTAAAATTCTATTGAGCTAGTACTACTAGTCTTGTAGTGCTCTGTCGCTGTTTCCTCTAGCTTTCTTTCTCTCAAGTGCCGCTGGTTTGGTGTCTTGTTTCTTTTCTGACATGATTTGAAATGGTATGAAGCTCGGAACGCCACTGTGTACTGTGCCGACCACCTTCACACACCCTCTCCTGTAGGTATTTCCAGGCAGGCTGGTGATGCATTTAAAAAGTATTCTGTATCCAAATCGCTGTGATGCTGGAGCTTGGTTGGTTGTGGCTGTTCAAGCATGCACGTGGGCAGCCTGGTGCCCAGTGGTGGGGAGAGGGGATTGGGGGTGCAACTAACTAACTGTTACTTGTCACATGCTCCCTGGCTTCTCCACATGGATGCCCAGGCGCGTGCACCCGTGCCCTTCAAGGGGGGTTCCGGGGGGGGGGGGGCGTGAAAAATGAAGCAAAATCCTGCATTTTGAGCGAAAAAGGGGGGGGGTTCCGGCCACCCAGGAACCCATACGGGGCACGCGCCTGCCCATTGGACGCTTTCCAGCTGTGCGCCACCCTACAGAGTAGGTTGCCACTTGTCCGACACAGGTGACAATGACTACTACTAGTAATAGTATGGTATATATACAGAAGCCTTGCTTGGTAGTTAACATGTTTTTCGATTTTGACAGCATGAACAAACGTGAACAATACTACGGCGGCAACACGACGACCTCTACAACACAAAAAAACGAAAATTATAAAAATCCTACCAACCCGTAGAGTAACGAGGGTCCGAACCTGGGTTTTCCCAATACGGTTCAAATGGTCGCAAGACCGGGACTCTGCCAACCGGTTTATGGTTGTAGTCAGGAGCACTACGCGTCCTCGCCTTGTAACATGCTGTCAAAATCGAAAAACATAGTAATAGTATGTGTGTGAACTGTGAACGTTTGAAGCAGAAGTACTGGTTCTCATCAAGCTCGATGATGAAGTCGGGCAAGTAGACTACGAGCACGACTCTTCAACTCGTGAATAACACACCTGATCGACTCACTACAATCAGATCATGTACTATGAGTCTATGAGTGATAGCAAGAGGGGTTATGTACTCTTGGTGATAGTATGAGTCCCTGACCCGAACCGCCTTGTCCCCCATGAACTCTTGGCCCACCGGCACAGGCTACAGCCTAGTACAGGCTAGTACAGCAGTAGATCTACATGCATAAAAGCAAGAGTACATGACCATGATGACCACTAGCTGGCACTGTGAGTGTGACTTGATAAAAGCAAACAGCTACAAAATAATTAATTATAGCTCTGAATGCTAAACTATGCAATGAGTCATAGCGACTATTGAGTATTGTGTAGACTCGAGACGACGAGAGTACTCGAGTGTCGACTCACGCGATCACGACTCGCGTGTGTCGACAAGTCGATTATTATCCAGCTAGCTTGCGCACCACGTTATCGGGATCTGCATTTTCCCCAGACTTCACCTTCGACTTCGTTTCGTCACAGCTACAGTTTGTGAAGTTTCGTTCCTGTTGTGAATTCGAACTCTTGAGTTCGGTCGAAATGTGTAAGCAATGTCGGACTTCCAGGTAAAATCTCTGGCCACGCTGCGCCAGGAGAAACTGTTTAGGGCGAAGGAAGACAACGCGCCAGCTTCAAAAGCAGCACCACGAGGTGCGTGTTGTGCTGGCTTTCTTTACTGCTTTTGGTGCCTTGAAAACTATAACTTTCGATACTCAAAAAAGTCCATCTATTTGCTGTTTCTCTCCCTCTTCGTATGTGGTTGACGTATTGCCATTCGTTCTTGTTGTGCAGGGCTCGGTACCAGGAGGCTTCAGGTTAGGAGGGAAGTACTCTACTCTTCTACGTCACCGTCTCTGCTCCCAGCTACTGCAGCGGAATGCACACAAAACGAATCGACAGCTTCATTTCGTATTTCAACAGAAAATGTTGCAACCAAGACACAGGCGGGAGGAGAGAGGTAAGGCTGATCATTATTAACACGAGGGTGGGTCGTGATTGTGCATTATCATGTGCTTCAGGGCTTTGCTCAAAAGTTTGAGTTGTTCTACATTTACACGAAATATTCGAAAATTTAATCCATTATTTTGAAGACGGAAGCTGAGTTGGAAAACCAAGCAATGAATCTTTCATTTCCGTGACAGAAGATCATGTCCATTTAGGTAGTGATGGTACATGTATATTATTATAATTATAGTTGTACTAGTTGTCTTTCCTGCATTGGTTGACAGATATTTGAATTGAATCATACGCCTATGTAAATGATGTTTCGAATTGAAGTTTCGTTGATGTCTTTGCCTCCTCAGCAATGGACCATCATATTACGTGTATGCCAGCACTCCAGAAATATCGTTCAATGCCAATTTGTCAAATTCCACTGTAGCTGTACTGCGTATAATTTTAGTGCTTTTCGTTTGCTGTTTGTGTGGTACATGGTGTGTGTGCGCGTGTGCGTGTGTGTGTGTGTGTGCGCGCGCGCGCGTGTATGTGCGTATTTATGTGCATGTGTATGTGCGTGCATGTGCTTGCATGCACATATGTGCGTCTGTGCGTGTATGGATGTTTGTATGTCTGTGTGTTCTGTGCTTACTATATGTCTATGACTGAATAGTGCTGTCTCATCAACAAAGGTGATGCGCCAGACCACCAGCACTTTTACGCCAAACAGCTTGTCAAGCTCCAAGTCCGCCAGTGTTCGTTTGCAGCGGCCTGGGAAATCTGTGGGGGCATCAACATCCAGTGCGTCCTTGGCTCATCCTTCAAAGTCATCGCCTATTACTGTGTCATCCTCATCATCATCAGGCACAGTAGGACAGAGGCAAACCAGCTTGGTGAGGGTCACATCTCCAACATTGAGCAATGCTGCACCAAACAAGCCAATAGCACTTACCAAGCCAAGGCTTGCCTCCCCTCCGCTCACACAAACATCAGGTGGGCACACGACAAGGCCAGCTCGTATCAGAATCGCTTCACCGCCTGCTCCAGCTATGAAGCTGACTCGGACATTGGTTAACACCTCTTCCTCACCAGCTAGCCCTCCATTAGTAATGCTTGTTCAGTCTCCGCCATCGTCATCTGTTAGACCGTTGCCAGTAAGGGCATCTGCTCCGAAGGTAAATTCGCAAGCCAGCAAGCCGGTCACATCTACCACTGTCCCAGCTGTAAAATCACCGCCTCCATCGTGCGAAGCAGCTTCATCTGGTGGTACAGCAACGAAAGGGCGGGTCAACTTGCGGCGATCTACAAATGTATCAGCTTCTTCATCGCCATCACCGGCATCAGCATCGATGGTAGCTGCTCATTCCTCAGTACAAACTCCTAATTCTGTGAATGATTGTATTGTAATAGGAAGCAGCAGTCCCGATAATTCTCCAGAGCTCGTCGCAACGAAGCGCCCTCATCATGAAGACGGCCATGTGGATACGAAGAAGCCTCGTCGCTTGAAGCTGTCTGGTCGCGTGGCCAATGCCCCCAGTGCGGAAAGCAACACTACTGACTCAAGTACACCCTTGGGTATGAGTAATGATTCCAGCACGCAGCACACATCCAAAGACGACTGCATCCAAAATGAAGCTGGCGAGATAAGCACTACCAGGACATCCACATCAGGCCCCACACCTTCTGGCTCGCCCAACAAAGTCCATGCTGACAGTGATGGACAAAATGCTATGGAAGAACCTCTGCCGTTGTCGATGGAGGGATCCAGTTCTGCTGCTTCTAGTACCTATCAAGCTGGTATTGAGGAAGAACATGGTGATTTTGACATGGGCGGAGGTGACGAGGAAGGTGTCTTTGTTTCAGTTCATATTGACTCGGGCGATGAGATCAATGACTTGGTAAATGGAACAGATGGCAGTATTGTTTCTCCTTCTCCAAGGTCCGTAACAGCCCAAGCTCGAACGCATAGCAGGGAGGGCAGCAGAAAGGACCGCTCCAACGACAACAGCAGGAGTAGAAGGTATTTGAAGATAGATCACATCTTGTTTTAGACTGAGTACCAGCCATTTACCGCCTTTGTCCTGTACACTTGACAGATTGCATGACCAGATCCCTGAATTGTGATCCTTATACATGTACATTAATGTGTACTAAAGGAATGTCAAAGGATTAAAGGAATGTCACAGGAATGCCGGAGGACTTGTGGTAATGGTAGTGCGCCTGGTTCTTGTGCCAATGGCCATTTGCTGTTATGACTATGTGATGTCTTTATTGTTTTATTCCACAACACATAGCTGCATGTAGTTCAGTTGTTAAAGCTCTTTCCAACTCCCCTCTGGTTCTTTTCCTCAGCTCAACGTCACACAGAAGTCGCTCCCCGCACGAGTGTGACGATCGTGATCCACACCGCTCAGCTAGACGAGAATCCAGGCGGCAAAGGCACGGTGATCATGGCCGCTGTGGCTCCAGCAACGTCGTCAGTGGAGGCAGCACCAACAACAGCAGCAGCAGTAACAGCAATGGAAGCAGCTACAGGCCGAGTAACCAACGTCACTTGCCACAGCAGGCATCCAGAAATGCCAGCAACCCTGTTAACAGCAGTACGTCTCGTCCAAGCAAGGTCCCATCAAGGGATACTGTGTTGCCAGCATCTGATAACACGCGGAAATCTCACGAAAGGTCACAGCCAAGGATGGATAGGAAGAGATCCGGGGATGTTGCACACAGTGGTCATCAAGCTCGATCAAAGGTATGCACTTGTATTTGCCTGGTTGCTCATTGCAGTCAGTGTTTGCGCTCCAGTGTAGTGCTGGCACTACCAGCCTCTTCTTTGGCATGCTACATTCTGTTGCTATCACTGGCAATGGTTTTGGTTTCACGGCCAATACAATCATGCTGGTTTCCTTTGCTTTCACTATGTGCTGCAGAATGCCAGTCAACCCACTGCAGCCGAAATGAATGCACTTGCGCAACAGTGGTTGAAGCGCCGTGATCTGTGTCAGTATCACATCAATGAAAAGAGGGGCTGTCGTGTTGCAAGTTGTACCAATGACCATGTCAGGCCCCGTATCATGCCAGATTACGTGGAGTACTACTGTAAGGTATGTCCTTTGTGCTTGGTGGCTGTTTTTGGAAAACTACTACGTTACTAATAGATTTAATTTGCATTCTTTTTGGCATGTTTAGAGCTTTCAATAAGGACCCACAGACACGGGCTAGTGGAAGCTACTTTTTTCTGAAGGCGCATTGCTTATTGTTTCATTCTGGCTTCAGTCCTGTTTTGACAAGCTGTCTCACCGTCATCATTGTGTGCCTGGGAGGGCTTTGCCCGAATGTTGATTCTTATGTCTGTTGCCGGTGCTGCTTTTGTGTTGCTGCGACTGCATTATGTAGGAGGAGATGTGGAAACGTCACATGGGCAGGAAAGAGTCCTGGCCTAACTTGTGAGTGCTGTTGTGCTGTTTGACCTCCTAGTGCACTAGCCACTTACAGTATTCATCAGTTGGCCGAACGCCCTAATTGCGGGCACTTCCGCCTACACTGTTTTCTTTGGATGAGTTTTGTTCATGTTCGCACTTCTCGAAAAATTCGATCGGACAGGAGCAGCCTTTGTAACTACTGGGTCTCCGAGCGCCCGGATAGACACGATGTGAGTGTGGTCAAGTTCTGGACCAGCTCAAGCACTGCAATGAATGTCTTTCTACTATCTAGTTAAGGACGTGTTCATCGACTCTAAATAAAACTAGCCTAATGCCGAAAAAAGGCTCAATGGGCCACGGTAAATTAAATCAGCTCTAGGTGTTGCTCCATATGGGTTGCCCGAAAGCTTTGTATCGGGCTGGATAGATTTGAAATACCAGCATGTGCTGGTCGTAGCAGATCTATTGTCAACGTTACCACATTGATCTAGATTTATCCCGGTAATTTTTGCTATTCTGTACAAGTACTTAAACAATGCTCTTTTCTCTTTCTCTTTCTGTTGTCTATTTTCCCTCAACTTTGATTTCGCTGGATTTTGGCCCACAGTAAATTGTCTCTACCGAGGGCATTGGGTAAGTTCTAACTTGGACTAGATTTCCACCTTTATTGCATTTTGTGCTGAATATCTGTGTAAACTGCTACCTTTGAGTGAAACCTGTCCAAGACGACCGCTCAAGGGATCTTCAAAGCGTGTCTCTGTTACCAGGTGGTCTCCTTATTTCAGGGTATTTTGACTGGAAATAGCATTCCTTGATCCCGGTTTCCGTGGTCTTCTAGGACAGGTGGTTATCTTTTCCGAGTGTTCGCCTTGACATGTTTTACTGTACTTAAAACTCTGCCTGTGCCCGTAGTACAGCCGTGCCCCGCCTGGGGGTCAGACATGGATGCACAATTCAGTTACTGCCTACTGTATGTGTATAGAACTGGCCTTTGCTTCTCCCTGTAGTGCAGTTTCTAGTGTGTCAGCTTTCAGTTTTGGACGGTGACAGTTTGCAGTAGAGCGTACACGCTCTCCGGGCAGCCTTTGAGGGTTTCTCTGTGTGCAAGCCCTAACGTTTAGCTACTTGTGCTGCCTCTCACAGATGTGGGAAATCCTGCCATCAGCCATCGGCTTGGAGTAGCTTCCGACCTCCTCAGGCGTAATATAGGTAAGCATCATGGATAATTGTGCAGGGCTAGTATTTGCTGCATGGTTACACCATCTAGGATATGTCTGTCTCTACACACGTGAATTATGTGCATTCTTTCTTTGTAAAACATGATGCTATTTACTGTGCAGTAAAAGCTGATAACTGAAATTGTGTGTTCTCTATGTAGATGCTGGCTGGCAAGTGTATGTTGATCTTCTACGGGACCACCCGCGCTGTGTTTTGCCGGCGTCGTGTTGTGAGAGTGTCCTGGGCATATGCAAGCAAGTCGGGAGTCGCGCTCCGTACACGGTGGCGTTGGCCGCGTTCCGGCACATGGAGCAAGTTGGCTGCAGTCGCCGCGATTATGCTCTGCTGTTTGACATTCTCGCCGCAGCAGATGCTATTGATGAGTAAGTGAATTGTCACTTGGCATTCGTATTTGATGGTGTACCGCATACACCAGTGCCAGCACAATGCGGCAAGCACTATCTGCACCTGGGGTACAATTGTATGTGGGAGTTTTGATTGAGTATTTCTATTATGGTTGATCACTTTGGAGCTCATACGTGACGGTAACTGCTAGGCTATTTTAGGAGTGGTAAAGTTACCTGTGTGTGTGTCCCCTCTCTCTCTCTCTCTCTCTCTCTCTCTCTCTCTCTCTCTCTCTCTCTCTCTCTCTCTCTCTCTCTCTCTCTCTCTCTCTCTCTCTCTCTCTCTCTCTCTCTCTCTCTCTCTCTCTCTCTCTCTCTCTCTCTCTCTCTCTCTCTTTCTTGCGGAGCAGGTCATTCAACGAATTTGAGCGCATGAAGAAAGTTTATCCGCCTTCATCTGAAATAATCTCTCATATGCTGGCAATTTGCAAGAATGTCGACCCAGCCCGGTTAGTTCCATAGTGCTGATTTTGCTATTGTTAGTCCAGGAACTGATAAATTTTAAGGCTTCTGAAGGATCCCATTTGGAAGTTTCACGGGGGAGTTTCCCTATGCAGAAAGGAAGCTACGCTGTCTGTGCACACTTGTCTTGTTTTACCAGTAGAGCAGCACACACTGGAAGCTGTCCTCGAGTGTACAGATGATGTATGAGATTTGGCATTGGTGGGCGCGTATCCGTGCTTGGCGCTTGCCTGCGCTACTGGTCTGCCTTGAAGTAGGTATGACCGTACTAATGCCTGTACTAATGCCTGTGCTACTGGTCTGCCTTGAAGTAGGTATGACCGTACTAATGCCTGTGCTACTGGTCTGCCTTGAAGTAGGTGTGACTGTACTAATGCCTGTGCTACTGGTCTGCCTTGAAGTAGGTGTGACTTTCTGTACTACTGTGTTGTGTACTTGTACAGTGGCTTCACCTTGCTCAATGATATCCAGCAGCATGGCCTCTTCAACACCAGGTTAGTTTGGCAACTCCCCAGCATAACTACATACGTGAGCGTGGTGAAGACGGGATATTAGTATTACTGACATCATCATGCTCTCTGTTTTCTAGCGCCTATTGCCTAGCATTGGTCTTTTTACGATGAAAAGTGCAGCAGGCTGGTATGGCAAAGCGACGTCCATGTGACCTGTGTTTAGTCCTCCTCTACTGCCATGGTAGCTATCTCTATGCAGCTCTCGTCCGTATAAATGAGTTCTACTGTGTGCCACTATCAAGCTATGTGTACTTCATAGTAGTGCAGGCTCCTTTTAATTAGCGCCGCGATCTGTATTTGCAATGTTGGCTTCATGTGTGCGTACTTGTTGTATGGGCGGACGTGCTTTGCTGTGCAGAATGCTCGAGAAGCTGATGGCATTGTTCCAGGCGGACAAGAAGCTTGCTGGTCACATGCCAGGAGTATTTCAGGTAAATAGCTGCCTCCTCCCCTTCCCACCCACTTCAATCGCTCCTGTTTATTTATTTTCGGACTATCAGCATATGCTCTTTTGACTTGACACTACATATCTGTATATTCAAGAAATTGGCTCCTGGCTCCCACCTCAACCGGGTATATTTGTTAGTTTTCAGGCCGACTGGTACAAGTAGACCTGCTGAGTTTCATGCTAAAAGTCAGCAGAGTCTAGCTGGGCGAACAACTCTACGAGTTACAGTAAATTGAGTACTTTCACTCTCTTCTCTTAAATACTGTACCGGTATTCTGAATTGCAGATTCCACCAGCTCCTTTCAGCCCCTGGATCGGTAGTGCTACCATTTCTGAAGAAATGTAATACAGAAATTACCGAACACGTACCCTGAAATCACTGTATCTGTCGCTTCCGGCTTTTCTTAAACCATGGACACACCCTAGGCCTCATCATACACTATAATTGTAGACATTTGCGATGATCATTTTGTTGTTTTGTTGTTTGCTTCCCTGTGCACTCCAGCTGGCTAAACGGGAAAAGGTCACAGTTTCTGAGTCGGCTTACTTGACTGTACTATCGTAAGTGTCTGCTCGGTCCTGTGTGATAGATCTTCTTGTAATGCGTTTTGAGGCCAGGCCTAAGCGATAGTGTATGTTACGGGAACACAAAGTGCCTGGTCCTTCAAGGCACTGTCTAACCAATGTCGCCTACAACCCAACTTCTCTTGTTTCAGAGCGTAGCGTGTTGTTGGAAATGTGTGTGCGTAACATGACAATGCAGTTCTCTTTTATTTGAACTCTGTTCCTCTCCCAGTGCTATGGTTGCGGCAAAGGACTTCTCCCAAGCTTTCAAGTTTCTGACTGACTTCAACTTGAACAAGCTCACTCCGAGCTTACTCGTTGAGCTCTGCAGGTGTGGTACCGACGACCCTATGTATCTTCAGTCATCGCTTGGAGTACTGTCCCAGCACAGTGAGGCTGCACAGTCACGGCTTCCAGCGGAGGTGAGCTGTTGTTGCTTTTGGAGTATGTGTCTGTCGGTAATCTCTCTGTATGTCTGTATGCCTAACGGAAAGAGCCGAACCACGCAGCATGAACAAGCGTCGTGACTGATACTGGTATATTTTAATGTTTAGACAAGTCAAAGTCTTCCTCAGAAATGATGTCGAATGACAGTGGGCTTCTAGCTGGACCAGTGCTGGTGTGTTTTTTTTTGTGGAAATCAAGCTTCTGCCAAGTATAATGTCTGTCTGTCTGTCTGCCTGTCAGTCTGTGTAGGCCACTATGGTGTGTGTGTGTGTGTGTGTTTGTGTTTGTGTTGGTACGTGTGAATCAATATCTGATAAGCTGTTGTACTTCTTTGCTCGTTATGCGTAGATTTGGAATGGACTTATGACGGTCTGTTTGCAGGAGAAAGAGATAAAGGATGCGTGTCACTTGTATCGGGGAGCCATGTCTTGCGACATACCTGTCAGCACGGAGGTTAGTTTCAACTGTGCCTGCCTTCACTCTAGCCTTCTATACTGTGGCCATTGTTCCAAGTTTTTCTCAAAGTGCAAAGACTCCACTGTAGCCATCCATACAAGTGCATCATATATAGTCAACCTTGCGAAGAACGACCCTCGGTTGTGCATAAGAAAAGCGCCGTTATTCGCGAGTTGTCGCTATTCCTGAGGTTGAAAGTACTACCTCCGACAAGCGAAACTTGGCGCGTTTTTTTTTACTTCAAATACTAGAAATAACTCTCACTTTACAATCAAAACTAAGGATTGACTCACCAAAATTCAACTTTGTATTGCTCAACAAGGACATTAGAGACATCTGTTCGGCTGAATCACTCTCCTCTGATTCAGAGATCGCAGTTTCGTCTGGAGAGGAATTGTTCCTGTTTTGAGACCAAAGTGCGACTAGAGCGGATTCTGTTGCAGCAAGTACCTCTGTTGTAATCGCTCTGAAAATCTCGATGTCGCTCCTGTGTGCTGTGCTCGAGCGACGGTGTCGAGGGTAGTCGTTTCCGCCGCCACCCCCACTATCCAGGTTGACGTGCTAAGAACTGTCCAACACCTCCACAAGCGCCTGGACTCGAACTGTTTTGCCGGGTATTCTCGCCAACTGCCCAAAATTGCCTGTAGCAATTCCCGGCGATTTTCCTTAGCCACCAGAGACGCATCGCTCTGGTGGCTATTGAAAGACGCTAGGATTGTTTGGGATGGACGTATGGACTCTGTGCTGGCGGAGTGACCAAGTGGAGAGAGAGAGAACTCCTTGGTTTTCCATTACAACGCGAAAGCACGACAATTCTCCTTCGCAGAAGGGACGCGCGCACTGTTTTGCTGGTACACGAGAGACTGGCTTGCCTCTGAGCCATGTGCCACTCAACAGCTCGTCGCTTGGCTTCCTGCAACCGGTTGCATGGAGCTACAAGTAGGTCGTAGATCTACGAGTGCCTCACAGCCTTGTGAAGTTGTGGTACCAACACAAAAAAAATCAACAACAAAAAACGCGCCAAGTTTCGCTTGTCGGAGGTAGTATGCAGTTAAAAATCTTAAAATAGTTACTGTCTGAAGAGCGTGTCGCAATGGCGCCGCTGTAAGTCAGCCGCTTTCATCCCATATCTATAGCAAACAAGACGTTTTCTTCTTGTTGTGTTGTTGTGCTGGTTACACCGATGCTGCTGGTGCTGCAGGTTACCAGTTTGTTCATGAAGAGTGCTCCTGGCAACGGTGACATTGATGGCATGTCAGAAATTGTAGATAGCTTAGCCAGAGAGCAGCGGCACCGCCAACAGCAGGAGGAACAGGATAAGAAGAAGAAGAAGCTGCGTCGATCCAGTGGCGACGATAGGAGATCGGGAACGGCAGCACATAATCGCGACTCTGGCGATGTCGAATCAACAGCAGCGGAAACATCACGTGCACGCAGACCATCACCAGCAGGAACAATAGCAGTAGCGGCAGGTGAAGAAGCAGCTGCATTAGTGTCATCAGCCTCGCCTGACTGGCAACAGCCATCACCATCGTCCATGCAGTCGCTGTGCCAGGGCCTAAAGGACACTTGCTCCTGGGCCAGTTTATACAAAGTCACCATGACCATGCTAGCGATGAACATGATGGTAAGTACCTGCACTATTGCTCTCTCCTGCGTGACGTGGTGTGAGTATTCTGCCATGTAGCTACAATATACATTGCTCACTTTTGTTGTAGGTCAAACTCTTGATGGGGAAATGCATGTGCGGTGCATGTTCAGCGATAATGGTGATAGATATAATTCGGCATAGTGCAAGTGCCATAGTATTCAGGTGAAGCTCAATGCAATCTGCCTGCCTTCTCCTTAGTGTACACCAGGAGTGATGTGTTGGAAACTCAGTTACTACTATTATCTCGATCGCATGTGCTCGTACGTTGCCTTTTTGTTGCAGTCTTGCGCTGATTTCCCACGGTGTGCGCTGCTCTATTGTCGTTGTGGTGTTGCTTGCAGCCCGAGACAGACGTACTCGCTCTTCTTCTTCGAGAGCTTGGTCAGGCGGATGACTTTGCGAATCTGCACGACCTGGTGCTGCAGGTGGGTTTCCTCTTGATGTCTCATCATTCCTTGAAGAATCCCACTCATTGTGGTGTTAGGAGTAGTCTTAGAAAAATGGAGCGGGCGGTTAGTTCCTTTGCTGTGCCGCTGTGGATCCGCCAGTTGTCCAATGCCGATGCTCTTCTTTGTGGTCTCCTTACTGGCTTTCTGTACAGTGCATCAAAATGGACGTGGATGTACCTAGTGGATTCTATCAGCAAGCCATGCAAGTCCTCTCCAACTGGGACAGGAATCCATCCGCCAGTGATGAAATTACGACGGCTCTGAATGCACGAGAAGGAAAGAGTGCTGTCAACGGTTCATCTGGCACTTCATTGGAGCTGTAAGTGAATTTTGTTGTTTATTTTGCGAAGAATATACTCTTCTGAAGGGAAGGTGTACATGATGAAAGCATAGCGGCCGGCTTCATTGTGTGTGCACGGGCCTTCTGTGGACGTGTCTTGTTTTTTATTGTAGCCAGGTCGGCATGGTATTATGTTGACACCTGATATGTGCGTATTTGTGTGCGTGTTTGTGTCCGCCGGCCCAGCTGTAAAATGTGAAACCTGGTTGAGGCTTTGTGTGTGTGTGTGGGGGGGGGGGGGGGGGGGGTACATTTGGATTAGCCATTAGCTTAGGTGGGATACAAGGTACCCCACCCAACGGCACTTGGATCCCAACCTTGGAGAGTTGGCCCTTCCAAGGTTTAAGAAGAACAGCCAGTCAGCCACCATACGAGCAGGTCCAGACCATAGTGGCACCCATTCCAGCGGCGGGTTGTCTTCCTAACATAGCTAACAGATCCTGACTCTATTGTCCTGTGTGTGTATGTGTGTGTGTGTGTGTGTGTGTGTGTGTGTGTCTGTCTGTCTGTCTGTGTGTGTCTGTGTATGCATGTGCTTATGTCTGTGCCTTCATGTGATGTGTGTGCATGTGTTTCTTGTAGGAATACTAGACAAACACCTGGCAATAGCCAGCACACCAACAATGGCTCTTTGCAGTCTTCAACTCACACTGTTGCTGCTAATGTTGGTAGTGAATCTGAGGAGAGGTCTTTGTTTATCTTTCAACAGCTCAAGGTAAGTAGATACATGCTCTGTTCCAGGTCTTACTCATCGTCTACCTAAGAGGAGGGTTGCGACAATCTGATAGGGATCTAGATGATGCAATACAAATGAATGTGAATAGTTGTCCATGGTACCAGCTATATCTTAGTGGCAACGCTGATAGACCACCCCTGGTGGTAGTCTACATTTCCGCAGGGTTTCACTAATCTTTCACTACAAGTGCGGTAAAAACTACACAGAAGGGGGGGGGGGGTAATATTTTGTTTTGAAAGTGGCAAAACATAAACTCGTGATGACGGTCCTCTTCCAGCTCGTGCGTTGCTCGTGCTTTGTACGTGCTTTGTACGGTATGACTCCTGATCTCCATGAAAGGTGACTTCAATAAAAAAATTCTGCAATGGACCATACCGTGTACCAGCTAGCTGTGGCGTTGCCCAGTCTTGTTTATGTACTCTTGGTATTATCACGAGTATATAAGCTACCAAGAGTGTGCAACTCCTGATATCCTTTCTATGGGGTTTGCCGACGGCGAAAACTCGCATCACGCGGTGTAGTGTTGCAGTTGTACGTTTCCGGCCCGTTTTTAGCGAGCAGCGGAGTAATAAAGAAAGCACTCTCTGGATGAAACTGTGCGTATGCGAATCCCCAGCATGATCATGGCAGATATTTGGATTGCACGCACGCTATCCTTCCTTTGTACATACTGCTGTATCAGTACAAACTTTCGTTTGGAATTAACTTTCGCTGTATTCGTTTATAGGGGGCACGAAAAAACTGAAGTTGGTACCAAACTAAGGTTTTCTTCTGAACGTTCGGAGTGACAGACCTCGACCAAAAACGAAATTTAGTGCGTAACGATCCTGCTGGTGGAGTGATCTAACGAAAGATTGCTTTGGGTGCTCAAGCATCCCCCTCAAAATGTTCGACATAGGCCAAGTTGATGTACCCATGCCACGAAAAGTACCATAGCTTTGCGACCGATTGTCCGATTTACTCAAATGACGGTCCATTGGAAAGGTCTTGAGCGAGGCTATTTGATTGAATTTGATACTGTACTGTGCCCAAACTCTGAAAGAAGAAATGGAAATGTTCATAAACCAGACTTTTGAACGCTATTTTGGTAGCACGATTATCAGATTTTTCTAACTGATTTTTTGCTTTCCACTTGCTGTCATTACTAGTTGATCATAGTTCACCGTGTTGCATGTACTTTCATGTGCCAGGACGGAGGGTTATCCATATTGTCAGAGCCTCGACTTTTTCTATTCCGATTTTCCGGGAACACTCCAATCAGTTGTTCCGACAAACCGACCGAAAACGACTGTTCACGAAAGTGAACTAATCTGTTGTTTCGGGACCTTGAAATCCTAAAAATACTACGCTGCTAAAGGGGTCGCTGCCCCGTCGACTCCCTGCCATTGAACACCTCAGGCACTGCTTCTGATTTCTACCAACAGAAAAGTGGGAGCACTCTGGTACTGTCTTGTTTGTGCAGCTACCACCATCCATTGCACTTCCTTCCTCTATTACCTGATTCTATTTCTCCATACCAAGAAACAGGAGTACAGTAAGCTCCTGGGAGCTAATTTACTCTTGCCAGAAGTTGTAATGGTCGTTTTGCCTTCTTGCCCATTCAATATGTGAAGTATTGTAAGTTTGATGTTACTAGTACTTCAAAGTACACACGTCAAATTGAAAATGTTTTCGTGATTATGATCTAGCAAGTGTAGTGTACTCATTGACCTACATTGTAGCTTACAGAGGAAGTACATTTTGTCCTCCAAAGGGAGGGGTATTTTTGGGATAGAGTACTTCAAGGCCTCATGGTTGCTCCATCCTACAGAACAGGTCCTACATTTTCCCTCGGCTTGGTAAATCATGGTAAATAGCGCACTAAATATCAAGATACATATACTAGTATCAACCATCCATGGATATACCGGATCACATGCACGGGAACAAGAGTACATAAACAAGAGTGTGCAACTCCCTATCTCTTCTGCACAATCTGCAGATACCCCTGCCCACGGCGGAATTTTTTGTTGACGTCACCTTTTTTCAGGGAAACGCGGACTTTGCCGCAGAGCAGTGTGAGAGCACGTGCTGGGCACCGACCTTGTAGTGCAAGCCCCGCCAAGTGCACGAGGGAAACCTCTCCGAAAGGCTCGCAGCGCGTGCGTCGTCGAAAAGATTACGTCAACAAAAAATTCCGCCGTGGGCCAACCCATCCGCGAGTTGCACACTCTTGTTTATCTACTCTTGACGGGAATAATACATTATTCGGTTCTTTGGGAAAAGGTTGGAGCACCCCCCTCATTCTGGATCCTGCGTACGCCCCTGATCCTCTTGTGTGATTATATACTCTTGGTAGTGCTGAAACGATTACGTTTTTTCCTTAGTGGCTTAGCTGATACCATAACGATCGGCTTATCGGCTAAACGATTATTATCGTAACTACATCAGTACATGTACGTTCTGTAAATTTGAAATTTTTTACGAATCCAACATCGCCAACGACGGAAAGAGGGCGCATAGATCCGATGATCCCGCAACAAGTCCGTCAGCTGTTCGGACTGACCGGACGAATACAGACAAGACAGAGGCGGCGCACTGGTTGCCACCCAAGAGCTGATGGTGCCCTTCGCCTGTGACTTCGCTGACTCCGACGATTATGTCAGAGAAGCCGGCCAGGGGTGCAGATCGGCGGATTTCGACGGATGAGCTGACTTGAGGCGCGCCAACAAGTAACTACATTATAGTTGCTTTTTCCTGTCTATTCTCAAAATAGGCCCAGACGCCAGGCCTGGCTCGTCGTCGAGCAAACTGGTTCGGGAACCGTCGACAGAACGGAAAACACGAAACTGAAGACTACTTTACTGTCTTTAGCTCAAGACTACTCGCATGTGATATGTGGAGGGAACTCCAGCCCCTGCAGCTAGTGTAGACACATAGTACATACTGAGCCTGCCAGTCCTGCATGCTGTACTTGTATGTAAGAAAAGTAGTCAGCTGAAAAGACGGCGAAGGTGATTGCGTCGATGTTTCTCAGATCGCGCTTGTACTTTTACACGTACATTGATGTTGTAAGTGTACAGTCATGTACATGTTCGTGTCGTACTCGTAACACTTTCGGTGCATGCACCCTTTGTGTGACTCCAAAAGGGGGGAAATCCCGTACCGAGCGTAAGTACCATTCTACTCGTTTAGCCGATAAAATCGAAATAACCGCTCAATCATGTTCTTATCGAGTAAGTAACGAGTAATCGATAAAATCGTTTTAGCACTAACTCTTGGTATTATTCATCACGTGTATTGTACTGTGCTGAACTACTGTACATGTACTGTTGTGATTGCGGGCATCCAACCATGGCTAAGGCTATGCATCATTGATGCATCATGTAAGATTCACCGCACAGGAGAACCCATATCATCTCATTCTGCGTGACATTATACGTGTACGGGACTTTCTGATAGGCAAATTCCCGTATGTTTCTGCAGCTCTTCCTTTCCTCGAGTTCTAAGGAACTATATGATGCTAGAGGAGAGAGAGAGAGAGAAAGAGAGAGAGAGAGAGAGAGAGAATGTGTGTGTGTGTGTGTGTGTGCACGTGCGTGCGCATGTGTGCTGTGTGTATGAAATTCTGCTTGCCTGGGTTCTGGGCTTGCTAGTGAAATTTGCTTGTAAAGTTTGGTGGATTGGTATTTCCCTGTTCATCAGAATAGCCAATGCCAGTCCATATTCCACTGCATTTCAGCGTCTGCAGAATATCACGAATACATGGCGTAGTATTTTTTGTTCCCTCTTGTCCAGTGGTGTACACATAATCACACAAGGGAGACTTTTGATTGCCTGGCTGTGATTTGGGCTGAGAACCGGAGAGCTTTTGTGCTCTCAGAAGGGTCACTTGTTTTTTCTTCGGTGGATTTTCGATGTACAATACGTTCAGATGCCAGCCTAGGAACTGCTTGCTTGGAAGCGTTTTCGCAGAATGGTTTGATGTACTTCACTTGCAGTAGTACATGTACATGCACGTGCAAGCTTTGCAAGACCACTCGGAGTAGTGTAGGAATGTAGAAATGTTGCTCTGGGCCAGCGATAACCATTCTCTGATGTCTCACTAGTGGTTCTGTTCTTCTTGACGTTGTGTGCTCAGCTCCATGGCAAAAACTCCGACTGGCCAAGCATGGCAAAACAATTCATGGAAATGCAACAGGTGGTGGATGTGTGTATGGATCATGTGACAATGGTGCGACGCAGTGACTGGCTACTGTGTGGATTGAAAACCTCAGCTATTAGGTGTGGTTGCGCCTTCAGAGAATTCCTGGCCGCCATCTATCAGCTTGTCTCGGGTAAGCAGTCCTGTGCTCTATCTGCCAGTGAGGTCACTGCCGTGGCTCTCACCTCCCAGTACCGTGTTTCTTCCCGTGTTGTTGCTCTAGCCTGTGCGTGTGTATTCTCATTTGTGTAGCTGTTGAGGCTCAAGATACTCGTGGTCTTGTTCTGCCTCGCAGTAAAGCATATTAGTCTCGCCACTTGAAAGTTTGTGAATCAAAATACTCAGAATAACAAGGGTATTTTTTCTGATGAATCTAAATACCGAGACAGAAAGTGAGCCTGTTTCTTTGCTTATGTGCGCTGTTCAGATAACCTGCTGTCCTCTTGTAATGTTTTTACCGATTGCCTACTACAGTCGACCTAACAGCTGTATGTTTGTGTGTGTGCCGTGTGTTCTTGTTTGTGTTTCAACAGCAGATACCCCGAGCTCGGATTCAAGTGGAACAGAGAGCAGAGCAGCAGTGGCACGCAGTGATGTTGTCTCTGCCATTCCGACACTATCCGATACTGATCAGGCATTGCTAGCCCATGTGGGCATATCACTGATTGTACAACTGGCCCAGGAGGAGGACTGGTCTGAGGCCTATCTTGTGCTCTTCTCACTGCATATCCACCAGATCCAGTATTTGAATGAAGAGTACCTGGAGCAGGCGTCGCTCGCCTACCCACCCGCCACACTGACACGCAGTCATGTAGCGCTGCTCTGCGTGCAAGTCTGCCTGGAAATGGGGGAGCTGGTCAGCGCTATGCGTGTACTGCAGGCCAGTGACTGGGCAGTGTGCTCATCGGCAGATGCCGTGCTTATCCGACTGGTCAGTCAGCAGCGCACTGCGTTACTGGAGCGCCTGCTGGCTGCATTCCTAGAGCAGTCCGACTTTGTTCTGGCCTTTACCATCATCCAGCAACTACCACTGCGTGATACGAGTGCAGTAGAAGGTGCTGGCAATGACGGCAGCAAGAGTGCCAACACGAGTGCAGTGGCCAACGCCTGTGCGCGTACTGTTCACCTAGCATGCTGTGGGGAGCCACCAAGCTCCTCACTCGCTATCCAGGTGTTTGAATACATGGCCCAGCGCTCGCTCATCGCCGAACCTAGCCTGGCCAGGCGCATGTATGCACGTCTGCTTTGCACTGTCGTCGGAATGCAGCGACTCACGCTGGCACGACAAATGTTCCTAGCTGCGCTGCGCGAGCACTTCTACGAGTGCCCGCGTGTGGTCAGTCCACTCCACCTGCTAACGCTGAAGGCACATGAGCTAGAGGCTGCCGAGCTATATCTACTCATTGAGCACTATCTGTATGAGCTGGCTGAGTCACTGCAGGCTAAGCACCAGGGCAACTCTCCCTGGTCGTTTGCGATACGTCCTGTGCTGGAACATCAACCTGTCATGCTGATGGTGCAGTGCAACCAGTCGATAGCACAACATGATCCGGAGCGCTGTGACCACGCCGTTGAAGTTGTGCGCACTGTACTGGCGGAGTATCTGCCTCCAGCGCTGACCGCCCAACTTAGCCCACAGCTGGAGAATGGCTGTCACTGTCTGCGCTTGGACCCTGGGCCGTTGGTGCGCTGGTTCACAACGAACAGCAACAACCCATACAACATCAAACAGCTATTCGGCAGTCCAACCAGCTACTCTGCTGCTGCTGTTGCCACTGATTCAACTACAGGCTCTGATCCAAAGAGGGAGCACAGCGCCAGCAGCAGAAGTCGCAAAAATCTATCACCTGGTCACTGGAGTTCATCCGGTGATCGGAAACCCCAGGCGTCACCACTCTCGCCATCATCTCTATCTGGAAGATATGCATCAAGTGAAGGCAGTTTAAGTCTGCCAGCAGCTGTGGAGCTCAGTGAAGAGGAGAGGAAGCCAGCAAGTACTGCAGCTGGTGGAGGTGATGGCGTCGCGTCATCAACCAATCAGGCAATACCCACAGTCAAGGATGGTGAATCGTTCCCGGACCTGCGCATGCTGCGGAGTCACATAGCACGGCGCGTGTGCCGTCGCCTGACCAAGCACATGCGCAACGATGTATTTGCTGAGGTAAGCATCAACATCTGCTGCTGCAACGGGGGGCAGAATGAAATTCTGCTCAGGTTTAGGGAGACAACGTGCTGTGTGCTGTGACGCACATGGCGTCTCCAACCAGGAATCTTCAACGTACCGGTAGTATTGGGCCTTGTGGCCTATGTCGTGGAAGAAATGATGGTGATGGTAATACATGGCTATGGATCACGTGTATCCGATAGCCAATTGTAGAGTTCTGAAAGCAACAGTTGGTTTGAATGAGGTCCGCCGGTCGTTTGGCTGTTTGCATGCTGTAGCTGTTGTGCTGCCTACGTCTTCAACCATTCAACAGCAGCTTTCGAAATGCTATGTTCCGGTGCTGTAGAACTTCGTGGGAAACAACTGATAGGGGCGGGTGTCTGCGGAGGATGAATGCGAGTTTGGAACGCTGTCCAGCAGATATCTAGGTGGTGTCATGGTGTGCATGCGGAAGTGACCAACGTGATCTGAGCAACGCCAGCTTGGCATGGAAATAGTGGTGGGCAATGGTTGCAGGTCTGCAAGGTGTTCCGCTGGATTTATATCGTCTTCTGGCGTGTTAAATATTCCGATTGAGCCAGCAGAGTGGAAGTGCAAGGAGTGCGTCACGATGTGCTAGGACCCTTCTCTCACATAGCTTGTTGCTTCGACTGGTTACGGTTGCCGTACTGTGCCTGATGGATGCTCTCTTCTCCTGTGTTGAATGGCAGTTGTCCATGGAATAGTGCCGGAAGGGAAGTCGCTCTTGTCGTGCGTTGATTTCAAGCTTGTACCTGCATGGTGTATTGCATTTCGTCAATGGAGCTGGAAAGCATTTTCGCACATCGTCCATCGTTGGCTTGTTAGCAAGGTGGTCGTTTGTGGTGTTCTGTTGTCCTGGATGGTGTTAAGTGGAACTCACCAGTGAGGTATAATGCAATACATCAGTGCAGCTGAGGAGCATCTTTCTACTCCGCCCATTATACCGAACATTTCGTATTGTTAGCAAATTGATGGTTTGTGGTGCTCTGTTGTCCTGGATGGTGTGAAGTGGAACTCATCAATGAAGCTTGGTAGCAACTGAGCAACTGAGGGCGGTGTTTGATTACAAAGACTGGAAGCTTGTAGAAACTCCCAGAAAGTTCTCACATCTGATCCCATACTGGTCAATGATATGATTGTGACAGTTACAGCTGTGGGAAATTGCCGGAGAAGAGTTGTCTTACATTGCTGGTCAATAATGTGATCGATCGCCATCATAATCCCGGTGTTCAATGCATTCGTCCTATGTGTTGATGCATGCCGATGCCAGATCCGTCCCACCGTGCCTGCGTTTACCGGAGTTGTGAACTGGCAATAGTCAAATTCCCAGCTATCCAGTGGCAGCTTCTGCCTTATCCAGTTGTATTTTGAGAATCAAGTTCATCTTTACTTGGACAGGATTGGATTAATGCAAAGTGGAAGTGAATCGTTGTAGTTCAGGACGAACTTTCTAAAGATTTGGAGAAAGCTTCATGACAGCTCCATTCTCATGGTCCTCCTCACATGTGGTGTTGTGACAGGCATGTCATGGTGCTGACCTCTCGTCAAAGTAGTGCTACTTACACTCATTCACTGAGCCATTCGAGCTATGTCGGTGTTGCTTCAGAAGTCTTTATAGCATCACTGTGCTCGCTGGCATCCGTACAAGTCCCGGCATCAGCATTGCATCGTAGACGCACGTCCTGATTTCACTTCTGCACGAGCAGTTGCAAACATTGACACCGTTGCACCATTTGTTCGAATACTGACATCATTGTTGCGTTCTCAGTGAGTGTGTGCTGATTTCGCCATTTCAACTTTGCGACTGCAGTTCGAATACGTACTTCACCGTTACGTCATTGGTTCGACTACTGATTTCAACTCCGCATCATGAGAACGAATACTGATTCCACCATTGCATCATTGGTGTGATTTATCATCAGTTTGACTACGGATTTCATCATTGCATCATTGGTTTGGATACAGATTCTCAATACTGACTTCACCGGTGTATCATTAGCTCGAATACTGTCATGACCGTTGCATCATCACAGTATGAAGACTGTTTCCAACTCTGCATCGTTAGTTCCAGCATTCATGGATGGTTTGACAGTCAATACAGGCAATTGGTGCTCTGGTAGATCCGGCGAGTATGTGCTGATTGTTCAGCTTGATATCCACTGAACAGTGAAGGCTTGTGCCAGTCTTTCACTGCTTCGGAAGCTGAGCCGTGTACGTTTAGCAAGCATGATAGCAAATTGAGACGCGGCAGTGAATCGAAATGGGTGCGACAATGCACTTGGGAGTCCATCTCAGCTCGTGAGTGGCTGTTTCTGCTGCACTAGCGTGTTGTTCTTGGAAGTCGCCACTTGCTTGGACCCCACACTTTGCTGGTGTCCATCGGCTTGACACGCTGTTCAAGAAAATGCCGAACGGTAAAGACGCAGAGGTTGGCAAGACGGCATTGGCCCATAGGCTACTTGCAGACATGGCCCAGGAGGAACAGCATGGAAGGACTTTGAAATTTGCTCGACAAAGGTGATGGTCAACTTTCACTTACTCGAATCGTCTCAGGCATCAAGACCCCAAAGCACAGCCAGACAAGTCAGCTTGCGTGTTGTGTTGTCCGCACCTGGCGTTTATAGCTGCCGATCAACCCTGGTATTGTGCTGCCGTGCGTAGCCTGTTGGGGAACCACATGGAGCGTAGTATGTAGTTCGTCGTGTATACTCTCATACCATCGGTTGACATGCTGCGGCGCAATCAGACGAGTCAATGTGACTAACTTGTTGTCCGTAGCTTGCTGCTGGAACCTGGACGTAAAAAGAATGTTCTTGCAATCAACCACTTTTCCAACTACTCTTCTCTCTGCAGTATGATACTATCAGTAGTAATCTGTCGTGCCAGTGGCAGAGCGGAGTGCGTGATATTGCTCTGTAACATCAGTCGCTTGTTTGAACGCTTCCATTTCGCAGGCGTGCCTGTAAGTCAGATAACGGACTGCAGGTATTGGCGAGGGTGTGGTAGCGTGTCTGCTTGCCAGGCTGCACGGTCACTGTGCACCTTGCCCACTCTTGAGCACATGAGGCAATGAGTATGCAGTCAATGAGGTTTCCGTGCCGGCCCGTGTGTTGATAAAGCAGATGATGTTCATGCAGAAGTGCCTGGATAGCCCTGCCATGACGAGTCCAGTAGAGAAGGTCACACGTTGATACGTCAAGCTATCGTGATTTGGACTTGCATGCGCACCAACGGAAAGTGTGTACATTGGAGGAACGGGATGTCATGGGGTTTCTGAACAACAGGCGATGGGGACAAGGATACGTACTGCTCCATCTCGAAGTCGTCTATGTTCTTCTTCACTCGTCACTTCTGCCCTATTCTCCTATTGTTTCTGGCTGGTCTGCAATGGAACGAAGACTGTCTAGGAGAATGTTGTGCTGGCACATGATCACTGCTGCATGTGTAGCTCTCGAACAGGAGCGTGTGCCGTACTTTCTTTGATCGCCATACACGCTGCTGGGCCAGCTCGTATTTGCAGCATCGGCACTGCTCGTTCTTGCAGGCCGGGTGGAGTTGAGGAGTGTATCAAGCAGTGCGCTACCCACACGTTGATGGGAGGCTGTTCTGTCTACATGTGATGAGGCGTACATGGGTAATCACTGGAGTGTATCGTGCGCTGTCCCAATCGACATACTGGTTGATCGCTCCTGACATGAGTGGAATGGATACATGTTCGAAGCAATTGTCATATACTTCTCTCTGGCAGGCAACTTTTCAGAACTATTTTGCTGGGTTCACGTGCCAGTGGAGGTGACACGCCAAATGGCTGGACTTGTATTCGAATTCCTGCTGGACACAAGGTGTTGGTTGTGGCTGTCGTCGCACATATGGTTCTTGCAGAATTCATCCATACATGTATGCCAGCCTGTGTGGTGGAGTTCTGGTGAGATACTCTATACGACTATGATGATACGACGAGAAGCAGCCTGTGCAAACTCCAGCTTTCCTTGAGCCCTGCAATGCTGGTACTTCCTGGTGGTAAACTTCTACTCATTCGACTACGGAGCATCAGAGCGAGATCAAGATGCGAGGAATTTGTGTAAAGAGATTTCTATGTTGCTCAGGATGTGACAATATCTGTCTATGCCGTGCTTGCCCACTAAGACATGTGCTGGTGCTCAGCTAGCTGGTCATACCTGCACAGATTATGCTGTAGTGGAGCCGCCGTGGAATTGGAAATACGCTTCTTGGTTTCCTGTAAACGTGACCTCTGCAAACTGTGACACCGCTGCTTCGATCACATACGTTGTGTGAGCTGCTGTATTGTAGCACGGGTTACTGACAGAATAAACACGGCATCCGCTGCTCATTGTGAACGCTGTTGTTGTTGACAAGCGAGTGAATATCGAGCACGTCACACCTCTACTCTCACTCGACAGCCAATCATCATGTAGTTTTTATTGGACGTTGCTTACCTTCATCAACCTACTCAAGCTCAACTGTCAAGTAGGAAGTGGTGCTTTCTTGCAGGCTTACAGGGTTGAAGAGCTCGCTGGACTTCTGTGCTGTGGATGGCAATCGTGAGTCAGTCAAGTGTCAAATCAGCAGGGATAGCACAAGCTCCCATGTAGGGAGGGGGCAACCAACCTTTCCTCAAGTGCTAGTTTCACCAAAGTCGCTACCGCTGACCCATGCGTTAACGCTGATGGATAAAGCAACGGAATTTGAAAGAGCATGGCGTTCCTGTGCATTCTTTGATCAAGGCTGCTATGGACAGACTGATTGCACCATGCATATACGATACGCTCTGCTGTGGAAGCATGCCTGTTGAAGTGGGGTGTGATTTCCTGGTGCCATTCATTGCTGTGTTTGCCTCTCGACTGGATCATGTGTCATCCGTGCTGTCCCATCCTTGCTGCCTCCTGTTCTCTGCTGCTGGCAAAGTTCTGATCTCTTACTTCCAAGTCTCCAGGATCATATTGAGGAGTCTAACGGTTTGCATCTATGTTATGATCATCGTTGTCGTCATCATCAGTAAGAAAAGCCACTTGTACAGGCAGATGGATATGCAAGTCATCACCAGTAAGAAAAGCCGCTTGTACAGGCAGATGGATATGCAAGTCATCATCAGTAAGAAAAGCCGCGTGTACAGGCAGATGGATATGCAAGTCATCATCAGTAAGAAAAGCCGCGTGTACAGGCAGATGGATATGCAAGTCCTCACCAGTAAGAAAAGCCGCGTGTACAGGCAGATGGATATGCAAGTCATCATCAGTAAGAAAAGCCGCTTGTACAAGCAGATGGATATGCAAGTCATCATCAGTAAGAAAAGCTGCTTGTACAGGCAGATGGATATGCAAGTCATCATCATCATGTCGCAGGGTAAAGCAGAAGTCAGAAATCAACACCATCATCGCCGGCGTCATCATCATTCATTGCTATGTGGTGCAGTTACAGCTCTTCTGATACAGTACACAGCCTCTCTGCCACCGGAATTCTAGCACACAGCCTCGTGCGGTGTGATTTGCAGAGCACATGTGAGGATTGGAGGAAATGCACGTCGTGCCATTATCAGCTTGCCTCGACTTGCCCGGCGAGCACCGGTCAGCGGCCGTCAAGACAGCCTCGGAGAAGTATGTCCAGCCTTGCGCGCTCTCATCTCTATGCGTGACTTTTAAAACACCGTACCATGCGTGTCAAGCTCCTCCGGACACTGGCCCGAGGATGAACTTGGTGTCATCAACATGGGAATGTTGCCTCTGGGTAGCTGGTGCTGTTGTTATAGGACGACCCACACTAATCAGCGGTCATGGTCAACTTGTGTCCCGTAACGCTGACTTTGTTTTCAAGCTGACCATCAAGTTTGAACGCCCGCTCTTCGTCTGTCGCTGTTGCAACTTCCAACATCACCACGGAACAATGTGTATTCACCACTATCGGCGCTATATTCAGCTGCTCTCATCCTTCACGTCATGTCCAGCTGCATCTCGCCTTGACCTTTGCTACTCAACCAGGATCATTAGTGTGTTATGTTTCGTCAACTTTCAACCACTGCACGTCGAAGTATGTTTTATCAATTTAAAAGGATGTTTCCCACATACTGTCCCATTTCCTCCGTTCCTCATTACTGGCTCGTCTCGTTAACTGTTATGGAGCAAAACAATTTAGAGCTCTGGTGTCTAGAGTGGGTTGTTTTCGTCAAGCCGTCAATTCAACCGTACCGTATGCTTCTTCTGTTAGTGTGCCGCTGGTGATGTTTGACAATTCCCATAGGCCATGCTCAGTTGCTGTTCGGCACACTTTGCTTGCCAGGCTTTGTGCACTAGTCAAAACCTCTTGGACGGGCAAAATAATTGTGTATATCATCAAACAAACTTGGTACACTAGTGCTGAAGCCTGCCACTGATGGCATTCTGTTGTTGACATTGGTAATCTCTGTGTGGGGGAATTATGCCTGCACCACCGGGCTGAGCTGCATTCTGTACTGGGTCTGAGGTCTCCTGTCTTGTGCAATTGTGTGACTCTTTCACAACGCTGCACTCTTTGTGTCTTGTGCTGTTATTCCACTAATGCAGGGATTGTATCATATCCGATTCCAGTACTAATCTGCCCCTGTGTAATGGTTGTGCTTACGTATGTGTATTTCCCGTGTGTCCAGGGTGAGTTCAAGAGCATAGCACAGGCGCGTACCCACTCTCTGCTATCCCAGCTGCAGGACAAGGGACTGATTGGCACTCTCGTCAACGACAGCCGACTCGAGTCGCGCATCCGACGACACGTGGACAGTGGATTTCCGTCACTGACCAAGAAGCACAAGGCTTGACTTGTTTGTTTACGGTATCGTACCCTTAGTGACTGTCTCTAGCTTTGTTTTGTGTCGGTGTACCTTCGGCAAAGTGTGCTTTTCTATTCTACTATTTATTCTTCTCCTTTCTGTGACATACCTGGCAGGTCCTGATGGTGGCACATCCTTTTTTCTTCTTCTGTTGTGTGAACTAGTCAACTTGACTACATGAAAATTGGCGCTTTATTATTGTGTGACTAAATCTTATTTGACTTTCGAGAGCAGTTGTTTATTCTCTCCTATTTTATTGTGTTTCAACACATCTATTTCCTGACTAATTTGCTAGCTTGTGCCTCTGGCTGTTTCTCCCATTACTTTTTCTTCACAGCAACTAAGTGTCCGTTACACAAGAGTTGGTACTACTGCTGCAGTTCCTTGTTTCTTTATACCATTCTTCTTCCGCTTGGTAAGCGTCCTTTTTCATAGCATTCGATAGTGTAAACAGTTTGTGTTGTGAAAGAACGTCATCTTGTATAGTGATTATCATACTAGGCTTGCATCTATCATACTTCAAATACATGACAGTCTGCTACTACTTCAATCGGTCAGCACTTCTTTGCTTGGTTCTAGTAAACTTAACACCTGAAATGATTGGCCAACCGCCCTCAGCCATTCAGAGTTCAGCAAGTGTTTTCCTCTTGGAAACCCCCGACCACCATCCCCTCCTTTAATGATCACTTTTATACACTATCCCGGCTCTGAACTTCACACCTGAAGTGATTATTCCCGCCCTCAGCCAATCAGAGTTCAGCAAGACAGTTAGTGTTTTCTTCTTGGCCTGCTGATGGTTGAACTTTTGTTGTTTCTGCATGGGGAAGGAGAAACAGGCAGGAAAATTCTACCGGAGAAGAAAATCTAATATTCTGGCCATCCCAAACCCCAACCACCATCCCCTCCTGGAAGGATCACTTTTATAGCCTATCCTGGCTCTGAACTTCACACCTGAAATGATTAATGAACCGCCCTCAGCCAATGAGAGTTCAGCCAGTGTTTTCTTCTTGGCTTGCTGATAGCTGAACTCGTGTTGTTTCTGCATGATGGGAAGGAGAAACAAACATTAAAATTCTACCGGAGAAGAAAGTCTAAAATTCTGTGTGTGCCCTGCCAGGCTGGCCTGCGTTGCAACACCATGCTAGTACATGTAGTGGTTTACTGAGGTGATCAGCTGACAGGAGCAGTAAAGTGTTACCAAGGCAATAGTACAATCATGTACATACATGCATGGTTATGATTGTACTCTTGGTGTTACAGTACTGGTGCCAGGTGGTGCTGCTGCTGCTGGTAGAAGTGCCCCGCTCCCTCCCAAGTATCGTAGCTGCTCGTTCGAATGCCCATACAACCCAGTGTATGTAGTGCTCGGGCTGCACCTCACACAGCGCCATGTTATTCGCAGGTTCAGTTGCTCAAGCCATCTACAGATTGCACAAATAATAATTCCCAGAATGCGCGGAACAATTATGAACACACGTGTGGTTCGAGAACTTACTAAATGTCGTTACAGCATCATGGAAAACAGCAACAGAGAAATAAAACCGGAAGATGAGGAACACGAACTCAAACTCTCCAAAGAAAGGAGACGCGAACTCCAAGGTTATCATGGTAAACCCGAAGACAAGAAATGCGTGTAAGAAGAAGCGGGAAGAGTAGGAGAGATACAGCTGTTCAATGCAAGAATAGGTGCTAACGGCTTGCTGCACGTAGTCAGGCAATGCATGGCCCCAGTCACATGCTCTGTGTCATCACCATATCCTCGCACGCTCCAAATCGACTTCCGCGCATTCGAGTAGCTTACCGAACACGACGGGCGTCGTGCAGCGGTGTCTTGGTTCTCCACCAAGAGCGAGCGATGCGGCCGTCTGCTGGCTTGTTGGCTGACGTGTCTGTCAACTGTCCAGCCGCGGGCCTGCCCACCGCTGTTGTTCTCTGTGATGCCGTTCACCGTGTCTAAAGCCGCCACTTGGTACTCGGCCTCCTGCCTCAGCCACTTTAGGAGCAATACCGATAGCACGGATTCTTGCCACCGGTGGTCACACAGCCATTGCTGATATTGCACGATCAGCCATTCCAGCAGCTTCTTGATCAGGCACATGAAGAAAGTGCCGGTCCGAAGCTCGTCATGGTGGCCGATATTCTGCAGGTTAATCACCGCAACCTCGAGAAGATCCGCAAATTTCTCCAACTCACGAGCCTTGCCACTGCTCAGCTCGGTGAACTGTGCTAGATCCTCCAAAAATATGGCAATTTGGCACCGGAAATTCACGGATCTTCTCGAGGTTGCGGTGTTACGCCGAACATCTGCTGCAAATGTTGCTTAGCGGCTTCATATTCTGCAGCCGAGGAGCCCAGCTTGGCCAAAACTTTGAGTGCATTGCCATCTCGATATTGCTTTAGCTGAAGCATTTTGTAGTGGACAGGTGCAGGTGATGTTTCCACACACGCTATAAGCACGGCTTTCCATTCCTCATACTGCCGTTTGTCACCCCTGAAGACTTTGATCTCCACTCCTTTCATCTGATTCCAAGGCTCAGACAAATGGGGCCGTCTGGACTGCTGAGGGTTGCTGGCTGTTTGAGGCCATGGTATGCGCTCTAGCCCGTCAGCACACTGGCTGGTGCTGTCACAGCGCTGCAGACAGGCTGATGCAGAGTGCTGTGGACAGGCTGATGCAGAGCGCTGTGGACAATCGTGGCACTGTCAGAGATTGACTTCCAAAGTTTCAAAACTACTGAAAGCAGAACTGGTATAGTGGTACCGTGCATTACGAGTTGTACGTCCCAGTAGCGACGAGGCAGGGAACCCAGCAGTAGAGGGGATGCCTAACTGGTAGTGCTGGTTGTTCTTCCTGCAGCACTTCCTTCTAGTTCTGTAGGGATGGCCTGCACCCTGCTTCCGGATGGCCTGCACCCTGCTTCCGGATGGCGCCACAATGGTGAGAGGATGCGTCGTGCTTTCACTCTCACACCATCAAACTCCTGGCGTTGGCCGGCGCAGTCACGGACTTCCACAGATACCACGCCACGCCGTCCACTGTTGCCCAGCACGTCTGCTTCCTTCAGGACGTCTTCTAAGCATCTCTTGTCCTCGCTTGCTTCGTATACCCGTGCGAGGTCCATTACGGTCTTTATACGCTTTTATAACTATGGCCGAGTTCCGCTAGCTCGCCGTCTTCGCTTCCGGCAAGTATTTCTTCATCCATTGGTCACACCAGTACTGCTCGCCGGTGCCTAGTGAAGGCTGCTTTGGCATGCAACTTCGCTTTTCCGACTCTGTTACGTTCCGTAGCTCCGTCGCTGCCTCCATGGGCTGACTCTTCGCTCTTGTACTGGCACCTTCGTCCGCAGCTTGGTCCTCCGTGAAGTCCTTCTCGACTTCGTCTTCAGGGCCATGCCTGCGCTGGTAAAGTTCTGTACACAATTTCGCGAACCTACAGTAACTACGAGTGACCATCCTCTGCTACCAATGAACGTATGGTTCGAGAACTTGCTTATGTCGTAACACCATCATGGAAACAGGCAACAGAGAAATAAAACCGAAAGACGAGGAACACGAAGGCACAAACTCTCCAAAGAAAGGAGAAGCAAACTCCAAGGTTATCATACCGAAGAGAAAAAGGTGGGTAGATCTACGGAGTGATGGAGCTGTAAAAAGAAGAAAAAGGTGCCAACGGCTTGCTACACGTAGTCAAGCAATGCATGGCCCCAGTCACATGCTCTGTCACCATGGTCACTGTCATCGCCATATCCTCACCTCACGATCACACACTCCAAATCGTCTTCCACACAATAATTATGTGGATACACATTTGCCTGCTCAGTCATGGCAACTCCGGGAGTTGCAGCCATTACTGTGTAGATCTACTGACTGTTTGTTCTGTATGACACCAAGAGAATCTGATGATACAATCATGACATTGTGCTAGAGTACTTGAGACTTGCACCGCTAACTAAGGCCAAGAAGCAAGGCTTGGGGAATAAGGGGGCGTTCGAATTGTCTTCATCAACTTTTTCGAATTAAAAAAAGAGATTAGTTGAAGTTTCCCGAACGGTTTCTATCACTTAAAAGTTTTTCAGTGGAATTGCCATGGCGATAATGATGTCCGATCAGATTGACCATCTCGACGTAGCTATTCCAAACTATTCGGAACTAATCTACCTCTACCATCGGATGAGGTTGTGGAGTTTCGAGGAGTCAAAGAGTGACAATTCGAATACGCCCTTTAGTTTAGTAATAGTAAAGTGCTGGTGACACCTACACTACATCAGTACAATGTCATGTACTACAATTACCATGGTTACACTACAGAGTACAGTACATGTACAGTACAACCATGATTGCTCTACAGACATGACTGTTTTGCAGAGATCAATGCTACCCAGAGTAGAGATGGGATTGTTTTGCAGAGATCAATGCTACCCAGAGTACAGATGGGACTGTTTTGCAGAGATCAATGCTACCCAGAGTAGAGATGGGACTGTTTTGCAGAGATCGTCGCTCCAGCTATCACATCAGGGGCTGCACGGTCTCTCAACTAACTTGGAAACCTCACTGTTCACAACCACGAACCCACACCCGATCGATGCAACTGCCACGTTGAGGATATAATGCAGAATCACTCTTCCTGTGATTCATGCACATTGAAACAAATAAAATAAATCTTCAGAAAAGGGAGATGAAAGGCTGCCGAACATGCATGTAATCACGCACGCCAATGTAAATAAATGAATGGAATAACACTCCATTGCTCATCACGAGCTGCAGTGCAGAGCTGTAACGGATGAGCACCAAGGGTGAAACAAGCAGCAACAGCTTTTTCACTTTGAACAATGCTATGTCCTGCTCAGCTATGAAGGCGGAATTAATCGGCGAAACATCCAAAATAGCCTGCATGGATGTGTGCGGGAAAAACTAGCAAAACATGCAACCATTGTGCGGAGCAATAAATGTGTATTGTGAAATCACTCGGCCATCCCCAAGCAAATATCATACATATATAACAGCCCACCAATGTGAGTTTTTCTCGACACGGCGAGAGGCCAAGCATGTGATTCTGAGCGCAGCTGCGTAATCGTGCGAAACCCACCGTGACAGCCTGCTCAGATGCCAGCTACACGTACACTAGTGTCATCATTGTACACACACACAGTCTTCCTCTGAAGTCAAAACACAACAGACAACACACCACTTACCGTAGCTTGTCTAGATTGGCTAGACCGTGACAGGCAGTTTAAGGTTTTACGTAGAACGGTGGATCCCGCTTACGTAGAGAGACAGATGCATCCCACGGCGGTCGGTTTTCACTGGCGACGGGCGGCTTCGGTTTCAAACCACGTGACAGCATCAGCTTCTGGTACCCCTTGGGGTCAAGTACCTTCATTTTCTCTTCATACCAGCCAGGGCTGAACGTCGAGTGATCTCGTTGCTCTTTCTTCTTCTTCGGAAGCTTTTTCTGAGGCGGGTATGTCACTGCATTTTTAGCTTGCGGGTCAGCGTGTGGCATGACCTTGTAGTGCAATGTGCGGGATTGCTGGGACGGCTGCTGCT